ACACAAGACATGAAGAGAGAGGGAGGGAGAAGAGAGAGCAGGAGAGAGCAAGGAAGAGAGAAAGGGAGAGAGAGAGAGAGAGATGACGGAAGAAAAGAAAGACAGAGAGCTCACATTTCCATTCTCAATTTTTACGTGATATGTATCTCTGATGGCAGTCCATGATTCTTCGGTCTGCTGGGTACGCCTGGCCTTAGTCAGGGCCAGCTGCTCTGAATCTGAGTCTGAGTCTGATAAGGCGATGTTGAAGATGCTGTCCATCGTTGCGGTCAGATCTGGTGGTATGAAGTTGGTGATTTCGAAGGGCCAAGATTTCAAGGTAGAAAGAAGAAAAAAAGAGTGAGGGCTACTCAGTGTGGGCTGTCCGCTGTTCTGTATTAATAATGTTAGCAGTCTAATCAATAACGCGCGCGCGCCATGATTGGAATCATCTTGCTTCCGTCTTCAGTTTATATGCAGACATCTGATAATGCTTCTCTTATTGGCTAAATAAGGATCATCGACTGAATGGGGAAGGAAGATGTGAAAGGAATATTACTGCTTCTCTATTACCTTGGTGGTGAATGGCACATTGCTTGAAACCACTGCGGGGATGACCCTCGCCACGCCATCATCATCATCACCATCGGAACACCATTGAAGACGACAGCAAAGCGTAGGATAGGCAATGACGACGACGAGAGGAAAAGACGCATAGGTCAGAGCCTCAGACGAGGTCCCCGCGGTAGACAAGCTACATTCAATACAAGACTACACCGTACCAGACCACACCGGCGCACTCCACCCGTCCAAGTCTCTCTGGAGCGGCGACGGTGCGACCGGTCGCGTGCTGGTGATCTTCATCCGACATCTCTACTGCGGTGTATGGACACGTCCGGCGACATGCTCTCCCCTTCCCCCTCCTTCCCTCCCACTTGGCTCCGACGGCTTCCCGGTCATGCCAAGACTAGGTCGAGGCCGTGGGCGAGGCCGTGGCACCCGACTCGCTCCCCGAGAACACGTCCGTCGTCTTCGTCGGGTGCGGCGACCCGGCCCTGATAGAGAGCTACGTCGAGCCGACGGGCTGCAAGTGCCCGGTATACGCCGACCCCGATCGACGGCTGTCGTCTGCCCTGGGCCTGATCGAGACGTGGGACGCGGGCGCCGTGCCGGCATAGCAGTCGAGGTCCGTCCCCGCCATGGCCATCTCGGCCATCTGCAAGGCCGTGAGCGACATGCCCAGAGGCCTGAATGCACAGGGGTGGCGACCCGCGACAGGTGGGCGGGGAGTTTCTCTTTGAGAGCAATGCCGTCACGTGGTGTTATCGGATGAAGGCGACGAGGGACCACGCCGAGGTGTCCGAGTTGGAGGAGCTCTCGAGGGTGAGCAGCTGGTCACTCTGTCGTATGACTAACTCTACACGGGTCTCTCTCCTCTCTCCTCTCTCCCGTGTATTTTCTTGACAAATTTTCGTTCTTGTTTTTATAGTAAGAATAGCGTGTGCTGTTATGAAAGACAAAGAGAGATTCTATCAGTACCATATTTCCCGTGTCCTCAAGAATGAACCCAGGCCCCATCTTCACGGCTGACGATGACCTCGTCGACAGGCAGCCTCCTCTTGATAATGTCCAGACCGTTGGGTATATCGTTCTCCAGCGCGCGTCTGTCTCCCTCCTCGAGGGTCTGCACGATGCCGGCGCGCAGATGCCGCTCCCTTAGCCTCGCCCTCGCCACGTCGGCGTCGACGTCGACGAACCACATCTCGTCAAACAGCTCCCGGGCGTCGCGCCACACGGGCTCGTCCAAGGACAGGTACAGGCCCTCGATGATGACGATGCGCGCCGTCTCCGGGATCACCAGGTCCCCCTCTACCGGGTCCTTGACGGCGTGGTCAAAGGTCGGGGCTAGCACGGGCCCCTTGGACGGCGGCTCGCGCAGCTGCCGAACCAACTTCTCGTATCGGCTGGCGTCGAAGGTGAAAGGGGCGCCGCGACGGGCGCGCGCGTACGCCGGGTCCGGCATGGCGTCCAGCTCAGCCCGGGTAAGGTGAAATCCGTCCATTGCCATGGCGAGGGCTACCAGGGGTGCTGAGCTGTCATTGTTCGATGCGCGTGCCTGGAGACGTTCCGAGACTATACGTGCCAACGTTGTCTTGCCTAGGTTTGTGTGTGCGTGTGCGTGTGAGAGAGAGCGGTTTTTTTTTTTTTTTTTTTTGGGGGGGGGGGGAAGAATACTCACGTAGACGTCTATCTGGCAGTGTCTGCTCATATCTCTTCCATGCCTTGTCGACAAGCCTCTGTACTTGGTCCTCCATGGAATATGATCAAGCTTCTCTTCGTTCTTTTCTTGAGATGAACTATGTTTCCAACATGGGAACAGCAGCTCTGTTCGCGCGAGATGCTCCGAACTGCTTCCCCACATTTAGCGCTCCTGATGGCTGACTTTTGCCCCACCCGATAAATGAAATGCCCGGTGCATCATTCTACCCGCCTTCGGTTATTTGACGGGTTTGAAGGGGAGCATTATCCTGTTACAGTATATGATATATCCCAGAGAATGTCCAAGACGCAACCGGTGACAGAAAGACAAGACCAGGGGCAACCCGCAGATTCAGTATTGGTATACTGCTGTGATGGGTATCGGCAACACCTGGACATGTGCTCGATTTCCCTCATGTCGTTTTGGCCTGACCTTCCTAGTCCTCGGTTCACCTCGTCTGCCGTTTTCGATACCTCAATCATCATTGCCCTTAAATTGTAGTGGTACGTGGGAGAGGATAATCCCATCTATCGGTGTTTAATCTCACATTACCATGATTTGCTTCTCAGCAGATTATCTCTGTGCTTGTCTGCTGTCGGTGCTCGTGGCCTACGGTTGAGTGGGTGACATAAATAAATCTACAGTGCACACACTATTTCCGGTGATGACCGTAGACGGTATTTCTGTCAACTATGTCCCTCCTGATTTTTTCCTGGAATTTTTTTTTTTTTTTTTTGGCGGGGTAAGGATCGTCTCCATCTGAAATCCTAAAGCTCAATTTTCTTCCTTCCACAGATATCGCCACCAAGAACGGGCCACTCAAACAAGATGGCTGCGCAACCTCTCACAGATGCTCTGGCGGAGCTCAAAGGTGAGTCGTCCAGATCTGTCAGATGTCTGCTCCTCGACTGAAGAGGCGCACCGACCAAGGAAACGACAGAGAGCTCTCAAGACTGATGAAAGAGAGAGAGAAAAAGTCGACGACTCCAAGGTAGAGGGAACCCCTCCCTCGGCAGCGGCGGCCGGAGCGGACGACGAGGGCGACGACTCGGACGAGAAGGGAGAGGACGACGACACGGCGGCGACGGCGGCCAAGAAGAAGAAGAAGAGAAAGCCGCGCAGGAAGAAGAAGACGGCGACGAGCCAGACGGAGCCGCCGCGGGTCATGGTCAGCCAGCTGTTCCCGAACAAGACGTACCCGAAGGGTGAGGAGGTCGAGTACGCGGACGAGAACCGGTACCGGACGACGTCGGAGGAGAAGCGGCACCTAGACAACCTGCAGAGCGACTTCCTGGACGACTACCGCGAGGCGGCCGAGATCCACCGACAGGTGCGGCAGTACGCGGCCAAGACGATCAAGCCGGGCCAGTCGCTGACGGAGATTGCCGAGATGATCGAGGACGGGGTGCGGTCCCTGTCGGGCCACCAGGGCCTGACCGAGGGCGACAACCAGATCGCCGGCATGGGCTTCCCGTGCGGCCTGAGCCTGAACCACTGCGCCGCGCACTACACGCCCAACGCGGGCAACAAGATGACGCTGTCGCAGGACGACGTCATGAAGGTCGACTTTGGCGTCCACGTCAACGGCCGCATCGTCGACTCGGCCTTCACCATGGCCTTCGAACCCAAGTACGACAACCTCCTCCGAGCCGTCAAGGAGGCCACCAACGCCGGCATCCGCGAGGCCGGCATCGACGCCCGCGTCGGCGAGATCGGCGCCGTCATCCAGGAGACCATGGAGAGCTACGAGGTCGAGATCGACGGCACCACCTACCCCGTCAAGAGCATCCGCAACCTCACCGGCCACAACATCCTGCCCTACAGCATCCACGGCACAAAGGCCGTGCCCATCGTCAAGTCCAACGACCAGACAAAGATGGAGGAGGGAGACGTCTTCGCCATCGAGACCTTTGGCAGCACCGGCAACGGATACGTCCGCGACGACATGGAGACGTCGCATTACGCTCGCCGCGGCGACGCCCAGCACGTCGACCTCCGTCTCAGCTCGGCAAAGTCGCTGCTCAGTGTCATCAACAAGAACTTTGGCACCTTGCCGTTCTGTCGTCGCTACCTCGATCGCCTCGGCCAAGAAAAGTATCTCCTCGGAGTATGTTTTCTCTCTCTCTCTCTCTCTCTCTCTCTCTTCTTCTTCTTCTTCTTCTTCTCTCCTCTTTCATCTTTCATCTTTCATTTTCCTGGTGACACATGCTGACCTTTTCTTCTCTTCTCTTCTTCTCTCTCTATAGCTTAACCACCTGGTTCAGGCTGGCATTGTTGAGGATTACCCGCCTCTGTGCGACAAGAAGGGATCATACACGGCCCAGTTCGAGCACGTAGGTAGCCGCCAGTCGTCATCATTCCCAGTACCTACTAACACTCTTTCCTCTCTTCTCTACAGACCATCCTCATCCGCCCCACGGTCAAGGAAGTCATTAGCCGTGGCGATGATTACTAAGTGTAGGCAAGCACAAAGCAAACCAAAAAAAATTCAGAACTTAAATAAATAAAAATCAGACAAGCAACAAAAAAAAAACAAAAGAAACAAGAGACAAAAGCGCCATCATTGTCATCGGCACACCATCACATTCTAAGCGATCCACCGTATCCGTGACCCAAACTCTCCATGTGCCCGTCCCACACACACGCCTTTTGTCCGGTAGGAAATCCTCCAATCCCAAGTCCCCAGGCATCGAACCCGCCCGATGCATGTACATGTAGTCGCTGTGGACGAACTAATTCCTTTCGAAATTCGTCTTCTCCTGTACTCCGTAATTGCCGCTAGAAAGGGGAGTAAACGGGCCCCAGGGTCCCAGGGTAGAGCCTCCTGACCAATAAAAGGGCTCATATTGAATTCGACATCCCGGGCCATTCTCGCCCGATTGGCACCAACTATTACCATATCGGGATTAGCTCCATATCCTTCAGAATCGGATCTTACCACGTCTGGATTAGCTCCACCGAACTCCCCACCCCCCTGGGCCCCTCATACCTGTAAGCTCTGTATCGTGCGCTGTAGGCTCGGTAGGCTGTAATATGCTCTGTACGGAGTACATGTGGGCTGTGGGCTCTGTACAGGCAGGCTGTAGGCTATCGTAGGCTGTACGAGTACGATGGGTGCGTACCTGTAGCCTGTATGTATCCCGTACCCATTGTTCACTGACTGCTCTTTCCTTTCCTTCTCACATGCGACAGTCGGAGGGACCGTTTTTTTTTTTTCTTTTCTTTTTCCCTTGGAGAAAAGCCCTCACCCATTTTTTTCTCTCTCTTTCTCTCCTGGCCCTCTCTATCACCTTCGTTCTCCTTCGTTGGTTTCCTTTCACCCCCTTCCACTATTGCCATCGTATCCTTTGCCACCGGTCCATCGGAACCCCGGATTTTTCATCTCCTTCTTTTCCACCCCCTTCCCATCTTTCCATTTTTCCAGCGACGATTTCTTTTTTTCATCTTACCTTCTTCCCTCTCCCTCCCCCCCCCCTTTTTTTTTTCCGTGTGTTTTGTTTCATTCTTCTTAGCCTTCCCTCAAAGCTCGGAAAAGGGAAAAACGCCCCCCACGATACCTAGAGAAACCAAGATAGACGAAGAGAAAACGCGACGACAGAGAAAGACAACGGCATAATAATCCATCCAAGATAGCATCTGGGGCTTCCCTCCCCTCCCCACTCACTCCCTTCCTCTCAACTCTCCGACAGAACATCGACAGGACCCAAAACAAGATGAAGGTCTTCTCCAACACAGTCTCCTTCGACTACTCGTGGGAGGAGGTATCGACGGCCAACTGGCGCAAGTATGGCCCCTGGAACAACAAGTCGGAGCACGTCATCGCCGTCGACACGCTCTCGCGCAGCGTCGACCCGTCGACGGGCATCCTCCGCACCGAGCGACTCATCACCTGCCGACAGAACGCACCCGAGTGGCTCAAGTCCCTGATGGGCAGCTGCAACGAGTCCTTCGTCTACGAGGCCTCGTACGTCGACCCCACCAGCCGAACCCTCACCATGGTCAGCCAGAACCTCACCTGGAGCAACCTCGTCCGCGTCCAGGAGGAGGTTGTCTACTCCCCGACCGCCACGGCAATCATGGCCGCCGGCGCCGGAGCTACCCAGTTCGTCCAGAGCGCGCGCATCACCGCCCTCTGCGGCGGCTGGCAGCGCATCCGGAACAAGATTGAGGATACCCTCGTCTGCCGCTTCCACGAGAACGCCGTCAAGGGTCGCGAGGGATTCGAGCGCGTCCTCGAGATGAGCAGGAAGGTCTTTGCCGAGGAGAAGGAGAGGCAGATGGCTGAGAAGGCCGTCATGGCCCAATAGAGCCATTCCTCCTCTAACCTACCCCCTCATCCCCGACACCCTTCTTCGTCAGACCCTATCCTCTGATCCGACAATCTCTTCCAAACGAACTCCCCAACCTCTTCAGTCTTCCCAACCTTGTCTTTGACATCGTGTTTAATGTCTATTCTCTTTTTAAATTCCAGCTCTCAGCATTGGCATGGGGATTGCGGCGTTTTTTCCTCTTTTCTACAATTTTTTTTTTTTTGATTCTCACACATCTTTCTCCTTTCGATACACGTCTTCTTTTTCTTGCGGTCCATACAGACCCACAAGTCCGACCGGACCAACCCCTGTCGCTCTTGTTCAGAGAATGGGAAAAAAAGACCAATTGTTTTTTTTTTGAGGAGTTTTTTTTTTCTGTTATGTGAGAAATACCTCCGGTCTTGATGATTAGAATCTCTCAGATTAGAAGCGCCGGGATACCAGACAAAAAGTTTGTTTTCGTCTTTTTTTCTTCTTCGTCTTCCTCTTAACGAACTTGCTTTTCCATCATTTTTTCTCTCTCTAGAGGCAACTCGAGTTTCTTCTCGACATGGTTTGAATATTCATACTATAGAATCAAAGCACCTACTACGATTACAAACAAGCCACTCCTCCTCCGTGCTAGCCAGAGGGGTGTCTGGTCAGCTCTCAAGCCACCTTGAACAACTTGTACGTCCAAGGCGGCGGCACGACTCCAGCTTCCCTGGAAAGGTATATCCAGCCGAGACCTACCCTTTTGGACGGGCCGTTCCGCGTACGCAGCCCCAGCAGTATACACACCGTGTCTGGTGGCTTGGTAATCGTGTCCGAGGTGACGACGGCGACGTACTCGTCAACCTCGGCATCTCCACCGTCAAATCTGAACTCCCCGGCGTGCAGTCCGATGCGCAGCTGCCGTACGCGCCCAGACTTCAACTGCAGCGTCGCCTGACGGGCGTACACGCACGCGCCCCAGAAGGCGAGCTGGCCCTGCACTAGCTTCACCGTCCGGGCTGTATCATCCCTCGCGTGGTCGAGAAGTCGGTCCATGTCCAGGCCAATCTTCTCGCGCGCGTACCGCATCGAACGGCAGCATTCTCCCTCCACCTTGCCATCGCCGCCGTCAGCCTGGTCGGTGACCTCACAGGCTGCCTTCCAGATGCCCTGAGAGTAGAACCTCTTGTCGGTACCGCCGTAGTGCCAGAAGGGAATCAGGACGTGCATGGGTATCTTCTTCGCCGGTGCGAGCGAGATGTTTCTCGATATCCACATGCTGTCTGCGAACATGAACTCGATCGGTCCACTCCACGATGCCCTATGTTGTTTTTACCCGCCAAGTCAGCACTGCTCTGTTCGGCACGGGTGTCTTGGTGACGTACCATGACCAGGTCGAAAACCGATCGGCCGAAGCCTCGCCACCATATAGTCGTCTCTTCGCCTCGTCGGATGGGAACCAAAGCATTGCCCGGTGCATGTGCTCGACCGGGATCCCCTGCGTCTGATGCAGGACCAGGTCATCGCACGTGGACCGCCTAGAGAAGCGGTTGAAGACGCCCTCGAAGGCAGCGAGCACATCCTCGGGGAAGGACAGCGTCCTCCTGCTATATGCCTGGACAGCAGCCTGGTAGTCCTGAGCGGTGAGGGTACCAGCCAGGTCGCCGAGGTACCGATACGGCGTTGGGTCGGGGTCCTTGCGCAGATTGCGGGTCCACCACGGCGGGCCGGTCCGGAACTTGATCCCGGGTCGCTCATATGCGCTCTCGATGTCGTAGGCCTCCCGCCGCAGGCACTCGATGCAGTTGAAGAATAACTCGTTCTCAGTAAAGTACAGGCATCGCTGGGAGAGAGCCTGCTCCTGAAATGTCCAGCCCCGTGTGTCCCATGGCGACGTCCGGACCTCTTCGTTGAGGGATGGGGGGCTCAGACTTAGCCTGTGCCTTGTACCGTTGTCCATAATCTCCGTAGCCTCGACTGGACGACCTCTACGAGGACTCACGCCACGGAGTCCGGCATCGGCATTTCCCCCGGACACGGCTATGTAGGTGACGGTGGCAATGCCGTAGATGCTGTCCATGGCTTGGATGAGGAAGCACTTGTCGGTGGGATCATCCTGCACGATGCAGAGAGTGTCGATCCAGAGGTACCGCATCCCTATCCTGCGAGAGAATTCCATTGCATCAATAATCGTCTGCGGCAGCCTGGCATGCTCCACGTCTCGTACATTGGCCTGGGATAGCCCGCCTGCGGCGCCGAGACGTTTCAGGCTTTGTTTTGTGCTGAGCAGTATCGGCAGCTCGCTGCCATCTTCGGAGGGTTTCAGCACGGTGGGAAGCCGGCCCCAGACATAGGACAAGGCGGCAAAGGTGCACGGCTCTGTTTTCAGCACGAGGCATTCCTGCTCTACGTCGATGAGCCGGAAGCCGCATCTCGATTTGAAGAAGTCAATGTCCACGGCACCCTGCTCCATCTGTCGACGCGCCTGGGCTGTGTGCTTATGGCTATTGCACTGGTGTAGCCAGCTCTGCACCAAGTCGACATCAATGTCTGCTCCCACCTCGCGACGTCGTACCGGGGACCGTCGGTGGTCTACGTCATCACCGGAGGTATCCTCCTCATCGTGGACGGCCTCGATTTCGGCAATGATGTGTCTGTTCTTGACCCGATCGAGCTCACGGATGACTCTTCGGTTCTCAGAGTACCCGGGCGCTTCGACATCCAGTGCCAGCAACAGTCGGGGATGCGGATAGTGGACACGGCCGTGCTTCCGGACAGCCGTCGGGCTCTTGCTCTGAATAAAGAGAGTCGGGGGGCTGCCCGACTCGGCGCAAAGCCTCTCGGGAGTCCATCCCTTGCCCCAGTGCGATTGAACGCCTTGAAATATGAGGCTGCAGAAGGGGCAGTCGTCGTCGAGATAGCTTCCCAGCCTCCCTAGATTCTGCTCGGCCTTTTCCTCCTCAAGAAAGCCTCCAAAGTCGATTCCGGCACATGCTGGGCATAACTCAGGGGTACGACGACTCCTAATCGGCATCGATGGCGGACACGTGCCCCTATCGTCTGTAGCTGCAGTAGTACTGGTACATTCGTCGTGGTCGCGGGCCGGTCGTGGTGACGGCTCACCATCATGGCCGCCATCATTCTGTGAGATTAGTACAGGACGACAGATGCGCCCAAAATCGCGCTGCCTAAGCTTGTCAAGATTTGGCATAACGAGAGCTCTCCATAGCGAGGACGTTGAAAAAAGGGGATGGTCAAGCAACATATGGGATAAGCCATCATCTTCCTGCCCTCCCCAGTCACTCTTCTTTTCCCCACGTGGGCAATCTGTCTGCCTGATGGCCGCAATCCTTTTCCTGCTGAAGGCACGGGAGGGGGCCTTGGAGCCTGGCGTAGCTTCCACCGTCAGCTCGCTGCACGACGACGATCCCTGCAGAGATCCTCTTTCGGTCTTCATTCTTCCCCGCTCGAGCTGGGATGAAGTAGTTGCGACTGCCCACCTGCTGTGCACATCATTCAATCCCCGACCCGTGAAGATTGTGTGCGTGGAGGCCGGCATGTATGGCAGCCACGTATGAGCACATGACTCTCTCCTCTCCAAGTGCCTGTGCTTGCATTGCCTCGTTGCCTCGCATCAGTCCCGAATCCTTCCATAGCGCATATCGAGTTGGCGGTGTGATAGACACCAAGAGTCGCGTAAGGAGAGTCAGCGCGCATATAACGGAGAGACAGTGGTACTTACCTAGCCAGTTGCAGGAATATGCCACTGCGGCGGCCCCTTCGTTATATATGCTGCCGGAGTCCTCTCGGTGATGGGCCCGCCTCGACTGCTCACATCATGGATGGCAACAGCGACGTCGTCTGTGATCGGACCAAGCCACCACACGGTGCCGATCCAGAAGCCGGCGATGTGGAAGAGACTGCATCTACGGGATTGCCTACGCCACCCGTTCCACCTCCGTCCGATTTTATCAGCTACCTGTCCAAGAACCCGGATGCCCAAGTCAGGGAGTTGATCAAGCCCTATCTTGAATATGAGCTTGAGCTGCGCAGGGCTTTTTCCCAGGGCGGTACGGGAATCGATGGCCTGGCTAATCTAGTCCAGGTTTTTGATGGAAGGGAGGACCAGTTTCTGCCGCGTGCATCTGGCCGCAATGGAAGTGACAAGGACAAGTTCCTGATGCGTTTGCCACGGGATAAACAGGCGAAGGTCATCATGGACGACTTCACTCAGTATGAGCGCAATTTCAGCGCGTTCACGCATTGTAGGCTCTCTCTGCTACAATCACAGCTTCGGAATCCCATGGCTGACATGTGAGCATTGCAGCTTGTCTGGCCGGATTAGGTATTCCCACCTTGCACGCCTTGTGAAGATCCACGCATATGCTGACGGAGGTGGGCATGGAAAAAGACTGGTCTAACATTGTCGCTGCTGGGTCATCTGCATTGTCGCCATTACTCGCATACGCTGGCGACTACCCCGATTCCTTGGAGGAACCGGCGGTCGAGGATCCTCTAGAGACGTACTACCAGTATGTTTGCACTGGAATGAGCCGTGTGCGATGCTGACACGTCCTCTCACGTAGATACACTGCCTGTTCCAGCGACATTGACCTCTTCATCTATGGCCTGGACGAGGAGGCCGCGATGAAGAAGATTGTCGAGATCGAGGCTACAGTCCGGGAAAACCAGAGGTTGCCTCCTGGATCAGGAATCACGCTCCGGACTCAGAACGCCCTGACCTTTATAGGCCCACGGTGGCCATACAGGCACGTCCAGGTACACGAGTCCTCCTGAACCGCTGACAGGCTCAATGAGAATGCTAAGCCTCGAATACCACAGATCGTACTGCGTCTATACAAGTCCATCAGTGAGGTTCTCACAGGGTTCGATGTAGACTGCGCCTGCGTCGCTTTCGACGGAAGGAAGGTCTACACCAACCCGAGGGGAGTGGCCGCCATCCAGACGCAGACCAATCTCATCGACCTGACCCGTCGAAGTCCCTGTCAGTACCCCTCCCCAGCAGTATGTCGGACACGGCACACGCCTGACACGGACAGCGTATGAGAACCGTCTGTATAAATACCGCATGCGAGGCTTCGATGCATACTGGGGCCGACTGGATCGCTCTCGGATTGATGAGTCCTCCGATACGTACCAGGAGGGCTGGTCGAGCAAAGGCCTGTCCCGCCTTCTATTCTTTGAGAGGCTCCTCTACACGCATCAAGGCTCGTATGCCCACTTCAACCGCCTGAGACACCGGTTCAAGAATACAGACGATGTTGCAGAGAGCGGGAATGCGAAGGGACATGCGGAGTCCGACGAGAGTGGGTATACGGCCATCAAGCTTCCTTATGGGCAGCGTTACACCGCGACGACGTAAGCCGCCTCCCCATCGATGCCTCTCCATACGCTGGTGATGACGGTTTACTTACCCCTCTATTCTTCCTCCAGAGTGAGGAAGTATGTCTCGGAGCGCTCCAGGGAGCAACACGTGTTTGGTACGATTGTCGACGTCATCGAGGGTAAGGCGGACCTGAACAAGAAAACGGCGGAACATCTCCAGTGCAGATTGAAATTCATCAAGGACGATCCAGGGAGACAGATGATAGGTAGTTTCTATCCCCTGACCGAGGACGGTTGGTGAGTCTCGACCATCTGCGCACTGCATCTCGCAAATAAACCGTGGCTGAACTGACTTGGTGTGTAGGACCAATGATGCCTATGTCAAGTAATGCCACGCATCAATGTATTCAGTGATGGCCTCATCTCATCGACCTTGGACATCTTGGTTTTTCGAACATGCTCAGGGGTTTTTTTTTTTCTTGAACAGTCCCATGGTCCCGAGAAGTCCATCTACCGACACATCATCTCCCACCGACCGCCGTGTCCACGTCTGTGCGCTGCGTAACTGTTCGGGATGTGCCCACTGACTGTAGACTATACAAGTCACCAAGAAAATCGTCGATAGTGAAGCAAGCCGTTTCATGACTCCTGTCTCTTGGAAGAAAAGATGGAATGTTCCGTGATGGGAAGATGAGCGCGCACAAGAACCAGGTAAGCACTAACGGGACGTTGCGAGCCAGCTTCGGGTATACAGAGAATGAGGATATCACCCCAATGATAGCGAAGTATGGCAGGGTCCCCTTTTGCGACTGACAGGGCACGTTGTATGATTAGTTGTACTCGTAGATGGAGTGTCGTGGAGTGTCGTGGTGAGAAGACTAAGCTGACTGGACCGTGGGGGGGGGGGGGTGAAGAGGTTGAGGTTCTAAGCACCTGACGGGCAAAAGAATATCTTTCCGTAGTTCGATGCGGCCATGACTTTCTAGAAGAAGCACCACTTGTACGGACATCGCCTCGATGAATCCAGCGCGGTGCTCGTCACCAGTTTCCTCCGACCCTAACCCCCAGACGCAGAAGAATTGAGGATGTAAAGAGGTCATCATTCCTGCTGCCGACGCCGCAGCCGGTCAAGAAAAAAGAAGAAAAGGCTGTACAGTTAGAGAGAGCGTTGCCTTCTTGCCTTTCCGATTCCTCACCAGAATGATGGACTTATGGATGGGCAGCACAGAGAAGATATAGGGAAAGGTCTATAGTTTGAATCGCCAATCACCGTGATACAAAGGGGGCTCCGCATATTCTCTATGCCACTACATGATACACGATGCACGATACCCTTTCAAGACTGACGATAACCAAGATCAAGCTTCAAACAGCAACGTGCAATCGGATACCCCAAGACCGTGAAAGGAAAACGCCCAACCCCCCCCATTCACTCTGCAGCCTCTGAACCTTGACATGCTGAACTACTCAACCTTGCTCTGCTCCCCCATAGTCTAGTCTGGAGTTCGATAGCCGGATCTCCTGGATCTCCTTGCTTTCCCCGCGTCTTCGGGCGACCGGCGCTATCCACCGCCTTGGCAACTGGCCGGAGTAGGTAGCAGCTACAGAGAGAGATCGATATCGTCATACCATCGACATCGACAGACTCTGCCGCATACGGCCCGAAAAAAGCATGAAGCGACGCCTACGTATCCCGCCAGAGCACCGTCCTTGCAGACTATACCGGTCGGGGATTCGGCGGCGTCTTATAGTGAAAAAAAAAAGAGCACATCTGGCTGGAAAATTTCATCATCTTCACGTGGGCGGGATGAATACCGAGAAAAGTGCGGCCACGTGATCGGTCATGATATCGGTGAGACGAAAATGAAATATACCATTTGACGAGAAAGGGTAATGTGACGCATTGCCGTGCATATTTCAGAGAGCGGGCATATACTCCATCGTCGGTTGATATCCGAGTTTACAATGTACAATTGAAGCGTCAAGGGGAGGAGGGGGGTTTCAATGTTCAGTCAACCGACACAGAGAGCGTTGAGCTGGGGTAGGAAACCCGAGTTTCAGTTTTGATCTGAGCCAGCTTGGTGTCTTGGTTCTCTGCTATAATGATAAATACCTTGTGTTCTCATGCTGGAATAATATTACGACGAATTGATCATTCCCCTCCCCTCCTCCCCCCCTCTCCATCCATTCCGTCCTTGCCGCCCCTCCTTCTCCGCATCTTGTCAATCTCGCGAATGGTGACCCGCCAACGGAGATGTTTTCCGGGAAAGCATGGGTTACATCGATTGATGATCACATTGAATATACGGTTGCTTTACTTATCAGCCTCTTGCCTGCCCCACCCCGCCTCGTCCTGGAAAACGTCTACACACTCGTGTGCGGCTGCTTGCCGTTCGCGGTAGGCGTCAACCCTCTCTAACCGTTTCCCACTCGGCCCCCTTCCGCTGCTGGACTGGACGCGAGGCGGAGGATGAGAGTTTTGCGCCGAGCAGATGGCAGGAGACCGATCAGGTAGCAGAATATCAGGAGTTTCGGAAGGGCAGTTCGGTGCAACCGCGGTATTGCAAGCTGAGCAGAGATAAGACGACGAGAAGAAGGAGAAGGAGAAGAAGGGAGGAAAGAAGATGGAAAGGGAAGAGAGAAAGTAATGGGAAGAAAGTAGAGGAATGGAGCAGACGGAAACAAAGCACACGGATGAGAGTACGGAATACATCCAACCTGGCACGTATAGTCCGCTAAAGAGTTGGCTAGGGTGTTTCTGTCTGTGTAGATGACAGTACATCTACATAAATTCTACATGTTTAATGTATATACCTGAACATGAGTTACAACAGCATCCTCCCCAAAATTAGGGTCGGAGACGTTCGGGAAGCAGACGGGCTTCGGCATGTTTTATTCTCTCTCTCTCTCTCTCTCTCTCTCTCTCTCTCTCTCTCTCCCCCCCCCCTCCTTAGACGCCATCGTCTCCGCCCTCGGTGTGATTGGAACTTGTTGAGTTCCCGTATCATGCCGCCCTTATCTCATTGGACATGACGTATAAACGAGCGTAGGATATAAAAAGAAAAAGAGAAGAGAAGTAAGTCAAGGTTGTCTTCTCCTCCTCTCCCTCCTCTCCCTTCTCTCTCTCTCCCTCTCTCTCTCTCTCTCTCTTTCTATCCTCTTATTACCATCTGGACCGGAACCGGAATCCATCTTCTTTCTCTATCTTCTCTTCCAAAGCCCCCAAAACCTCCCCCCCCCCCCCCCCCCCCCCCCCCCCGGACGACAATGATTCCCGAGATCAAGGGACGTTCCAAGCCGGCGACAGCGGTGGCAGCCTCGGTGGTTGTCCTCGCCGCCGCCGTGGCAGTGCAGTACTACAGCAAGAATAAGAAGGCGACCAAGCTGAGCATCCCTCTGCACCCGGCCCTGGACAGCGGCCTCACCCGGGGCGACCCCAAGTTCACGGCGGGCGGCAAGCTCCGGTGCCACTGCCGCGCCGCGCCCGTCGAGGTGACGCTCGACGGCAACGTGGCCCACAACCACGCCTGCGGCTGCTCCAAGTGCTGGAAGCCCCAGGGCGCCGTCTTCTCCATCATCGGCGTCATCCCGCGCGACCAGGTCCACGTCACGGCCAACGCCGACAAGCTGTACGTCGTCGACCCCGGCGCCGCCATCCAGCGCAACGCCTGCGTCGAGTGCGGCGTCCACCTCTTCGGCCGCATCGAGAAGGACCACCCGTTCAAGGGCCTCGACTTCGTCCACGTCGAGCTCTCCGACACGGAGGGCTGGCAGGAGCCCCAGTTCGCCGCCTTCGTCTCCTCCATCGTCGAGCAGGGCTTCCCGGCCACCAAGATGGACCAGGTCCGCTCCGAGCTCAGGTCCATCGGGCTGGAAACCTTTGACGCCCTGTCCCCTCCTCTCATGGACCTCATCGCCACCTGGTCTGCTCGTCAGAATGGCATCTTGAAGGAGTAGCAGTAGAGACCAGGCTTGTTCCTTTTTCTTTTCAGCGGGATATTTTTTTTTCCCCTTCTTTTCTTTTTCGCCTTTTCCTTTTCTTTATTTCATTCATGATTGGAGATGTCAACGTTGTATCGGAGCATTGAGATGAACGGTTGGTGCATTTGGGCGGGCGTGGCGTTGAGAGAGAAACTGGAGAGGGTAGAGTCCATCAGGCAGTGGCGTCTTAGCATGCCAGACCATGTAAATCACGGAGAAGAAAAATTTGACATGCGAAAATTGTTTTTCACTGGTATACAACATCAGAAACTGCTTGAATGGTGCCATCTCCAATCATGGTGTATCATCATTACTAGACATGGCCTTCTGAACCACCTCCGCCGCCTTCGACAGCACGCATCCGCATTGGAACAGATACGGATCTCTCATATCGGGGCTCGCTTCTTGTAATGGATCGTAATCCTTGTAGAAGTATTCGAGTAAGCTGCAATTCTCGTATCGCGGCATGGATCTTGTAAAGGAACGGAGCAGATTTGCTGCCATCGCGGTAGATTGGTGAGGCTGGCCGCCAGTGATGACGAAATTTCCTACTTATACTCTCGCACACTAATTAATATATTACTCTATGTATTATTACTCTGTGTATTACTACTCTATGCATTATTACTCTATGTATTGTTACTCATGTATTACTCGTAGTGCTGTGAGACGACCATGTACAGCTTGCCATATGATTGGCTCATCGGGCAGAATGTTACCACAAACGGGAACTGAAGCAACCCCAAATCCTGAGCCACCGTGAAGCCGTTGGCCTAGAGGTGCTACGAGGCGGCATACCTTCTGAAGAGGAGCCCGGGAGACGGGAGCCCGAGAGGCGGGAGACCTGCAAGGATTGTATAGGGGCCCAAGGCTGGCCGTTTCACTGTTCTCTGTCGTCGGCCGTGCGCAGGTGGTTGTCGGCAAGATGGCAATACCTTCGACGTGGTTCCTTCCTCGAAACTGGGTGATGGCCAGGCGGGTTGGAAGTCACCGGTCAGTTGCCCCTTCCCTGGAGGTTTGCGTGGCAATCGACCCCTTATCATTTCCCTCAACGGCATCTCCAAGATCGATCTTCGTCTTCCCCGTTCTGATACGCAAACACATCCAAGGTTGATCTTATCTGCACCGTCCGTTTACCATTCACCGTCCACAAGCATCCAGCATCCATAGGTGACAGGCACGAGCCAGACGTCTCGCTTGGGGCCAGCAACAGCAGAGGTGACCCCGGTGCCGACAGACGCACCAGCCTGCATGTACGCTTCCCAAGACTCCCAAGCAGCGCAGCCTACAGCCCGGGACCTCTTCTCCACAAGCGATGGAGATGCCAACGTCCGTGACCTGGGCTGTATGGGTGCAGCCGTGCTCATGGCCAAGTTCCAGATTGGCCTCGGTGCGCTTAGTCTCCCGAGAACCTTCCACACGCTGGGTTTCTTTCCTGGGATCCTCTGTTTCCTTCTCCTGGCATGCATCGCCCACACTTGCCGGATGCTGCTGCGGGAACGCCCGCCAATATTACCCCGGGATGCGCGGCATCGCCGACGCCGCGGAGCTCATGTTGGGCCGTAGCGGGAAGGAGATGGTTGGCTTCATCTACTACATCTACCTGGCCATGACGGCCGGAGCCGGCATTCTGACCACGTCAGTCGCTCTGAACGCGCTGTCGGATCACGCAATCTGCACTACGCTCTTCGTCTCGGTACCGCTCGCTCTGGCCTTCCTCATCGGCATCTGGTTTCGGGGCCTTGAAGAGATGGCTTGGATCAGCCGGGCTAGTGTCGGGTCGATCCTGACCTCCGTCTGCGTCGTGGCCTTCGCCGTGCTGACCAAGGACCGACCCGCTGCCGCCCCGTCGACGGGTTCGATCGATCTGAACATGCATGCCACGCCCAATCGCACTCTTTCTGAAGCCATGACGGCCATCTCGATCCAGCTCTTTGCCGTCGGCGCATCGGGGGCCTTCTTCTCCGTATCCGCCGAGATGGAGGACTCGCGCCAGTTCACGCGCTCCCTACTTCTAGGCCAGACATTCATCGTCGCAACCTGCATCGTGACCGCCAGCATCGTCTACGGAAAGGTCGGTCAGTGCATTGCCAATCCGGCGTTGGGATCCGCCGGGACCCTCATCAAGAAGGTGTCGCACGGTATTGCACTTCTCGGTCTTGTAGTCACGGCCATTCTCTACAGTCACATTGCCGCCAAGTACATCCTTGTCCGCATTTGGCGAGGCACGGCGGACCTGCAGTCCAACACGGTGCAGCGCTGGACCGTCTGGGTAGGTGCTGTGACGGCGGCGGTAGTCTTTGGCTTCATCATTGTCGGTGTAGTCCCCTTTCTTGGCGACTTCCTCAGTCTGGTCGGCGCCCTCGTCAAGCCTGTATTGACCAACGTCATCCCTGGCTTCACGATCCTGCTCTTCTTGGCCAGAGGTCCGGTCAAGGCTGCTCGAGACCCAACCGCATCCAGGGGCACGGAGAACACGGAGCCGCAGGCCAACTTCGTCATGGCGTCATTCCAAGTTTACAGGGAGGGATGGAAGAGGGCCGCCGCTCACCCTGTTGCCTGCTTCATGCTCCTCGCCGGCTTGCTCATCATCATCGGCGGGACGTACGCCACAGTGCTGAGCATCAAAAGGTCGTATGGCAATGGAGAGGTCGGCGGAGTTTTCCCGTGCGCTGACGACTCTCTCGGCTGAGCTCATGGCCGGATTCGGCTTGGCAACTGCATTCTTATCATGTACAATAGCCGTGATCGATTGACGGATGAGATGAAGTGCAGTGACAGTGGATATATACATGTTCTAGGTTCGTCTGGTCGTCTTAGGTATTTGGATTCGGGTATCTGGTTAAATCGTGGGGGTATCGTGCTGGTAGTCGTATATATATGTATATATATCCTGGGGACCGGACTCTCGTCACGGCGCCGGCGGCTGCGGATTGTTACCGACGGTCTTGTACAGATCCCTGAGCTCAAAGTCCTCCTGTCCGCCGCCCTCGGGCAGCTCCCCCAGCAGGCGGGCGGGCTGGCCGCCGACGATGGAGAAGCTGGGGATGACCATGTTGGGCGGGATGACGGTGCCGTCGAGGATCCTGACGCAGTCCTTGATGATGGCGAACTGGCCGACGGTGCAGCCCCTCCCGATGTGGACGTGGCTCCCGACCGTGGCGGCCTGGACGACGGACCCCTGGCCGACGAAGACGTGGTCCCCCATGCGGAGTGGCATGTAGGTGAAGGAACCTCGGTACATCCTCCCCGGGGGCCTGAGGAGAGCCCCCTTGGCCAGGAAGCAGTATCGACCGATGGCCACGGCCGTGGTGTTGGCCGGCGCCGTCGGTGCTTTCGGTGCTGCCGACCCCCCTCCTCCTCCTCCTCCTGCTGCTGCTGCTGCTCCTGCTGCTCCTGCTGCTGCTCCGCCGCTGCCGCCGCCGCCCGATGACGATGACGAAGAGGATGTTGATGGTGCTGTTCGTACGAGGTCGCCGCGGATCATGACTTCGGGTTGGATCACGGCTTTGCCACCCAGCATGATGTTTTGCGTTCCCTGGAGGTTGGCCTTGCGCGATACCTTGTTCCCGCTGTCCTGTTTTTTTTATAATAAGTAAAAAGAGTTTGGAAAGATTTGAAAGGGAAGGAGGATGGATATGGGGAAGAGAGAGTGTGTGCGTGTGCGTATGGTTTGAGCTTGAGCTTACCGTCTCAATGTATTCGCCTCGGGCTTGTCTGCGTGATGACATTTTTTTTTGGCGGTTGTCTTCTGTAATGTTGTGCCTGGATTTGGGAGGTGACCTCTCGAGGAAGATGAGGATGGATGGCACGGACGTGTCTTGTGCGTGTGTGCGTTGGAGGGATGTTGGGAGGTGTTTGGATGGTTGCTCCTTACGTCAGGAGCTGCGATGTTTCCATGAAGTTCCCCACTCAGATTAGTGCCAAGTTGGTGAAGATCATCTACCCTGTAGCTGCTGATAATGATGGGATTTTTTGGATTTTTTTTTTGGAAACTGTTGGCCAACCTCTTTGTGGATTTCGAGGTTGACTCTTTCTTCTTCTTCTTCTTCTTCTTTTTTTTTTTTTCCCTTTCTTTCCTTCTTTTCTTCGCCCTCTATCTGGTTCTGAACATCTAGAGTGGTGAGTTGATTTTGGTGGCTACTCCAGAAATGTGAGGGCTATGGATATGGAACACTCTTCTAGTGATACAAGATGACGGGTACACGGCAAGATCAGACGCTGAAGCCCGACGGATGAAACGGCAAGAAGGCAGAAATGTTGCAAGAGTAGTTTCAATGGGGGGGGAGGGGGGGAGGCGGGTGTTTGTGTGAGAGACTGGAGATGTCATGTTACCATGCAGATTCGTTGCAATGTCAATGCTGCAAAAACAAATTCAAGTTTTACGTTGAAGATGAGAAACAAAGTCGGACTGAGATACGAGGGAAGAAAGATGGATAAGAGGCAAGACGACATGGGGGTGGGATACTTGACATGTCACGCAATACACACATTCACGATATATCTACATACATCCAGACGGTAAGTCTGGAACCAACAGCAGACCCGTCAATCAGTTTGGACTGCAGTGGAAATGACATTCTTTACTCAATGGGGTAAATATGCGCAGGACTTTCGCAAGTAATAACTCGCATCCCTGTCTGCATATCAGAAAAGAAAAGGACCAACAGACAGTTCGGAAGAGGAAGCCGTGAAGAGGCTGAATTTAGCAACAAATGAATCTCATTGATTTATCATTGATTTATTGATTTATCCATTCCATTATAATCTTATCGCGCCCCTCCCCCCCCCCCCCCCCCCCCCCTGGCCAACACCATTGCCAGCTAGATAGAGATTTCCTCCTTCGCCCCCCCCCCCCCCCTCTCCCCCTCTCTCTCCTCAATAAGTGGGCTAAAAACAATCATGAGATATAATTAACCCCAATTCCTCCTTTTTAGTCTTTTTTTTTTTTTTTTTTTAAAAAAAAAAAAAGAGATAAAAAAAAATCTGTCAAGCTGCTGCTACTGGATGATATCGGGAGAGAGAGGAGATGGCCCCGCATGGAAATCCGCTAATCTGACCACTCAAGAGACCTCGTTTCTATTTTTACCCCTCATTACCAGCCAATCAGCCGACGAGCATGGGACCTAAGCGCGCTCGGCGGCTACTCGCTGAGGGGAGGAGGCTACCTTTCTCGCTTCTTCCTGTTCTGTCCTATTCGGCCTGCAACCAACCGGCCTCGCCCGTTTCCCTGCAGACGGAGTAACGGCAAGTAATCTATCTGAAAGTAGAGGGAGGGAAGAAGAAACGGCAGAGATTCCGGGGCCTTTTTTTTTTTCTTTTTCTTTTCTCCCCAAACATGGGGTTGACACGGACTTTTGACTCGTCAGCCTATTCTACCTGTCCTCATCAGAAGACATAGACACGCGAGAAGAGAAGGAGAACGGACAGGCATGCCTGGAAAGAAGACGGACGGATATAACGAATCGCCAAGATGCGCAACCGCTCGATCTGCAAATGATTGGGATGGGCAGGCGCCCGTGGGCCGCGCCCAGACGAGACCCTCCCCTCTCTTCTCTCCCTCTCTCTCTCTCTCCAGAGTGTCTGCTAGATCTCCACACACACACACACACACACGCACGCACGCACGCACGATGAATGTCTCCTCTCCCCAGCCATCCATCTTGTCCCGCCTCGATATTGACAGGGGGTTGCGTGTGTTGTTCCTTGCAATCTAGGTAGGGCGCCTACTCAGGTACGTGATACTCCGTAGTACTCCGTAATGATACATACTTGCTCGCTTCCTTCGCCTGTAGGGACCCACCCACCCACACACACACACACACACAACATCGTCTACATGCTTGCCCATCGATCCATGTATAAGACATGCATGCTCCTTCTGAACCCCGCCGTCCCCTTTGTTCTATTCATCAGCAACAAGATAGAAGACTTGATATCATATTCCAGCGTTCTGGTTCTTCTTCTCTTTCCTTTTTTTTTTCTCTTTTTTTTTTCCTGTCATTTTTCTCTCCATCTTCCCTTTGTCGATTTCCTATCGTCGTCTTACTTTTCCTTCTAGTCTTGGCCGGACCACTTGCATCTCAATATCCCATCACCACTACTATATCAACTATTACGACGACGACAGCGACACTCCAACCTCGATCAGAACAACTTTTCATCTTGTCATCTCTCTCTTTTTTTCTTTAAAGAAAAGGAAAGAACGAAAGAAAAAAGAAAGAAGAAGAAAACACATCTCTTCCAACAACAACACACAGCGCCGATATGATTGCCAAGTCATTCATCAACCTCGCCACAGCTCTGCTAGCAGGTGCTTCTCCCATCACCGATGCTTCATCATGCAGTGCTGGCCGTCCAAAGCCAAGTCTTCCTTCTACAGGCGGTGGTACGTTTTTTTTTTTTTTTCCATCTTTATTCTTCATCCTCACTCCGTTCGCACGTCTTCTTCACATCCCTCTGTTCATCCTCACCTCGTTCGCATGTCCTCTCTACACGTTTCTGCTCTTCACCTTCCCTCGCACATCCCCCCCTACCCCCTCCCTCCATCTCTTCTTCTTCTTCTGCTTCTTCTGCTTCCTCTCCCGTCTGACACCGTCCAGACACCGAGCTCCAGGCCCCGTCCGGCAACCTGACCCTCAAGCACATTGCCCTGGGCTTCGGCATCCAGAACTACACCTGCGCGGGCGTCGACGCCACCCCCAAGGCCACCGGCGCCCTGGCCGTCCTCTACGACATCACCGACCTCTACCCCGGCCAGACCTACCGCTCCCTCCCGTCCGTCGCCGCCTTCCAGCAGCTCGGCGTGACGGCCATGTACGGCTGCGACGTGCCCCTCAACCTCGACTCGTCCGCCCTGACGGGTTCGGCCGGCATCATCCACCAGGGTGCCGACGCCGCCGCCCCCTTCCCGGCCGACGCGCCCCTCGAGATCGATGCCGACGCCGCCGCCGCCGCTCTGCCCTCCTCCCTGTCCTCCGCCGCCTTCTCCGGCTCCATCCCCTTCCTCGGCCACCACTTCTTCGACGCCAGCAGCGTGCCCAACTTCGTCCTCTCCGACCTCGACTACGTCGGGTCCAAGGACCAGGAGGTCCCCGCGCCCAAGACGGCCGACAAGGGCGTCGACGGCACCGGCGCCGTCAGCTGGCTCCGCCTAGGGCCCAAGGACGGCACCTACGGGGCCAAGGAGCTGTACCGCGTCACCACCGTCGGCGGTGCCTCGCATGGCTGCTCCGAGGAGGGTCGAGACAGTACCACTTATACGGCTCAGTACTGGTTCTTTGAGTGATTCACACTTCTGTCTTCTTTGCTCTCTTCATTCCTCCGTCTTTTTTCTTTTCTTTTTCTTTTCTCGGAGGAAAAGGCGAAAATAATTGGCGTTTTCTTCCCCCATCATGTCTATTTTCACTCTTAGTTACAATAATCTTCAGCACAGTTTCTTGTCTTTCACTTGGGGAGTTTTCTTCTTTTCATTTCTTTTCTCTTCTTGTCGGTCTCTACAGAATCAGTTGCATCGGTATTTTAGACTATTAGAAAAGACCAAAAGCGGGAATCAGTTGTCAATACTCACTCTTTCTCACAAAAAAAAAAAACCCCCCCATTAAAAAGAGAAAAAAAAAAGAAATTCATCTGATATTGAATCGTCTATTTTTTTTTCTCCCCCGTTGTTTGTTATGAATATCTATTTACACCTTATTATATTAATAATAATCAATACCCGTCAGAATCCAAATCTCTCTCAACTGATTCATTGGCCATCGTCAACCCAATCCCGAGACTCGGACGTTTCACCACGCACCACGGGAACCCGATCGGGCGGCTGCGAATCGTAAAATTAGTAGTAATATATTACAGGCCACACGTCTATGACCGATTGCACGACATGCCGCTGCATATGGATGGCCATGCGTTTGATCAATCGCGATAATGTCAAATAAGAGGGCTAGGAATCGTACATTGCAGCATGGTTCAATGCTGTACAGCTTCGGAATTGTAGTCGTGGCCATGCATTCATAGCAACAACAAACAACATGGCGGCTAATAAGTGATGAACGTACACACACACACACACACATGACCCTCACTATATTACAGCTTATTCTATTCACCATCGTACTGCTTCCACCGTCACGGCCTGGCTCTCCGGTTTAATCCATTCATCCTTCTGTCCTTTTTCTCTTCTTCACCTGACTCCAGCCAAAAACAGTATATGCAGTCTAAGAGTACCAGACATGTAACAATAAAGGAGACGGCATATATATATATATATATATATATAAAGGGGGGATGAGTTTGGTCGGCTCTTCATTGAGAACCCGCCCAAGAAGAAGACGCAGAAAGTTTCAAGAGACCCCGCCCAAAGAAAAGTAGAAATCCAATAACGTAATCTGGATGGCTATGAGATGAAAGAGAAAACAGCAGACTCAATACACTCACCCTCCCCTTTTTTCCCTATTCTCAAAAACACTCGGGGCTAAATTTGGAAAGAGAGAGGAGAAAAAGAAAAAGAAGGAGGGAGGAAGCCTACCTCATCCCGGCGTCAAGACCACCGGCAAGGTCCTGCTCCAGTCCGTTGCCGTGACTCGCATACTCCTGGGGACGAGGATCCTCGGTAGTCCACTGGTTGCCACTCCCATCATTAGGTATGGGCACCTGTGCACCCTGCTGCTGTGCGGCCAGGGCAGCCTGGTTAGAGCCACCGGGCGCGGTCCTGACCGTCTGGCGGAAGCGGTGGACCTCGTCGAGGATGAGGTTGCGCATCTCGCCGACGTCGTCGATGACCTCGAAGTCGAAGTTGAAGGTGGTGGGGCAGTCGGGCTCGTCCGAGGCGTCGTGCCAGATGTGCAGGTACGGGTGCTTCAGGGCCTGCTCGACGCTGATGCGGCTGGTCGGGTCAAAGGCCAGCATCTTGTCCAGGAGATCCAGGGCGTCCGGGTTGGCCTGGGGGAACAGGCTCGGAAAGGTCTTCTTGGGCATGAACGGCAGATTGCGCACGTACTCCTGCGCGCGGGGAGAACCGATGCGGTTCAGCGTCTCCTCGTTCGGCGTGCCCAGAATATGAAGGATCTGGTTGAGCTGGTCGACGTAGTCACGGCCCTTGAAGAATGGCCTGCCACCCAGGAGCTCAGCGAGGATGCAACCGACGGACCAGACGTCGACTGTAAGCATCACGGGTCAGCTGATGTCTTCTTCTCCCTTCCTTCCCTCTCTCCTTCCCTCTCGGTCTTCTCGTCCCTCTCTTCACCCATATTCCCCGCATCTGCACCCGGTTAAGACGTACTAGCTTTGGTGTAGCTCTGGAAGCTGAGCATGATCTCGGGAGCGCGGTACCACCTGGTGGCGACGTACTCGGTCATGTATCCCGAGTTGACATCCGGATCGATGGAGAAGCCACGGGCCAGGCCAAAGTCGGCAATCTTGAGCTCGCAGTCGGCATTGACGAGGAGGTTTCCGGGCTTGAGGTCGCGGTGGAGAACGTTGGCCGAGTGGATGTATTTGAGGCCGCAGAGGATCTGGTAGATGAAGGATTGGAAGTGGGCGTCGGTAAGAGGCTGACCAGACCGGATAATGGCAGCGAGGTCGCACTCCATGAGTTCTGCTCTGCAGTCAGCCCTGAATCCCCACCCCCCCTCTCTCTCTGTCTCTCCATCTTCTAGTTAACTGACCCTCGTATAGATATGTCTCGTTAAAGTTGTCGGGACGCGGGATGTCCATGTCGTAGAGGCATGTTATCTAGAGAGAGCATGGTCGGGTTAGACGAGACACAACACACTCGGGAGTGGGGGTGACAAGAGACAAGAAGGGGCAAACACACGTTGCGGTGGCCTCGAAAGTGCTGAAGGAGCTTAATCTCACGCAAGGCGCGCTTTGCGAGAATCTTTTTGCTGAAAACATTGGTAATCTTCTTGATGGCGACGCCCTCGCCAGTGGTGTTATCCACGGCAGCGCTGTTTTTTTATCCCATCATTTGTTCATCGTCAGCGCATTGGCGGGGTGGGGGGGGGGGGGGGGGGGGGGGGGGGAGGATAGGGAGAGAGGTGAGTGTTGGAGAAGAAGGAAAACACGGTAAACTCACCAGACGATACCGTAGGCTCCCTGACCGAGCTCCTTGGTGACAGTGTATCGATCTTCGGCAACAAAATCTTGGTTGAAGACCTTGAACACCTTTCGGCCAGCGAGATCACCCATTGTCGTTTGCGCGTTCCGTAGCAGGTGAGGGGTTGGTTGGTTATGACGTTGTGTCGTAGAGTCAGAGAGACGAGCGAGATAGGGGCCCCAGCGATAGAGCAAGAAAATGTTCGCAAAAGGAGCAATATTAATAACAGAAGAGCAACCTTTCCATGCAAACAGAAGAAGGAAATATACTTGAGCAATGACAAAGAGTTTCTTTCTTCTTTTTTTTCTCGTATATGGATAGATGCAGAGGGAGAGAACTGGAAAGTACAAAAAGTACTCGTAGCACTCGTAGAGTCGTAGAGGAGAAAGAAGAGACTGAGGGGTCGGGCGGGGAAGAAGACAGAGAGAGACGGAGCTCTACTTGGTCAAAGGAAGGAGGGACCTTTTGGTTCTTTCCTGATTTGCGCCCCCGCAGCTGCACGTTGCTCGTGCGTGATGTTGATGACTGATGGAATTAGCCGTACACTTGCAACTTCAGTAACACAGATTGACAGTAGAGGTAGTAGTACCATATCATGTATAGGTCCCGTACTCCGTGATGCGTCTATAGAGACCAAAAAGGTCAATGATTCTAAAAGTAGCAACCTGTTACTGTTTATGACTGTCTTCCTCGATAAATTAACTGATATCCGGAACTAACCTTTAGGTACCGTTACTAGTCTCTGGTATTAGATCTCGGACTCTTTTTTTCTAAGAATACACTCGTATTGTTTCACTGTCATCGTCTACCAAGGCGCCAGTACTCTCCAGCCAATGACGCAGCCTCTCTCCTGTCCCCTGTCCTGTCATTCTACTCCGTATTATTATTATACGACTATGTAATACTACTACAACCAAATGGCATTCTTTAGTCCTAGGCGCGCGCCAATATATAATATATATATATATATATATACCAAAAAAAGAAGAGCAGTATTGATCTCTTAATATCAATGCTAATCTCTTCTCCTTCATGTACAAGTAAATCGTCCAAGCAGTTCCAGAACTACAGCTTTGTTCTATTTCTGCAATGGCAGTGCAGCGGTTTCGTATTCGTGACAATCATAACCCGAGGAGGGGGGCCATCATGACACGTGAAATGCTGTGCTCCATCATCATGGTTGGTTCAGGTATCTGTGCAAATCAAATGCAGTAGTAGTATTGTAAGTCTATCTGTTATTTCATTTCGCATGACTACTCCTCCTCTTCATCCTCATCATCTTCTCTCTGTTCATCTACCTCTTTCCCCATCCCGCCTAAACCTCTCAACCTCACCATCTCCGCTGAATAGTATTACTCTCGACAAAGTTATTCCCCGATGACCTCTACCAGAAAGTTCTTGGAGAACCTCAGACACTGCTCATACGCCTTCTCGAACCCGTCCGTCCCTCCATAGTACGGGTCGCTCACCGTCTCCGCCTTACCCGGCCGTCCGCTCCACTCCCCAAACAGCATCACCTTGGCCTTGGCATCCGGGTTGCCCCTCTGCATGCGCTGGAGGTCCGAGAGGTTCGACCGGTCCATGGCGAAGATGTAGTCGAATTTGTCAAAGTCTGTCGACCGGAACTGTATCATGTATAATTTTTTTTCAAAAAAGTGTCAGCAGCCACACGCATGCACACACTCGCACACTCTCTCTATATCTCCCTCCCCCTCCCCCCTCCTTCCTGTCTCCTTGGATGACGTGGCAAGGTATCTTTCAACATACCCGTCGAGCCTCGTGGTCAAAGCCGTGGATGCCGTTGTCCTCGAGTGTAGATAGGGTCCGAGAATCGGGCATGTCGCCAGTGTGGTAAGCAGCTATTCACAGCGTCAGCAGTCCATCACTCTCCTCTATCTCGTCTCGATATGTAGACTCACCCGTCCCGCAAGAATCAACCTTGCCGATCTTTCCCTTGTACTGCGGCTGCTGCGCCATGTGTTGGAATATTCCTTGGGCCATGGGTGATCGGCAAATGTTGCCCAAGCAGACGAATAGCACCGAGACAGGTTCAGGCATTTTTGTTGTCTTTCTCTTCTTCCTCGTTCCCTCCTCTTCAACCTTGCTCTCTTTTTTTCTTTCCTTTTTTTCTTTTTCTATCTTTTCCTGCCTGCGATCTGTTCTTCCTCGTTTCCGTATCGCTTCGTCGTCGGGTCTGCGCGTGCGGAACCACGGGAGGACGGGGTGTAGAGAAGAGCGGGGCGAGAGGTTAGAGAGAGAGAGAGAGAGTACAAAGTCTGCGGTCTCGGGCGCTTTGATTTGTAGGGAAGTGAGAGAAGAAGAAGAGAAGAAGAGAGAGAGGCCTCGCTATTGTATCGAGAAAAGGACAGACGTGATAAGGAGAGGAGTCTGGATGGCTGGAGAAGAGGAAGGGAGAGGAATAAGAAGAGAAGAAGAGAAAAAAAGAGTATTAGATCATTTCACCCCACCGCTTCCCACCTCCCCCGGTCCTGGCTGATTGCAATCCTTGGAGGGGCAATAAAGCTCTCCTACAGTACTATTTGCACTGCACTTAATATGGCCAGGCTAGAAGGGGAAGAACAGTGTGGAGCTTGCATGCTATGACATCGTCATAGCAAGCAGTATTAATAATAGTCAGTGCCTGTATCCGTACCACTCCAGTACGAGTCGATGATGGTAAACCTCGACAGAGAGCACCAGCGGTATTATCATTGCATAGGCATCGATTGCACGCCTCTTTATGGGATATTACTTGATGTGTGCTGTTGTATTGATGGTAGCTTTATTACTCCGTACTCGTACTGCTATTCTGAGGCGTATCATCTCACTCGGTAACATTGTAATAAACCGGACAGGTGAATTTGAGGAATAACCGCCGTCGGGGGTACGCCCCTTCCTAGGTGGACCGGCCATATTAAAATCATTTCATCTTTAGCTGGCATCCTTTCCCGCTGGGCTTCTATAATCTGCGACGTGATGACTGGCAAGACTATGATCCTCCCGCCTGGGTCAAGACCGGAAATCACTTAATATCTGGGGGATGGCCTTCGTACTCATCTGGTCTTCATTTCTTAGCTTTCCCATTGTTATTTTTTTTTTGGCGTGCTTTTATTTATTTATAATAAATATATGAATCATCTTGATGTATATAATGTCCATGCCACCACATTCACATGTTGGGGGATCACATGATACTCTAACGACAATTGGAACACACACACACGCACGCACGCACACAGAGCTGAGTGCATCGGTAGAGACATAATTGTAAACATGGTGAATTTGTACATTTTCTCGCAACTTGTGCAACGAGAGAAATGAATGTGTTTCGATACAGTGGCACGCGGCATATCCTCTCCCAACCCGTCGCCCAAGTCAGTCATATATAGAGTACCGAAAGAACATTGTGTGTGACAAGAAGTAACAAGCCAGAATAAAAAGACCAAGAAAGGCGCCTTGCTAGGATAGACAGTAAAAAGCAACAAAAGTGTGGAGTATACAGTAAAGGTTACATGGTTTCCCGATTCCCTGTTTTCCAGGGACATGAGAATGTCACATGGCGGTCAAGAGGAACAGTCAAGCCCCCTGGCACGCCTCCGAGAGAGGTGGTGGTGTGTGTGTGTGTGTGTGCGTGTGCAACGCAGGAGAGGATGGAAAAGGGGGCTCAGGGGGAAGAAGAGTCGTCATCATCGTCATCATCATCCCCGCAGCTGGCGTTCCCGCCTGAGCGTCTCGAGGACTCCGATGACGCCCGTGTTGCGGATACGCTCGAGGACGTGACGCATGCCGTCGCGGCTCTTGCCCAGCTGGTCCCGCGTCTTGTTGGAGGCCATCGACTCGATGGTGCTGCCGATGCGTCTGGCACCCCAACCACCGGCCAGGCCTGAGAGCCAGCCGCCACCGCTTTCGCTGGTGGCACTGCCGCTCTTGAGGCTGCCGCGAATCTTCTCGCCCAGCCGGGACCGGAACATGACGCTGGTGGTCACATCCGTCTCCTGCTCGGCCTTTAGCGAAGGGATGCTGAAGTTCTGCCTCTCGACAACGGACAGCACGCCCGTAAAGTTGAGGTTCTTGCTCTCGCTGCTCATCCAGCCTTCGCGAATATCCACGACGCTCGTCTCGAGGACGTACGAGGCCTTGTCACCCGATCCCCCGCCCGTCACGCTGGCCGGTAGGAGCTTGTACACTGCGCTCGGCATCCGACTCTTCTTCAGGTGGATCCTAGTCGTGTGAAGCCGCTGCGTCTCCGGGTCGACATGGGCCTCGATGGTGTCGGTGCTGAGGACGTGGGAGGCGAAGGGGTTGAGTCGCGGGGACGAGTACCTCAGGAAGTAGGCGAGGGTGACGGTCGGGAAGGGGTGCGAGTAGGTGTGCGAGGTAGAGTGTGTGAGAACCATGATGGCGTCTCTGCCCTTTCTTTCTCTTTCGGATATAAAGAGGGTCTTCCAATCCAACTTGTCTCTTCTCTGCTCTCCCAGAGCGTAACCTTTCTCAATGGATGGTGTCAGGCATGGGCGCACAGGAAGAAAGCCGGTCAGTCAGCTCTCGTCGTCGTCGTCGTCGTCGTCGTCGTTGTCGTCGTCGTCGTTGTCGTCGTCGGCTCGGAAAAAAATGGAAGTGGCGGGTGTAAGCAAGCACAGCCCGTAAATTGCCGAGGCTAACGCGCAAAGAACTGAGGAAGGAATTGAGAAACGGGTATTGGTCACAATTGTCGGATCAAAGATGAGAAAGAGGAAGAGAAAAGGAAAGAAAGAAGGAGAGGGACCAGAGGAAGATAAAAAGGGAAAAGAGGGGTTGAGCCACTGCCTGCTTCTGAGGGGGATGGCGTGGTGTGGTTCGGTCAGGCAATTCTGTGGAAGTCGTTCGACCAGGAAAAATCCCAAGGGAAGGTGCCATCGACCGTCGTAACCTTTTTTTCTGCATTCCCCCGTCTTCCGTGGGCTCCAGCGAATCAGGGGTAGCACTGAAGCTTCTGATTGGGCTCTGGTGCGGGGTACCCACCATCTTCCCTCCAGAAACGCTATGCTTATTCACGTGACCTTCTCACGCGAGCTTCGCTACTCGGCTTAATAGCCACTCATTATTAATCTGAAGTCATTCATTTGGACCATTTGGACCCTCGAGAAACGGATATATGGTATACCTATGGGCATCGGTACTGCCATACGGATTACAGTATGGTATGGAGAAAAAGTACGGCGATATCCGTAATAAGAGCAGCAGCAGCAGCAGCAGCAGCAGCAATAGTAGTAGCAACAATATCAATATCAGAGATATAATCATGCAACAATCACTGCACTCCTTCATCTAGGCTTCTGATAAAGCGATCACCACTAGGGCAACGACGGCAGCAGCAGGCGGAGGAAGAAGGTACGCGCTCCGTCTCTCCGGACCCTTCAGAGTCAAGGGACTGCCTTGTTTTTCTCTATCATTTGCTGGTAAGCCGACACCCGGGATTTTGTTGTTTACAATGTAGTGTACGGATATCTTCAAATACCATCACACGAGGCCGCCGGCAGAGCCGAAAGATAGACATAATTCGACCCTTCGTCAGGGACAGGGCTGTCCGCGTCAACGCTGATTTCGTAGCATCGCGATGGTTCCAGATTGAAGACAACAACCTGATCGATACCGCACAGCATATTGCCCTCGATGGAAGAGCAGCACGTGCCGGCGATAGACCGGGTAAAATCAACAACTGTTACTCTTTCCACCAACAGTTGGGGTGCGATGACATCCAGTTCGTGTAGATACATGTGGTGGACGCTGTCGCGATGCATGAAGAAACCGTTGAAGGGGCAAGACATTCGAGGGAGACACGTTGGTACAGGTACTAGGCAGAGTACTTCAACCACCGATAGAGCGTCGCATGATCAACTAATCGTTTTTGTGTGTCTATCGAGGCTTTCGTTTCTTTGGGAAGCAAGAGGCTTTATATTTCTATTTGATCAGAGATCAAGAATTGACAGGCCCGTACGCGAACCAACGGCTGTGAGAAAACGATACTGTATTTTGGCTATCTAGTGCCATCGTTGAAACTTGAGTAGTCTATCCACATCAAGCACACGCCTAGGACCGACCAAGCCTGCCGTTGCTCAATCTAAGCACAACAAGTTGAGAATGGGCGATGGCAAGCGCGGAAACAAGGACCAAGGAAAAAAAACAAGAACAGAGGAGAGTAAAGAGCACAAGTAGTCAGGGGGAAAAAAACAGTTATGATCATGGAAGAAGGCAGCTGGAGGAAGACCAGTCTTGCATGACTTTAGCACGTCGCATAGGTTGGATGTCAACAGGTTCCTCAGTGGACCTCCGGACTGAGGGGAGGTGCAACACCGGCATTGTCGTTGGCGCTGTCTCTGATGGCTTTGCCAGCTGCCCTGCCCGTGGACAGTTTGTACATGCTGCGGAGAGCCAGGCCGACAGTTCTTTCACGGAAGTGATGGCGTCGCATGGTCTCGTTCCTCGGCCTGGCATCGGGGGAGGAGGGTCGGGCTCAGGCACTCGGACGTCATCGTCTCCGCGCTAGGGCCAGAGTCCGGATCGGCTCGACTGGCGGCAGCAGGGCCGACATCGGCGGAAGTGTTGGTTGATGAACGGGACTCGCGTATGGGAATGGGAGCTCTCCCCTCTCCCTTCACCATGGCTGAGATGCTAGCAATTGCAGAAATCTTTCGTACCTGGCGACTACCGGTGCTGACGGTGGCCGGATCGTCACCTGAAGAGCCGCTCCTGCCCTGCCCCCCTCCTGGAGCTTCTCTTTCCGTCCCGAGTGCTCGGGCCACCGGCCGTGGCGGGCGCCGGGTTTGGGGGGCTGGCCTACGGCGTCTTCGAGTCACCGACTTTCTCGCCTTCGGGATCGTCATCTGGGTCGATGAGTCCCCGTCCAAATATCTTCGCCGATGGAGGTATATCGGGGAGATGGCGATGCAGCTCATTAGGCGTCTCGCCCGCGCCCGACAGGGCTGCAATCTTTACCATCGCCCACTGCGCGTCCACAACATCCTTCATGTTTTTCTCGTCTTCCCTATCGATGCGGAATATCTGTTGGCGACTATCTTCCCATAGCCGACCTTGGTAATCGCGGGTCATGGACCCTCGGCAAGAATGCGATGGCTTCTGCGCCAGTGATTGCCTCAGCGATTGGGCGATGTCGTTGATGGCATGGTCCGTGCTGATGTCGACCCGTCGTCTGAACTCGGCTGTCTTGGCATCAGCAGGAGACACGTAGTGAGCCTGGACAGACTCGGAGATGGAACCGGGGAGCCAGTTCCATTCCACAGAAGCCTCAACGAAGTCGCGCTCGGAATCTGTTTCAGCCGCGTCCGGTGAGTGATCCGTAGTGCCGATCCAGCGGAGACCAAAGTGAGCCTTCGCCCAAGAAGTGTGCAGAGTCGGAGACAGACAGATCATATTCCATGATTTGTCCGAACTCGCGAGCTCGCCATTCTCGGGAGTAAAGAGCTCCAGCAGGCGGCTCCGAATTTCAAGGCTCATCGTTATCGCTGACTTTCCAAGAGCGCGCCGAGTACCATCGCGATTGCCTTGTGAACCGTTTACGGCAAATGGCCATATGTGGCCAGCCTCATGGACAGTATCAGAGGTGAAGAGACATCGAGAATAGTCCCTGTCCCGGACCTACATGGAATTATTTAGCGAGTGCATGGTGTATGGTAGAACGGGTTCCAGCTGGTACATGTCTATGTGTTGGATACCTTTTGCCGGATTGCCGCGGAGCGGTTTCGCGTGCCATCGGCGCGGCCTCCTGGCTGGTAGGCGGCGTCACCGTCGCTGCTGCTTGCGCCGCTGCTGCTGGTTCCCTCCTGAGGCCGTGTCCTCGCGATGGACGTTCTAGCGTGGGAGGATCGTGTTTCCTTCCGCTGAGCGTTCTGAGGGTTCCTTTGCAAGACTATTATTCACATGGTTAGAGAAGACGAGAGGACTGACCAACAAAGGATGGGACGGGAATCACCTGCATATGGCTAGGAGGTACTCAGTCTGATAAAGAGTGGCCAAGAGGTCGTCTCCGGAGCTGGCATCGACAAAGAGAACGAGGCGGGAAAGGTCCACCGTCAAAAGCAGCGCAAGATGTATCTGATTCAAACGGAAGTTGCGAAATTCCTTTGAAATCTCTACCGGCGCAGAGCGCTCCCATAGATGAACCATCTAGACGATCTTTCTATCCAGACGAAGTCGGGCCTCGATCTCCTCTGGGGGACAGATTTGCTCCTCGGTGGGCGAGAATTGCGGAACTGCAGTTATCTGGTTATCCACGTCGTCGATGGATGCAAGACTGTTCGATGGACAGTCCAGAAAAAAGTCTAGGTTCCGGTGACGATGCTTTCGTTCTTCTGCCGTGACTTGGCGTTCCCTCAGGAGTGGCATGATGGCCGAAGTGAGGTGCGGTTCAGGAGATGGTGATCGGGAGGAAGGAGAGCTCAATATAAGAAAGAGAGAAAGAGGAATGTTATCCTAGGCGGACGATTATTGAAAGCAGGTAGTTCAAGGTCGTTGCCACTCATAGTCGCCTTGTACGCAGCTGTGGCTGAACACCCAGGGTTGACTGTTTGCCTTCAATGCTTATAGCCGCTTAATTTGTGCGCAGCTGCTTTCACTTACAGCTTGCGTTTGCCTTTCAAATGCATTTCCAGAATAGAGCTTGGCAGGATCCTGTATTTTCCGCTAACCACGTTTGTATTACGCACCAGTCAGGAGTTCTGTCATCGGGCCATTGTGCATCAAGACGATCGCGGGGTATGCTTCAGCTGTGATGCATCCCGGAACGATACGACTGCGTAAAGCCTTGACATTGATGAATTTCGCGTACCTGCAGTTCAATCTTCTATCAGGATCAGCCACAGTTAAGGATGAAGCATAGCGTATGAGCTTTTGCTGCAGAAGTCGATGCAGGTGCTTATTTCCGCGTCCACGTAACTCCGTACAAGTGGAAAGAGCGAACAAGGTCACTTTGATACCCCTGCGCGCTCCTGCGAATCTCTAACGCCCGAATGTTCAGTCCCAATTTCGTCACAGCCGATATGCCTCTCATTGCCTTTAAGATGGCTAAAAAGAGTATAAGTAGGAAAGAAGAGGGGAACATCGAATACAGAGAGTATCAGCCGACCGGATAGACATACGGCCGTGGCAAACCGCCGCCATTTGCTGATATATCAATCACCTTAACACTCCTGTCACACAGAAAGAGGCATGTTCGTCTCTTTTTTGGTCTGTCTTGTGGAAGGCCGATGGTTGATGTATGTTGTTGGTTGTGATTGTTCTATGCTAGAAGGAACGGATCTGACGTTATCATAGCCGAGTCCCGCCTTACCTAAGCTATAGATGAAAACACAGTAAAAGAGTATGACAACGGGCCTGCTTACCACGATCAGCAACCATTATCACTAGTACCAAGTCGTCAAGCGTTGACTAGATACTAAGCGTCGTCCCCTGAATATCATTCATCTTACCTAGAGTAGTTCATTTCGTAGGATAATAAATATCACCTGTCCATCCATTATTTATGGTAAAATAATATCGCGATAAAGTCGGTCGCAGTATGTGTTGGCTAGCAATCATTCCTTTTTAGAAGGAGTGCGTAGTGACTAGGCCAAACGCGGCGTGACCGCCGCTTTTCCTGCTGGCCGTTGAGTATTCTCGTCATTGGTGGACCGGTGATGCAGGAGTCAGGACAGTGCGTCGTGGGACATCCGTGGACATCTTTAGAATGGAAGAAATACTCAAGGTATAGAAGTTGAGTACCTCGATATGCCAGAGGGCCGGGTCAGACGTTGGGCAGGGCGGCACACGTGACGGAAATTTGGAGGAATCAGAAAGCTGCGCCCGTGGCAGCGTCATACACATTCCAATAACTCCCAGCCGTTGGTAGAAAGAGAAAGAGGGGGGGGGGGGGGGGGGGGGGGGGGGGACGAAGAAATGCGTAGTGGGACACCACCGCCACCTTCTCTCTCCCCCTCACAAAAAAAAAAAGCACAGCTAGACCAAAAACTCAGATTCAACAAAGTGGTTAAGGACGATCCATCCCTCAGCAAACGTCTCCCGGTCCATCCGTACAATCAAGGCCGCGTGCGAGTGCGCGTTACGGTGTATCCACACGGGGTACTTTCTCCAGCCGAGAGTGTTCAGCGAGTCGATGGCGTGGAACTGGGCAGCCGTGAGCGCCAGCGTAGGCTGAGTCGGGATCGACATCCTACGTTCCTTTCTCATGCGCGACAGCTGCTCCTCCGCCGTGGCCTGGGCGTCGGCGGCGTCATCGTCGACCTCGTCGTCGTCGATGGCCAGGTACTCGTTGTCCTGTGAGTTGTTGAGCGCCTCAAAGGCCTGCTGGACTTCGTCGCGCAGACCCTTTATGAGCAGAGGGAAGCGGTACTCGTCAACGTTGATGCCCGCCTTCCCACCCTCGTGCAGACGGACGCGGTTGGAGCTGCGCACCGTCTGGATGACCGAGTTGATCAGGAAAGCCACCACGCCGACGGGCATGAAGAAGATGAGTTTCAGGGCAAAGGGGAGCATCTTGATTGCGTAGAGGCCAGACTCCCACGTCGTGGCGGCCGTCTTCGACTCCGGGAGGGGGACCACCGGGCTGGCCATGTCGATGATGACGGGTTCACATCCGGGGACGTAACGCAACTTGAGCGTTTCGGGGTTCTTGTAGATGTCCGTCTTCTCAATGGCAGTCGTGTAGTACACTGCGCTTCGGTCGTTGACGATGTTGGTGTACAGCGTGTGGCGCCTGAACCGGCGCAGCCCGGACATGAAGATGGATTTCGGGTCGGCCAGAATGGCCAGCAGCGGTCGTTCCGTGTCGCGGAACTTGTCGATCATGAAGAGCTGGCGGCCCGACATGGCCAGCGTGCGGGCCCCCATGACGTTCCATATGTGGTTGTGCCAGCCCTTGAGGGGGGTGCGCACACCGAGGTGAGGGGTCGCAAAGGTGGTAAAGTTCTTCTCCCCCCAGTCTTCCCCGTCAGCGGAGAATCAATCACGCAAGTATGGATGATAGGGCAAGCCGTGCTCTGTCCCAGAAAGAGTACTCACCATACACTCGACCTTATCTAGGAACCCCTTAGCGTGCAGTAGCCCGACGGCATATCTAGACACCAGCCCGCCGAGCGAATAGCCAATGATGCTCAGCTTGGTGATTTTGCCGCCCTGCGCCTCGATCAGCCTGATCTCCTCCTCAAGCTCTGCGCATACCCGCTCGCCGCCGCGCTCGATGCCATCGTACGTGAAACTTCCGGTGTTGCGCTTGGCCAGCAACAGGTACAGCTCGTCGCGGCCGTACTTTGCGCGGAGATTCTTGGCGATATTATTCAGGTGATCGGGGTTACCCCAGAGCTATAGCCTCAGTCAGTCTTCGCATGTCAAATTTCTGCCAGGACTCCCCTCCCGGCTCCCGGGGTCCGTATCTGGGATTCCGTATGAGAGGGAAGGGGAAGGGGGGCGGGGATGTGTACACCGTGGACGAGGACGCAGAGGTGCTGAGCCTTGGGACTGCCGCCGGCGTCGCCCATGGCAGAAGAAGCGCAGAGATGGTGACGTGTGGATCGTGTTCAGAGAACAAAAAGAAGTGATAGAGAAGAGAAGAACAGTTCGGTGTATCACCCCCGCTCTCCTTCTATCTGTAGTGGGCTGCGGTTTAGGCGGAAAAGAAGGGCAGGAGATAAGACATGACAACCGAAAAAAGTGTCTCGTCCGAGTCCCACAAGCATCGCCGATGGCACGTGTCACAGGCAGAGTTGGGTGCACCTCTTGACAACGATCGATAATCACTGACCCTCAAGTGCAATCTCCTTGAGCTGGTCATATCGCGGCGTTCCCACGCCAGTAGCAGGATCCCATCCCTCGACAGCAGCAAATCCAGCACCGGGGATGGCGGGCGCAGGTAGATTTGCTCGGCTTGTCCCTTCGCAGCCCACCGACGAGCCGGCAACAATGCTGTTGGAATCCAAGTCAGTCACGGAATTCCAACGAAGAGATCTAAAAGGTATCTACCCACTCGGTAAATCCCGCCTTTCCCTTGCCGTAGATCCAGGGGTTTAGGAAGCCCAGGGCCGGCTGGCCGCGGAGGAACCGTTCGTTGTTCAGCCGGGCAACGATAGCCGCGACCACGGGCGTCGAGGCACTTTTACATCCCTCCTGTCAGCCACGTGGTCTCAACCTTCTTCGCTCTTCGTATAAGCCGATCGACTCACCTGGTGCCGCCGCCGTCTTCGACCTCGCCATGGTTCACAGTCTTGTGGCCCAGTCCAAAGGCCGCCACGTCGGGGTACGCCCTGCCACTCGAGTTGTAGTAGGCACTCCACTCCTGGCCGTGGACATCGAGGTACGATTTCACGACATCGTCCTGCCACGCAGGTCGGGCCCAGAGGTTGGAGAAGCCTCCACCGGTGAAGTAGACGGCTGTCTCCGGAGAGTTACCTTCTGTGGCACCCACGGCCGTGACGTAAGGGCATGATGCAGGGAACTGGGCGATGAAGATGGTGGTGTTGGTACCGTCATTTGACTGGCACCCCGCACCAGGGCCGACGTCCCCAGACGCCACCAGGATGGACACGCCGCGGGTTCCCAGCTGGCCAAACATCTCACAAGTCTTGAGGGCGTTCTCGCGAGGCATGACCTGCTCGTTCATCCCGTACGAGATGGAGATTACCTGCGGCAGCTTTTCGTCCGGCAGATCGAGGAGGTACTCTGCAAACTCGAGGTACGGCTCGACATAGTCGGTGTCTGTCGCCTCGGGAATGCTGATAAACAGTGTCAACATCGATGTGGTACCATGTGAGGGGGAGAGAGGAACTCACTCAAGATCGGGGTTGAAGTCCCAGAGACCGCCTCCCACGGAGATGAACTGAACCGGTACGTCATACGCCATGGCTACGGCGTACTGGATGTCCATGTTGGCCTCGCCGCTGGCATAGTTTCCCTGGGGGTTCACTCCGCCATTGACCAGCTCCACGGTGATGTTGGACTTAACATAGGGCGCATAAAGGTGATTGAACTCGTCGAAATCGTCAAACTGCACTGTCTGCTGTATCGGTGTTAGCACGATCAGGCTGTCGGTAAAACAGGGCCACGGCTACACATAGCCGCACACACCTCGAGGAAGCCCGGGACGCCAAAGAGCCCCTTGGGATGCGTCTCTGCAGGTGGTTCGTCCATGTAGTAGATGGCGCGGATACAGGCCGGGGTGAGTGTCTCGACGCAGGCTGTCAGATTGACTTCGACCGAAAAGGCGCGTTCAGCGAACATGGGGGCGTCGACCTTTCGCCTGGCAGCCAGACTGGAAGAGAAGCTCTTGGCTTTTCTCTGACCGTCGGGAGGGGTGCCCATCGGTCGAACCACGGAGATGTACCGACGCACATGCTCCGGCATAGAGGCCTCACTCAGCGGCAGGCCACGCCTGGAGGACGAAGATGTGGCAGACTTCACGCGAGCGGGGACACGGGCACGAACCCACTGGCCCCTGTCCTCGATGTGCTCCGGCGACACACCCTCGTCGAGGAGCCATCGCTTGACAGAGCGGAATGCCTCGGGGGGCGGCTGGAGGAGGGCCTTGGCCTCCTCGCGGGACAGGTGATTCCCATAGTCTGGGTGATTGGGATCGGAGACCTGGCAGAGCACACGGTCCAGCTGGCCGCGATCCTCGGGGTCAAGACCAATGTACGTATCGACCAGGTCGCGAGATGAGGTAGCATCCGACGCTACGGGCGGGTGGGTAGCGGCACCCGCAACGGCGGCCATGCCGGCCAGGACGACAAGGCAGGGGAGACGCACCATGATTCCTCAAACGCGTGCGTGTGAACTGATTCTTGATTTCTCTTTTTTTAATAACTCTTCTCCCCCCTTAATTATGCGTGTTCTCTCGTGTGAATGCCGTCCAGGTTACATACATGTACATGAGATGACGGATGATTGACGATCAGAACTGAGATGGGGGAGAGAGGGATGCCACCGACCATATATCGTTGTCTGGCGACCCGGCAAGGCAAGGCACGAAAACGATAAGCTAGACATAGTTGACGGGAAGAACCTATGATTGCATGGTTACAAGGTTGCACAATACTAAGGAGCGTTGGTATTGTCCTGCGAGGATCAGGCTGTTGCGTTAGGAAGACAGGGACGCAGCAGATGTGAGATGTAATACTCCGTAGAATGCACGAAGAACCCCCTCTCCCCTTCCCCTCCTCTTTGTTGGTTAGTCGGAGGTTTCTTCTAGAAACTAGAGTACCTTGATTGCTTTTCCCCCTTTCTCCCGGGGGACGATTGACGACGGGTCATTTCCTCTTTCTGAAAGGGGGGATGTATCCTTTGTTGSTTGCACTGTTCTCTGTCGGACGCATGCTSWMSTCYYCCCCCCCCCCCCCCCCCCCCCYCCACYCCCCTCCTCCTCCTCCTCGTGAGATGTAAATATTCCACCGGTCAGTCTGCATTTCAAGAGAGGAGAGCGATGACACTCCTATAGTATTTCTTGTCATACGCGGACGGGACAAGGTGACCTGGTGTTGTATGGATGTTGACTGTGTACCCTGTTATCCTCAAAAGATATTGCTGTCGTCATCGTATGATTGATAGAGTGATCATGTCATCATCTCTCAACCTTTCAGGCAGTAACTTCCTTCTGGCCCATTTCTGGCCTGAAAATGACTTGGAGAACGACTTCTTTGTATACCTGAGGCATACAGGCCCTCTCTCTCTCATCTCTCATTCTTTTTTTTTTTCTTTTTTTTGGTGGGGAGAGGGGGGTTGGTTATTTTAATTATATTTGTTTTCTTTGACTCATCACCAAATTCTGCCATGAACCCATCACACCGCCCTGATCCCCCTCCACCTAGAGTATAAATATCTCGCACACCTCCCATCATTCTTTGATCTTTTTTCTTTTCCTTTTCTCCTCAGCTCTCTTTGCCTTTTGGCTTAGATCAAGTGTAGTATCTGTTCTTTTCAGTTTAATCTCTGAAACGTCTCTATGGAGACATTCGTGATTATTCCTATTTTTGGTCTTTGGGGAGGATTTATCCTCTGTGCTTGCACATGATTTCCTCCCATCGTGTCCCTGGTATTACACTGCCTCCAGGTGACGCAAATATCTTGTATCTCTTATGAGGTTCTTGTTCCCCCCCCCCCCTCTTTCATTACGTGCCTCAGGCTTGCCTGGGACGTGAAGAAGTTTTGCACCACATCCACCCCCTAACAATAAACTCATCTCCTTGTTACTCTGAAATATCCTCATTTGGAGGGGCCGCACACATGTTCAGCTCGAGCATTTCTCTAAGGTTTTTATTGCTAGCAATTGTACCTGTGGACGGGATTGCAGTTCTATTCATTTCTCGTCTTTCGCAATTCCAACTTGCATCCTTCCTCATCCACCCTACCCCTCTGCAGCACATATATGACCGGAGAAGACCGGGATATGGGTATATCTAAAGCAAAAGAATCAAAGAATCCCCCCCTCCCCCCTCTGAAACATTGTCTGCATCTTAGGATCCCGACCCGCCAGACGGCCTGCTCCTCTTCTGGGCCCGAGCCTTCTGCGCCGCCTTCTGGGAAGGATAGTACTCCAAGTCAGAATCGTCATCAACGGGTCTCTTGGCGGTTCTCCTGGGATAGAAAGTGGCACCGGCTGAAGTGGAAGTAGGCCGTGCGGCGGCACAAGAAGCTGGAGCAGACAAAGTAGCTGGAGCAGATAAAGTAGCTGGAGCGGGCAGAGCAGTTGTGCTGGTGTGCAGCCTCTGGGAGGAGCTGCCGGAGTTGAGGCTGACCTGGTTTCTGTTGCTGGCTGTTGCCGCGCCGGCAGAGCTACCAGGTGGAAGAGAATCAGTCCTCCTGCCCTCCGTCTGGCCGGAAACCCTGGGCTTGTTGCCGGACGGTTTCTGGGCGTGGATCGAATGGCAATGACTGCTAGATCGACTGCCCGACTTAGAGACGAGCCTCTTGTCCAGACGAGCTGTGTCATGGACGATGGAATCGTGTCTCATCCTGATCTGCGCCGACACCCCTGTCCCGTGCAGGAGCTTTTCGGCCGACATCGTGTGGGCAGGCTTCCTGGCAGCGTCAGCTCCCATATAGGAGGGCTGGCTAGGAATTCTATGCGTATCCTTGATGACTGGCCCCGCCTCTGTTGACGCTGTCGTGTTCTCAAAAGACCTAGGCGTGGTGGCCGTAGTGATCGTCGGCTTGTCGGGGACTGAAGTGACGTTGACCGAGGAATCAGGGCTGGCCTTGCTCGTCGCTGCACCTGTAGTGTCTGGGGTCTTGACTGGAACGGAAGCGGGAGCAGGAGTCGGAGCCGGGGTGGAAGCCGGATCTACAGCAGAGGTCGGTTGGGTGTCGAAGCCCGCCGTCCCAAATGCCTCTGCCCGAGGTTCCTGCACGGGAGCACGTCGCTGCGGCTCGCACGAAGTAGAGGACGCCCCGTCGAGAGGAGCAGGCAAAGTCCCAGCCGTGGATTGGCTCTGCGCTGTCACCTGTTCCCTGACAGGGAGAAGTCCCTGATCAGTGGTGGCGACCAACGTGGCCGACGTGTCCGTGGAAGCGGCAGCGATGGAGCCTTCCTGGGGCGGTGCATCCTGGACCGGACACTCTAGAGCAAGTGGTTTCCGAGCCGGGAATATGGCGCGACCTTCATATGACCGCGTCGGTCCATCCATCTGGTCCACGTCGGGGTGTCCCATTCCCATGCTGGCCAGGACACGGCGCGTAGCCCAATCTCTCTCGTCGAGCATGGCCGTGACTAAGGCCTTGAGGCGCTCCTCGACCCGCTTGTCTATCATGGCAGCGATGACGTCGTGCTTCTTGGACTGGAGCTCTCCGGCGACGTCCTCTATGGCCTTGTTATGCTTGTCGAATCTGGCGTTGAGGTTGCCGAAGGCCTTGTCGTGACTGTCCATGATACCGTCGTACCTCTTGAACTGGCGTTTCAGTCTGCCCTCGACGACATCGAGTCGTTCCTCGACGATCTCGATGGGGCCCTTGACCTCATCTTCGTGCTTCATCCCAAGCACTCGGGGAGGATGGGATGATGTTCGTTGATGTTCGTTGATCGACGCGAGAGAGTTCGCTCTACCATACACGAGGTATCGAAAGAACGTAGAATATCTCGAAACGTGGTATATCGATTAGTATCACTTTGATCCTCTGCCATATAATAGATACGTCAGTACTGAGATGTCTTGCAGGGTGTGGAGGATAGAGTAGAACACTAAGGCCTGAGAAGAGAAGAGAAAGAAGGAGGGAAAAAAAAGTCGTGGTGGGATCAAGGTGAGCTGGGCAAGAGTGAGGCTATGCTGAAGAGGAGAAGAATATAGAAAGGAGAAAAGAGAGAGAAATTCATCAAATTTACGCTTCTTTGCCTCTCTTAGCATATGCAGAGATGAAGTGAGCTAAAAGTGAACTCACCCGGCACGAAGCGAGAAAGAAGTGGGTTCCTTTTTTCGACCTCTTAATGTGAAAGATTTCTGGAGATGGATTGATTGCACACCAAAATCACCATACCAAGCTTCGCCTCTCCATCATCCCTCTCCCCTCAAACCCCCACCGTCCCGCCTTCAACATCTACAAGTATAGGGAACCCATCATGTCTTCAGATGCAGGTCTCCTCGACCCTTCCATCTTCGAGTTCCTGAGCAGGACCCTCGAAGAGGAGGCTCAGGTGCGCGACACCCTCACACAGATCATTCATCGTCTCGAGCGTGCCGTCTCCACCGCCCAGGCTCTCCTCTCTCGAGTCCACTCTACTCCACGATCTCGCTGTATGTCTTGGTTATAAATATATATATATATATCATGTCATTCATTCATCCGTCATCCTTCATCATGCATTTGTCACTGACAATATCTCTAGACCCCGCTCTCGTGTCCCAGGTCGAATCGGCCATCCAGGACCAGGTGACTATCCTGTCTGAGCTCAACGAGGTGGCATCTAAGCACCCATACTACAAGTACTGGATACCGCCCTCACTTTTCGATATCGTACCCCATCATTTCTGACAGGAAGAAGGTACAACTCCAAATGGTCTCGCACCGTCCAAGGCGCCATCACCACGGCCCTCTACTGCGCCTGGCTGGGCGGTCTCCCCACCGAATCTCACCCAGCCGAGCTCGGTCGTCTTCTCACCCTCGCGGACGTTGGTACAATTTTCAAGGGTATGTCTTCCTTCTACATCTCCCTCTCCCTCCATACTCAACTCCTCCCGTCCCAGCAAGGGGAAGGGAAGAGAGGGGAAGAGAAATGAAGCCCTGACAGGATATAGTCCCCGTCAATCTCAAGGACCGTGACGCCTTCCACATCACAATAGAAGAATACCTCCTTTCAACCATCGATCTGACCCAGGACCTATCCCGCCTGGCCACCAACTCCGTCACTCTGGGTGACTTTGACCTCCCTCTCACCATCAGCTCCTTTATCAAGGACCTCTTCGCCGGCTTCCAGCTCCTCAATCTCAAGAATGACATTCTGCGCAAGCGCGCCGACGCCGTGAAATACGACGTCAAGAGGGTAGAGGACGTCGTCTACGACCTGTCCCTGCGTGGTCTCATCAAGAGATCAGCTGCTTCCACTGCGGACACGGAGATGAAGTCGGCATCCTAGGATGATTCTGCGGCTTTACCGGTTGGTGGATCAGTCCCATGAGGAATATATACGTCTTAGATATGTCCTCTGAACAAACAGGGATCATGATTTCCTTCACATTGCACGGAGGGCAAACAGGAAGTCTTCATGATGTCTATCGGGTTGATAAATACATAGGAAAGCAATAAGAACAAAAACAATCGGGAAGAAAAGAGAGGAAGAAGAAAACAGCTCTGCGGTATGACCGGTTCGATGAATGCCTGTGATTATTGTACAATAGACGCCGTCCCCAAACTCGACTAACCCACCACCCTTTTTAAAAAATCCCCCATACAACAAAAGAAAATGCATACATGGCCCCATCATCTTGCCACTGGCCCATACTGTAGTTTTGAATAGACACAAATAAAGAACAAGATTAAAACAATAGATATCTCATCTATACTTCGACTCAAGCAATTGACTTAGTCGTGCCTGAATGTGCACTTGTCCCCCCTGGCACACTTGCCCTGCTGCCAAAATGTGCACGGCTTGGTGCCAATCAGCGCCGCGTTAGGGGGCTTGTGGATCGTCGAAGGCCCGGGCTTCTTCTTCTTGTCCTTGTGGACTCCTCTGCCGCCGCTGTCCGGCCGGTCGTAGTCCTCGTAGCGGTCATGGCGACGCTCCCGGTCGTGCCAGTCACGCTCATGGTCGAGACCACCATCCCACCCTTGGTGATCAGGCTGCGCCTCAGCCGCCTGCTGCTGCTGCTGCTGCTGCTGCTGCTGGGGGGGTTGCTGGCTCTGAGCAATCTGCGCGAGCAACAGGTACTGCTGGTATGTCGGGTCGCTCGGGTTGTAGGTTGCCTGTGCACTCTGGCCTTGCTGCTGCTGCTGCTGACCCATGGCTGCCAGAATCGCCTGGAGTTGGTTGTCCGCCGCCGGCTGCTGCTGTTGCTGCTGCTGCTGCTGCTGTGCCTGATTCACGTCCTGGCCTCCATTCAGCTGCTGCAGGATAGCCATGTAAGGGGCATATGCCTGCTGCTGCTGCTGCTGCTGGGCGTAGTAAGCTGCCCAGTCTTGCATCTTGGCAGCTGCCTCGGCTTGAGCCCGTTCTTTCTCGGCCCGCTTCTCCCTGGCAGTAGCCTCCTTGTTGAACACCGCCCACCACTCGCGTACCCTTTCCTCGTTCTCAGCCAGCCATTCGGGAGGCTCTGTGGCCGGGAAGGGTTTGCCGGCCAGCGCCTTGGCCACGATCTCAACGGCTGCACCGATTCCCTGAATACCAGGGTCACTGTAGTGGAAGGGCTTGCTGAGATCCGGGTGTAGAGGGCTCGGGTCACGCCATCTGACCGCCTTGTCTGACTTCAGCCATGCAACGGTCTGCTCAGCAACTCTGCTGCCTGCAACGAGCGGCACATTGGTATCGTTCCCACTCGCCACGCTTCTTCTTTGGCCCTGAGACGTCGACGACTGGAGCCGGCCAAGGATCGCATCCAGTACATTGTATGGGCTGGCCCTGGCATTGAGGCGCTGCGTCGCGGCGTAGAGGGCGCCGTCGAGGCTCAGCTGCTGTTCGTCCCTCCAGCGAGCCAAGATCTCCTCGAACTGTGGCTCCTGGGGCAGAGTGCCCACCTTGACATCCGTCCGGGGTTCCTGGTGCTCCGGAGGCGGCGACTTGGGCGTCGGTGGAATGTCGTTCATATCGGTGTAGATGGCCATGAGCTCGCGCTGCTCCCTCTGGGCAATACGCTCCTGCTCAATCGTCGTGAAGGATATACGGCCACCACGCGTCGTAAAATTTCGGTTCCGCCGTTCCTCATCCAGGGCAGAAAAGTCTGTTGCTTCGGGTGCGAGCCAAGGTTGATCCGGGACGTATTCGTCCTCGTCATCTTCGCCCTCCACGTCGGCCCGCTGCTTAAGCATCATTCCTTCAGATTTGTCGTCGGCTGCATCACGAATGTTCATGTCGCGACCTTCGTTTTCCTCGTCCTCCTTCTCGAACACCTTGACCTGTACCAGATCCGCCTCGGGCTTCCAGCTCACACGGAGCTTGCGCCGGGACTCCTTCCGTATACGCTTAGCCCTCTCTTCTTCCGTCTCTGGCGTCTCGGAATCCTTGCTTTCCTTCGGGGCTGCCGGCGGTGTCTCGGCTCGGGGTGCATTGATGGAATCGAGGAGGGATGCAATGCCTGACAAGGCACTGCTGGATGTAGACGGAGTTGATGTGCTCGTCTTCGGAGCGGGGGGCTTTGCATCCGGCTTCGAAGGGATAGACTTCTTTGCCTCTGCCGCTGCGGCTGAGGGAACATCACCGCTGGCGGGGCCATCTGACCTGGGCGCAGGCTTTGCTACAGAGCGAGATTTGTCTCCTACAATGCTCAAGTTCGCCTTGGCACCACCAGGTACCTTTGAGGCCGATTGGAGCTGAATCTTGGGCTGTGCTAGCTTCTTGCTGAGAGAACCGCCGCCAGATTCAACCGCTACCTTCTTCACAGTTCGGCTGTCCGCAGAGGCGTCATCCTCTCTGCCCCTCTTCGAAGAGGCCGTGGCAGCCTTTCCAGCAGCAGCCTTTGCTCTGCTGGCCGCAGACGTACCCATGTACCCCGTCACCGTCTCCGGCTCGGGTACTCTCAACGTTCTCTTGACTTTGGCAGAGATTTCACGGACCAGTTCCTTGATCTCGTCGTCGCCCTTGTCGGCGAACCGCTTCCGCACTGAATCGAAGTTGGGCGTCTCGGCGATCTTCCTATTCATGGGAACAATGGTGAAGAACTCAAGAACAACCTTGGGGAGCTTGCCGCTGAAATCGGCAGCCTTGATGGATGCAATGAGTACGTTCACCAGGCTAAGCACCAGCTTCTGATGGCCGCCAAGATTGTCGATAATGGAATCATCGGCGTGCTCGATGGTGGCGTCCAGCGCACGGTGGAAGGCATTCCTCTTGATATCCATCTCCTTCTTGAATGCAGCCAGCTTCTCCGGGGTCACAGCCTCCTTGACTGCTTGGTCGTAGTCCTGCTTGGTCTGATTCATTTCTCCGCGGAGCTTGATAAAAAAATCTCCGGCTTGCTGAACCCGTCCAGCAACGAAGGCATTCGTCTTGGGGACAGACTCGCCAATGCTGACGATGCGCATAGCGTCCCACGCGGCTGCCTCGACAGGGTCGACGGGACGAGTGTCAGACCGAAGCTATGAAGTGTCAGTACTGTTGGCTAGTTCCTCCGTCATACCATTTTCCAGCTGGAGAAGACTTACCTTCTTGTTGCGCTCCTCCTCCTGTTCCTTCTTCGCCTTCTTCTCTGCTTTGTTCTTGGTAGCTTCGTCCGACTTGAGCTGTTCCTTGAACGAGTCTACAACAGTGTGTCAGCCATCGGGTCTCTTCTACGTGGTCATTTGAGAAATGCGTAAATACTCACGAGGATACTCAGTGTATTTAGGGCGTTTCTTACCCAGCGACTTCATCGACTTGTCAAACTCGTCGAGAAGTGGCTTCGCCTCGATCCTCCTCTGCTCTAGGCCAATCTTGTCAAACGCCGGACGGTACTGGCTTGTGAATTTCCCCTGGATTTCGCAGGGAATATCGTAGCCAAACTCAGCGATGATAGGGTTCTTGCTACGCGACGGGACAGCCACCAGAGGGGCCAGCTTGTCGTAGCTTTTTGGGGCTGGAAGCTTGACGGTGGTTTCGTAAGCAAGGTTGGGGAGGCCCTTGATGGGGAGGAACTTTGGCTGGGCACCCTTTCTCCTTTTCTGAAACTGCTGCACCATATGGGCCTCTTCCGGGGTGGGAGTCGGTGCCACAAGGGAGTCGAGCTCTTCAATTTTCTTGCCCATTGGCTCGATAGGTGAGCCGATGGACTGCGGTGGTTCGGGAATAGGAGAGGCAGCGGCTGGCTTGGTGATCCGCTGCCTCTTCTTTGCCGGACCTTCTAGGGCTGGCGATGGTGCTGGGTGCTCATAGAGGGCAGGCTGCTGCGGCTGAGGAGTTCCATTCTGAGATGGCACAGTCCCGTAGGCTGGCTGGCCGTGAAAATCGTTCTGCTGGATCGTCTGCTGGATTGTCTGCTGATGTTGGTGTTGTTGTTGTTGCTGCTGCTGCTGCTGCTGTTGCTGCTGAATAGGTGGTTGGAAGAGTGGGTTGGCTGCCGGGTGTTGATGATAATCGAGGGTATCTGGGGCAGTATACGGTGGTTGTGTGTAAGATGCTGGGGCCTGCTGCTGGTAGACAACGTGGTTCGACTCCGGATTCAGCTGGTAGTTCCCTGCCTGGCCATTGGGCTGGGGTGGGGGTGCCGGCGCTCCTACAAACGAGGGATCCAGGGAATACGGCTGGGCGTGCTGTACGGGAGGTGTGTGCGTCTGCTGGAGCTGAGCCTGCGCGTAGGTGGGCTGGATGCCAGCGAACTGCTGCGAAACAGGCGTATGACTGCCTTGACGACCAGCTTGTTGCGACATCAGCTGGGCCTGGGTGTACTGAGGTGTAGCTGCACCGTACTGATGCTGCTGCTGGCGTTGCTGCTGAGGCTGCGCGGGAGGCGGTGTTGGCTGCTCACCTTGAGGCATGGGTTCAAAGGCTGCAGCGTAGCTGTTCACCGGGAACCCTTGGGGGTGAGCCTCGGGATGAGGTTGAAACTGGTTCATGTGATGGTGCATACCAGTGCCGCCAAGGTCCAGCTTATCCTGCTGGCCATAGAGATCCGGCGGGAGATTACTGAAGGACGGGTCGAGAACATCGTGAGCAGAATACTGGTCTGCCATGCCAAAAGACCCATGTCCTTCCTGATAGCTCGACAACATGGCCTGGGGGTCGGGGAGGAAGCCAGCTGCTGCCTCCGCAGGGTCTATCGGTCTTGTATAGGCATCTTGATCTCCCAGAGGTTGGGGCCATGCCTGATCCCGGTCGAAATGACCATTCTGAGAAGCAAAATTGAAGTTCTGCTCCCACGAACTATTGTCATCGCCACCATTCTGGCCCTGCGGCCAGGACTGCATCCTGACGCTTGGGTGGATGGACCAGAGATGGAGAAGGTGTATTTTTTTTGTTCTCTTCAATGACTGCAACGACGATCCATGATTCAGTATATGGCCTTGCAGCTAGGTAGTATTCCTCTTCATTGAAACATGAAATAAGATAAGCCGCCAACACGCAGACGACGACGCGATGCGGATGAGTTTGACGTGAAGGAGATGGAGAACAAGAAACGGGATTGGAGGGGGATGGCAGAGGTGGTGTGGAGCCTTAAGGCCAAGGGGCTTGAGCTCACCAAGAGAGTTCACGATGGGTAAAAGCCGGTTGATTGAGAGATCCGGCCGGTTGTAGTCTCAAAAAAATGCGCTAAGCCGAAAAGGGACAGCGCGACATGGGTTGTGCATAAGGGCCGGGTAAGGAGAGCTGAGTGGATGCGATGACGCTGGCCCAAAGGATTTGAGGACAAGAGTTTGGAGAGATTATTTCCCTGTACTCGAGTAAAATAATGGTATTTCTTATCTGTAAACAAGGTGCAGGTTGTCAGGAAAGAGGAACTCTTGTAGTATGAGAAGTCGGAAGAGTAGACGGGAGAAGGATGCGGAGAGAGAAGAGTTGGTTGGACAAGAAGCGACAAGGACGAGAGTCAGGAGAAAGCCCAACAGCTGTCACCTCCAGCCAGAGACCGCAATGATGTTATTTCTGAGCCAACAGGAACGACAATAATAGTATGCCCATCTGCACCAAGGACTTTAACGGTTTGGCTGGTGGTTGGTGTCGAAGGGTGACAGCATGACGCGCCATGGCAGCTTCCATCCATCCAAAGGTGCCACCAAGGGTGGGTGTCTTGTTGTCATCCAAGACGGAGTATAGACGGCCAATTTAAAGACGGCAAAGTCGTCCACAGCTCGTCGCTGGGCCAGAAAGCTCTTTGAGCTAGAGGTCCTCAGAGCCTTCCCGTTTGTTATCGGGTACGGTTGCAGATACCCCCCCCCTCGCCAACGACGGGTAAGAGAAAATCTACACCCCAACCGGAGAGCCCATCCACCTTTTAATCTTGCATCTCTTAAAATGGCGAGGAGAAAGTGAGTTGTACAGTTGTTGGGTCACATGAATTTTAAGATTTTTTTTCTTTCTCAACTTTCTTTTGTCTTTGTTGTAATGGGCTTTTTTTTGTGGTGTGATGGTGTTGAGGCAAAATAGGCGCGCCTATTCTTGATAGAATAGGAGATCAAGGGCCTGGGAAAGGGAGTAAATGACTACCTACCTGTGGTATAATCGACCTGCCACCACTTGTTGCTCCTTTCATTCAATGAATGGCGATATATAATTCAGTGACTGACGACGTGCGCGCCCTCGGGAACGCGGGTAAATCGATGGACAGGATACGAAGCTGAAGACGCGAGCGCGGGGAAGGGGGGGGGGGACAAGGGCGACGAATGCAAGTAGCCCGTGAAGCAAGCAGTATATAAAGCTCCTGGTCGCTGAATAGTTCTAAAAAGGCCCAGTGCCTGATGGCTACAGAGCCAGGCTCGACGAAATGGACGAACAGGTGGTTTGTTGATGGGAGAAGAGAGGAGCTGGGCTGGTGGTCTATCGCGCGTGAAAAGAGTCAAAGCTCGGGACACTTGGTACTGCAATGATGTACGGCCAGGCCGGAAATCAGGCACCAAGGCCAAAATAATTCGTACGTAAGGGACTGAGAGCAGGTCTGATAGGTACGTACCTGTACCTTCCGGCTCTGAGTCGGCCCGCCTTCTTGGGAAGGTACGTACCGCCCGCCGCGCCTGCACAATCAATTGATTGAAGCTCCAACGTTAAGTGTGTGTGTCGCTGCCCAGGGGCCTGTTTGGAAGAGGCTGTGAGGCGATGTTCACGTGAACTCCACTTTTTCCTCCCTTACTCAGCCAATAATACTACCTACAGGCTACGAATCATCTACAGACTACGAGGTGCGATGATACTACTGATCATGGATCATCTCGCACCATGAACAGTCAGAATAGATCACCCAACCCCAGGCATGATCCTTGGGGCCCCTATTGGGCTCCCTGATGATCCGCCAGTACTGTATGGTCCACCCAGACTACCACCAACCAGGCATTTTTTTCACCTCGGCTATCGATGCGACAATCAACGCTTTTAATGAACCAGTTCCTAATACCAACACGTGCGACTGTGACTGCAATCATTGCTCAGCGACACCCTGACGGCTGTGCCAAAACAAAAGGCATCATCTCTGTCTACTCTGTAGCTCAGAGTTGACCCTACTACCTTCACAACCGAGCTCCCAGCGGATAATCTCCCTCTTGTTCCCGACCCGTACCAACCCGCTAGAAAGACATTCGACCTGGTTGTAGCCTTTTCAGACATTCGTGCGATGACGGCACAGGATCAAGGCTGTCAGGGACTGATCGAGCCACAGAAAGAAGCTGCTTCCGCACTGCAGTTTTGCCATAGAGGAGTGTCTCTCTCGCTGAGTATAAATTGGAACCTGTAGCTGAACGCCGGGCTTCAGAAAGCATATTGCGAGGCTAGTTGTCAAGTGGCGATCTTCGTTGATATGATGGATGTTTAGGTTAGTTCCCGTATGTTAGTATGCACGCATGAGCGTGGAAAACAACAGCCAGACTCTTTACCAAGATGCCCATACCAGGATATAACTATGGGCGGAATGGCTGAGAGACGAAACAGCGTGCTAGGATCACTTTGGCAGTCGCTCGTGGCGGCGACAACGGGAGCGGAGTGCGCAAGGTGACATGTACATTTCATTATTGTAGCACTTCTTCACCACCCTGTCTTGGGTAGCACTCTTTCATGGCCCCTTTTTTATTATTATAAGATTGAGACCCTCGAACCCCCCCCCCCCCCCCCCCCCCCCCCCCGTCACTTAGACACAACCTCACATCAAGATACCCCTACCGTCACTACCCCCGAACCCAAATTAGCACACACACATGTCTACATCAGTCGACGCAGCCTTCGTAGCCCTGCCTCTTCCCTCCATAACCATCACCTTGAAGTCCAGAATTCTCTGACCATTCATTCATCGCCCAGTCCTCATACAGAGACGAAGCGTTCCCGCCAGCTCCAAGGTGCTGGAGCTAGGCTGCGGTCAAGGTGACTGCACGGCTCCCCTGTCTGTGTTGTGGCCTGGCCTGTGGGTGAACAGGGGAAGGCCATGGCAGTAGATCCGGCAGCTCTGGGCAAGGCCAATCCCTCCCCCCTCCCCGCCTAGCACGCATACTGGGTGCTAGTAGAGACCAGCCGATTCATGAAGCTCATGTACGGATACGTACCCTCTGTAAGGACGATTGGAGGGTGTTGTTTTTTTGCCCTATAAGACATAAGATGACGATCCTAAAGTCAGTCCTCAGGTAATACAGGCGTATCTGATATGCATTCCCTCCTCTGGCTCTTGTCAGTGAGGGAACAGCAAATAACTATTGCAAAGTGACGGAAGCACAGATCCGGTTCTATCAAGACGGAACAGATGGAGTGCGTATAAGATTTAGCACTGACAGCACATGCGACTTGGCAATATGCTCCAGTACGAGTACGACGTATTCGTAGCAAGGGGATGCAAAAGGATGACCAAAATTCGCAGATTTCTCTTTATGACGGTGTATCTGCTCTCCCATGTGGAAAGTTGCTTGTCAGGCTCAGTGACGGAATGATATCGGTAAAATACTCGTGTGATGTTCCGGATCAGAAAGAGATTTACCAAGATAATTATTCACGGATGAGATGATGAAAAGGGCTCGAAATAAGGCCTCTCCTAACCTTTCTTGTTAATGTGTGTTGTTCTATCTCTAAGGGAGATAGTAACTAATATATAGGTACTCCGTTTTATCAGGGATAACTCTAATCGAACCAGAATAACCTATTCTGGTAGCTTATTCAGCTGTTTGTTCCGGCATTCCCCTGGGTCACGGGATCCACACTACCGACCTTCCTTCCTCAACTTACCCGCCTCTCCACTCAGATCACTCCCGACTATTCCTCCCCCTCCATACTCCAGTTGTCAGATCTAGATATACACAAGACGAAATGGATCTCTCCTCACCCACCCCATTTTTCAACGTCATGACGCTTTTTAAGACATTGGCGGATCGACTAGACGAAGAAGACTTCTTCGTCTTTACAGGTGTCTCCCCAGACCAATTTGCTAAGATCGATGAGGGGAGGGGCGAGTCCTCCCATCTTAGATTCACCTGCTTGCTTTTCATTACGGTGCCTACTCGTGAACACGAGAGATTTCACCATTTTTTCCAGAACGCAATTCATAAAGAAATGATACGGATGAACGTCGATGGGAGCTGGGATACCCAAGGGGCGACCACTTATAAAGCGCCAAGCGGCGTAGTCAAGGAGGGAGGCTACACTGGCGCCCCTGAGCTTGTAGGGGGTAAGGCACGCAGGTGGCCTACCCTCGTGATCGAGGTAGGCCGCTCACAGTCGCTCGAGAGCCTGAGGACGGTAATGCGCCTATGGTTTCACGAGTCGGAGCATGCTGTCAAGATCGTGATCCTAGCTAAGCTCTACCGAGGTGACCATAGGATCTTAGTTGAAAAGTACACCGAGGGACCCGTGGCTATTCAACAGCCCAGTGCGGCAATGACTCGCTTCTCTCAGAGAGATCTTTACACCCATCCTTCAACAAGAGTGATCTTTTGGTCTCGTCTACCCTAGCTTATTTTCTACATGTATATTCCATGTCAGCTCTTGCGGGCAGTCATAAGTAATTCCTGCAAAGAGGGTGAGTATGTTGAGGTACGTGGCCTGGAGCCTTATAGACTTTGAAGGGGGTTCGTCCATCCATCAACATGTGAGGCGAAATGTTCCTTAGGGTTTTCCTCCCACCTTTGGTCACAATCCCAAACTCCGTTCGTCCTTTTCACAGTACACGTCAAATCCATCTACAGCCGCCTAGCAATCGGGTCGGATCGCCTCATCCGATATGCGAGCTCTCCGCCAACTCTCCCGGCCAGTGCTCGGCTTGAGAAGGTCCATGTGCCAGAAACGCTCCTTTTACGAAGCGAAAGGCCATTTCGCAACCATAAACGATCGAGGTGTACTCGTCTCCTCGGAGACGGACATTTACGTCGGCGATCCCCACGAGGCATACGTTAGCATCATGCCCGATCTAGGTGAGGCCATTCGGGCTTGTGTCGCGCGGCAGAAGGACATGGGTCTCGCGGGCCAGCAGGATGCCAAGACGTTACCCATGATATTCGACCACGCAACACGGTCTTTTTACCATGGTCAGTCTCACCCTCCCGCCCTCTGGAACTATGCTACGGCGAACCCGTATGGACAGGACTGGTTGACACATTATAGAGTCTGTACAGCTTCCGAGGCTGGAGATCAAACAGGACCTTCCCCGTCAGAATGGCACCTGAACAAGAGAAACCCCTACTTTCTCGGTGTTTCCTAGAGAGTCTAATCCGTATATACACCCGGTGCTATAATTCGTACAAGAAGCTACATCATACATCCGGCGAATCGTTCAATACAGCCAAACCCACGAATGATGCTGTAAAACCATCATACATACAGGTGGGCAGACGAGTCCGGTATTGTTTGAAGCAAGACTCTACTGCCATGGTTCAGAGACAATCAGGTCTCTCGGCGTACTCTCGGATTTTACGGGAAACATTCCCTACGGGCCGCGCAATACTTTCGTAGTACTTGGACAGTTCCTCTGCGCCTCAGGCATGCGACACCACAGATATATGTGCTTTGGTTAGGCCGTTGTCAAACTCGTCCTCCTCTGATGGGGCATCTTGGAGTTTAAAGCCGTTGATCTTCAGAAACATGTCGGTCGATACTATCGCCGTGCGCTTGTTGCCGTCTTGGAATGCATGATTCAGAATGGTTTTCTCTCCTAGTATGCCCGCTAGGCTTGTAGATGTCATCCTGGCCGGTGTAGTACTTGTGGGCTTTCGGAGAAGAAGCAGCAGATTCCAGTAGTTGGAGCTGGGTTGGATGGACTGGGCCAATATAGGCGCGGTAGAGTGCCATGATCTGGGAAACTTGCAAGAATCGAATTTTTCTTAGTAGTGGACGCCATGGCACAAATTGGGGAAGCCTGTCGTTTCTACCTTTAAAGCGAATATGCTCTGTCCAACTGGTGTCTGCGAGTTGTACGGATGGACTCTTTCTGGGGTTCTGGCGTAGCAACAAAGGACACACTTAGAAAGGCAAGTCCTTTCGACATGGCGTCCATCTGCGGTCATCTCTCCTCATTCCTAACTACTCTGCTCGTTCTTCATGCCATCTTCCCTGCAGTTTGCTACTTCCCAATCTTTACATCCTCAAGGAAGCTACATCTCTCGTCCGTCCTTTCCACCGCTCTCGACCCTCATCGGCTTCGCGATACTCCTGTAGTACTCCGACAGTTCCTCAGCGGTCCACTTATTTTCTGCGACAGATATCAGAGAATGGGCCCGCTCCATGCCGTTGTCGATCAGCTTGACCCCGTTGATCTTGAGGAACATATCAGTCGCTATAAGTGCAGTCCGCTTATTGCCATCCTGGAAAGCATGATTCTTGATGGTTCGTTCCCCGAGAATCCCTGCGAGCTGGAAGAGGTCGGTTTGTCCGTGGTAGTGATTATTGTTCTCTGGCGCGGAAGCCGCTGACTCTAGAAGTGGGATCTGTGTTGGCCCCGAGTTGAGTAACATGTTGCCGGTATAGTCGAATGATCCGAGATGCTCTGAGAAACCGCAGGGGCTGTCGGGAGGGGACCATGGCTGAAATAGTGCTTGGGAGTTGGAAGTGATGATGAAGGTCGTGTACAGAGTAGGATGGTGTGAAGATGATCGCTCTACAATACAGATACAGATTGACACAGAAGAAACAACAGTGATGCGATGATGAGTAAGGAGACAGGCGCGACTCCTTCCGCTTTCTCGTGACTCATTAAAGATAAGGGTTGAAGGCGTGCAGACTACATATCACAGAGCCTAACATCCAAGGCCTCGAATCTTAATACCCTCGTGGATGTTTAGTACTCTAAAGACATGGACGGCGACTAGGTCGTCGATACTATCCCTCTTCTTGATTCTCAGCTTGACGATCGACTTCCTAGGGAAGACGGAGTTATATGTCATACTCTTCCACGGTTCTGTTAGCGGGAAAGCAGAGCTGTCCCTGTGTTGTGTTCTGGCAGGGACGGCGTCGAGCCTGACGGTATAAACGTCAGGATCGACACATGAGCAAGACCGTGCAAGAGGAACGGTGGTGATGGCGAATGGTGAGAAGGTGTTTAGGTGTAGTCGAATGAGACAAGTATTTATGAGAACGAACACCACAAACACTTCTAACTCATATTTAAATAGTAGGTCAGGTGTTCAGTGGTATCAAGGTCTTTGGTTCTTGTTCTGGATTATTGTGGTGGTGCCAGACTCGACGGTTTCATGGTCGAGTCCCGCTTATCTAAGCTATGATATGATTGCCTATGACATTTTCCCTAATAAAACGGAATACCTGTATAGTCATGATTTCCCTTATATATACAATAATGATATGCATTAATAAGAAATTAGAAAAAGGCCTGATTTCGGGCTTTTTTATATCATTACATTAGTGAATATTTATCTAGATAGATCTCCTTTCCGATCCGGAACCTTAGACGAGCGTTTTACCGACATTATTCCGCCACTCAGTCTGGCAATTTGGAGGAATCAGACAGCTGCGCCCGTGGCAGCGTCACACACATTCACTGAGTGGATGTCGTGGCCGCAAGCTTCCGGTATCGTACATGCACCAGATTGACAGGTCATCATCTTCACTCTTAGACGCCCGCCTCTTGTTTCGGTCTCTCCTAACAAGTTGGTCCTAGGCGTCTCTCTCCGACTCGTTATATCAACAACGGGACCTTCGTCTTGTTTCCAGCATTGTCGTATCGCTACCGGCCACCAATCCAACCCCCCCCCCCCCCCCCTCCTTGACCTACTTATCACTTGACTGCAGCCATGGCGATGCGCGGCGACACGTTGCGTGATCGCCAGATCGGTTCGTGCGGTACCGCTCGCTCTCCCGCTAATCATCGCTGACACTCGTTGTTCTATAGCGTCCCTCAAGAAGATTCTCAATCTCAACGAGACGGTACAGTCGACCGACAGGGACGAGGCCCAGGCGCATGCGCTGCTGGCTCCAGTAGCTCCCATCTTGGACGCTGAGGGCAACCCGATATGGAAGGTCTTGGTGTTTGATGACTTTGGTCGCGACGTCGTCAGCAGCGTCCTGCGCGTGTCGGACCTGCGCACCATGGGGGTGACCATGCACAAGTGGGTGCACCGTCTCCCGGAAGCAATCGCAGACGGGCATTGGAGAGGCAGCTAACATGTGACGTGGGATAGGCATATCGGCACGGCGAGGCACCCCATACCTGACGTCCCCGTCATCTACCTCGTCGAGCCAAACGAGCAGAACCTCAAGGCGATTACGAATGATCTCGAGAAGGACCTCTACTCACCCGCCTACATCAACCTACTCTCTTCCCTGCCCCGAGTCCTGCTCGAGGACTTTGCCACACAGACGGTCACGGCTGGCACGTCCGAGAAGATTGCCCAGCTATACGACCAGTACCTCAACTTCATCGTGACGGAGCCGGATCTCTTCAGCCTGAACATGCAGAAGGAGCACACATACTGGGCTCTCAACAGCGCAGCCACTAGTGACGCCGAGCTCGACAGGGTCGTCGACAGGGTCGTGAGTGGCCTGTTCAGCGTCGTGGTCACGATGGGTATGGACAGTCCTGCCCGGGCACATGGCTGATGGTCAGCAGCTAACTTGCATCCGAAACCAGGCGTGATTCCCATCATCCGGTGCCCCAAGGACGCCGCCGCCGAGATGGTCGCCGTGCGGCTCGACCGCAAGCTACGGGATCACATCCTCAACTCCAAAGAGAACCTCTTCTCCAGCGCGCGACAGGGCAGCGGCCCCACGCCCAGCTCGAGGCCTGTGCTGGTGCTGCTGGACCGCAACGTCGACTTGACGGCCATGCTGTCGCATTCGTGGACGTATCAGTCGCTCGTGCACGACGTGCTCAACATGAAGCTGAACAAGATCACGGTCGAGACGCCGATTGACGAGAACAACCCGAGCAAGGGCAGTACAAAGAAGGTCTACGACGTCAGCTCGAGCGACTTCTTCTGGTCCAGGCACGCGGGCGCCCCGGTGGTCGAAGCAGCCGACTCGGTCGATGCCGAGCTCGTCAAGTGGCGAGAGGAGTCGGCGGCCATGACGCACAAGGCCGGAGCCTCGAATTTCGAGGACCTACAGAACGAGACAAGTGCGGCGACGCAACACCTGAAGGCGGTGATCGGCGAGCTGCCGGAGATGCAGGAGCGCAAGGCAACGCTGGACATGCACATGAACATCCTGACGGCCATCTTCAACGGGATCAAGAACCGGCAGGTGGACAACTACTTCCAGATTGAGGAGGAGGCCACGAAGCAGACCAAGGACCAGATCATGGAGGTGATCAGGGGCGACGACAGGGGGTCCGACCCGACGGACAAGCTGCGGCTATTCATCATCTGGTTCCTAAGTACGGAACAGGAGTTCAGCCGGGCCGACTTTGAGGGGTTCACCAAGGCGCTCGAGGCGGCCGGTGCGAACGTGTCATCTCTGCCATATATTCGACAGTAAGTTGCAGCAAGGCAGAAGACTAGGCTGGTCGGAGGGAGGGAGGGTCCGAGACGGAATGGACGGCAAGCTGACCTGACGAACTCAGGGTTCGCGCGACGACCAAGATGACGCAGCTGGCGACGGTCAACAAGAACTCGGCCAAGCCCCAGGGAGGATCCAACCTGTTCGGACAGTTCTCGTCCATCTCGTCGCGACTGACAGACCGCCTGAAGGAGACGGGAGTGCACACGGGTCTGCAGACCAACTTCGAGTCGCTGGTCAGCGGTGTCAAGAACTTCCTGCCGGTGGACAAGGACCTGACGGTGACTAAGATTGTCGAGTCCATCATGGAGCCATCGACGGCGTCGTCGTCTGCCATCTCCAAGACGGAGAACTACCTGTACTTTGACCCGCGGTCGGCCAACGCGCGCGGAACGGTGCCGCCGCCCAGCGCCATGCGAGCGGGCGGGGCTGGCGGCGCACCGGGTGGTCTCCCGGGCTCATCGCAGGGTAGCGGGCAGTCGGCCAGCTTTGGGCAGAGACGCCAGGGCTACAGCGAGGCTATCGTGTTCACGGTAGGTGGCGGAAGCATGGAGGAGTACGGCAACCTGCAGGACTGGGTGACGCGAACAGGCGGCGAGAGGGGCCGCAAGAGGGTCGTGTATGGCAGCACGGAGCTGGTCAACGCGTCCGAGTTCATCCGAGAGGAGCTGGAGAGGTTAGGAACTGAGGTGTCATCGTAGAGTGACGGGGAGGGATGGAGGAAGAAGAAGAAAAACCCCACAAGACATGTAGTAATATCAACTTACGAATGCGGAGCACGGGAGCTGCAATATCTGGTACAGGTAGACTTTTTTTCCAAAAGTATTACTAGCACCACTACAGCATCATGTACCATGGCGATGATGTGCGCACGAGAGAGTCGAGGCATGAAAAGGTGCCTTGACGGATAGATATACAAATGCATTATCATATATTCTGGTGAAGCCTGATTGTGAAGTACTACTGCTACACATATGATATTACTTTGCAATACAAGAAAGGAGTAATACTCGTGATACTGCCATCACCTCAAACAAAAGGGGAGGGCAGCTCATAAACCACCAACGCCGCTGCGAACGTGACCGCACCGAAAGAAAAAGACTTTTTTTTTTCTTTTTTTAAAAAAAAAAGGGATCTTGGAAAATGAAAAGGAAAACAAAAAAGGGAAATAATGAAATGAAATGAAAATGAAGAGAAAATGACGAGTAGCAGTTGGTTTGCACGCCAAAAACGCCAGGGAGCTAAAGCGGCAAGGACCAAGAACCAACCAGCCTCACCTCATCACCGTGACACCGTCCCGCTCCCACTTCTCCCCCGTTGCGACTCTCTCCCCCATTATGACACTCTCGGTCCTTTGGCCCTTTTTTTTTTCCCTCCCCCAATCCTTCTGACCCGCCCACCATCATCAAATCACCGCCCATTCATCCTTGATTCATCTCCCTCCTCTTCATCTTCGCATCTGCCTATAATCCATCAAATCAACTGTTGCCCTTAACCTTCATCCCATCCCGTCCCAGAGCAGAGCCCATTCTATCGAGATACATACGAGACGGTACAGCCCGCCCGCACGCAAACACCATACAACACAACCACCCACACACTCTTGCCCAGGCGTCGTCGTCGCGTCTCGGTCATCCACCATGGCCGACACGCCCATCAAGACAGACGACGGGGCGGCTGTTGCTGCTCGAAAGTCTTCGGGCTACAAGTCGTGGAAGAAGAAGTATCGCAAGATGCGCATCGCGTTTGAGCAGCGCATGCACGATGGAGACGAGATTTTCAAGCAAGAGGCCAAGGCGATAGCCACGGTCAAGCGACTAGCAGTTGAGAATGAGTATGTTCTCCAAGTCTTTTTTTCCTTTCCCTTTTCCTCCTGTTCTCTCTTCTGTCTACTACCCTTGCCCCTTTTATTCCTCTCGCGTTGGCCAAGAATTACGCCAATACTGACGAGAAATCCTCCTGCCAGCCGCCTTCTGGGCTTGCTCCTCGACATCAACAACTGTCCCCAGATCCCATTGGAGAGGCGCATCAACCTCCGACTTTCCGATGCATCATCATCGTCACCATCCCCCGACAGTGGCAATAACGACCTCGATGATCTCGAACGCGAACTGGCGAACCAAGAAGCCGACATCAAGAAGCTGTCCGACTTGCTCGTCGACGTGCCACACATGACGTACAGTGCCACTCGCGATGCCATGCCCGACCTGTGCGCCGAGCTCGACAATGCCGCCGACGAGACGTATCCCGCGCATTTCCTGTCTCCCGACGACGTCGACAACTACCTCCACGTCGTCGACACCCGCCTAGACCCGGACACGCACATCCCCACGCTCGCGCCCCTCGCCCACCCCAACGACCACCCCCCCTTGCACCCCTTGCTGCGCAACCCCAACAGCTCCACCAGCTGGCTCCGCCGACACGCTCCCCAGATCTTCCTCCAGGGACACGAGAGCGTCGGCGGTGGTGCCGGCGCCGCCGACGCCAACGACAACAATGACGATGAGGGTGCCAGCACCGTCGGCGGCGGCCCCGGAGGAGCAGCGGGGCTGGGAGCGTCACGCAAGGCCCGTGGCGGCGCGCGCGATCGCACAAAGGCCGGCAACAAGGACTCGTCCGCCGCCGCCCGAGGAAAGCGTGGCGGTGCAGCCGCTGCTGCCGCCGCTGCCGCCGGTGATGTTGCCAGCGTCGTAGGTGACGACACCACGACCGAAGCAAACGTCACCCCGGCGCCCAAGAGCAAGCGCAAGCGCGACGAAGACCCCGGGTACCGACCCAAGGGTGGATCGAACAGCCGTCCCAGCAAGAAGAAGCGCAAGAGCGAGGCCGTCAGCGGCGCCGAGGGTACACCTACGGTCAAGAGGGCCAAGAAGGCTTCGGCTGCTGCTGCTGCGTCGAATGGTGACGACACGGTGCCATGATTCTTCTCTGGCTCTCGTGACATGTATGAACAAGCAGCAATCAACAACAACAACAACATGTATGAACAGAAAAGAAAAGAAGCCCAAAAAAAACGTATATGTACAATTATTTAGAGAGAACAAACCTACTATCAGGCCATGGAGGGGAAAGGGTTAAGGAGGAGGAGGGGGGGAGGGGGGAGGCGAGGAAGTGGTATCGTTTCAATATCTACTCGGGCGTTTTTTTCTCGTATCACTTTTTGGTAGCAATGAGAATGGATTTGATAAAACAAAGAAACAGAGAAGAAAAAGTACTATGCATCCGATTTCATATTTAAGGAGAGAGAAAAGAGTACTATCCATCCGATTTTATATTCAAAAAGAAGATGACAGGAAAGAGAAAAGAGAAGAAATTTTATTTACAGCTTCACCTGGAGGTTAGACTTCAGTCGCCTCTCGACGGCGTCGAGGAACTCGGAGGTGGTGACGTAGGCCGAGCGGTCCTTGTTGCCGCAGGCCAGGGCGAGGTCCTTTGTCATGATGCCGTCGGCGTCGACGGTCTGGACGCAGGCCTCCTCGAGGGAGTCGGCAAAGGCGACGAGCTCGGGGGTGTCGTCTAGGCGACCGCGCTGGGCGAGACCGCGGGTCCAGGCGAAGATGGAGGCGATGGGGTTGGTCGAGGTCTCGCGGCCCTTTTGGTGCTCGCGGAAGTGGCGCGTCACGGTGCCGTGCGCGGCCTCGGACTCAAACGTCTTGCCGTCGGGAGTGATGAGGACCGACGTCATCAGGCCTAGGGAGCCGAATCCCTGAGCGACAATGTCGGACTGGACGTCGCCGTCGTAGTCTTTGTCTCTTGTTAAAAAATGAAGAAGGAGAAGAAGAGAAGGATCCAAAATCAAGCGAACAGAAAAGACAGGGAAGGGGGGGGGGAGGGGGAAGTAAAAGAAAAAAAAAAAAAGAGGAGAAAACTCACTCTTGAGAGCCATGATGTATCCACCGTTGCTCTTGACCATCTGGGCAACCATGTCGTCGATGAGACGGTGCTCGTACCAGATACCCTTCGACTCGAACTGAGACTTGTAGTCTGACTCGTAAATGTTCTGGAAGATGTCCTTGAAGCGGCCGTCGTACTTCTTGAGGATGGTGTTCTTGGTGCTCATGTAGAGGGGCAGGCCCTTGGTGATGGCGAGCTTGAACGAGGCGTGGGCGAAGCCGGTGATGGACTCGTCCGTGTTGTACTGGGTCTGGGCGACGCCGCCGCCGTCCTTGAAGTTGAAGACCTCGATCTCCTCGGGCTTGCCGCCCTCGGGGGTGAAGACCATGGACAGCTTTCCTGGGCCCTCGATAACTTTGTCCTTGGCGCGGTACTGGTCGCCAAAGGCGTGGCGGCCGATGATGATGGGCTTCTCCCAACCGGGGACCAGGCGGGGGATGCGGGGGATGACGATGGGCTCGCGGAAGACGGTACCGCCCAGGTGGTTACGGATGGTGCCGTTGGGGGAGAGCCACACTTTTTTTTAAAAAAAAAAAAAATTTGAAAATGATACTGTCAGTATATCCTTCTTGGATGATAGACACTATCAGTATATATATAAAGGATGAAGCCTACTCTTCTTGAGGTTGAACTCCTTGACACGACCCTCATCGGGGGTGATGGTGGCACACTTGATACCGACAGAGTACTTCTTGATAGCCTCGGCGGCGTCTAGGGTGACCTGGTCGTTTGTCTCGTCACGGTAGGGGAGGCCGAGGTCGTAGTACTTGATGTCGATGTCGAGGTAAGGGTGGATGAACTTGTCCTTGATGACCTGCCAGATGACGCGGGTCATCTCGTCACCGTCGAGCTCCACGACCGGGTTCTGGACCTTGATCTTGCTCCCGGCCTGCGAGGCCATGCTGCGCCGGGCCAAGAGGCTCTGCGTCTGGACGGCTCCAAACGTCATGGGCCTAAGCGAACGAGAGGCAGAGGTCGAAGAGGTACCGGTGACGCCGGCGCCGGCGCCGGCGGCAGCCCGACGAAAAGACATACGGAGGGCACTCATGGCTGGAGATGAGCTGGAGAAAGCTCAGAGGTGTAGGGGTGTGATATAGTAGGTTGCTGTTGTTGTTGTTGTTGTCGTCGTTGAATTGATTGATATACCAAAGGTAGAATGGCGTAGTCTCGGATCCGATCCGATGAGGGGGAAGCGAGGTTTGGAGGTGGGAAAAGAAAAAAAAGGAAAGAGACGAGGGAAGGGAAAAAAGCAAGGTGCGGAGAAGGAGGAGAAGCAGCTAACAAAGGATTTGCCGCAATCAATCAATTCAATTGTTCTCGGGAGAAGAATCCAATTGTGTTGCTACAGATAGATGAAGAGGAGGGGAAAAAAAAAAAGTAAGAGGGTATGAGCAACAGCGCAAACGGAGCTCTAGTAATTGGATTTTTTTTTGGGGTGATTTTTTTATATCATTTATATATAATATATAATATATATTCTTTTTAATTCCCTCGCTCATCAGGTTTGGCCGAACATCGGCGCTGAGCTGCAGCGGAACACCGAGCTCTTTCCTTCCCCATTGTGGGGAAATATGCCACTTTTTTTTTTTTTTTTTTTTTTTACGTGATGTGTGTAAAAGCGAAATACATAAGAGATGTCTTTGGGTCATTATTCATTGATTATTCTGGGAAGGAGCGAAGCATGACTCTTTCTGTTCTAGTTTGTGTTCTTGCATATTGAAAGAGATCGGGGAAAGAGCTCTGCACACTGGTAGCAGTCAAGGAAGGAGCATCATCTGTTGCCAGTAATGATACTACGATTGCACTACTGCGTAATACTCGTACAACTTATTAATAATACCTACTGAGGCTTAAAGTAGCTGCTGAAAAACTTACTACATTCCGTAATATGCCAACGACGGAGCAGGACACGGACGTCATTCTCGCCGCATCTGTCTGTCTCGTCACCGCATGCAGCCGCAATGTCTGTGATGGTAAATATGCAGCATCACCACCCGTAGCGTCAACACCAACACACTCACGCACCCAATGCCTCACATGTACAGGAATCAGAATACTCTCTTCTCTTTTATTCTAGCAATAGTACACGCAGTAACAGGCTACTACTAGTATAGCATAGTAGACACACGCATCAACACACGAGAAGCAAGCAAGCCCCCCCCAACTCACCCACCCACCTCAGATGTCGAAAATCTCCCCAACTGCCTCGACTCCGCCTCCCCTTCGCATGTCCACAATGTCCAACCTCCAGCCTTCCCAGTGCTTGAGCGACCTCTTGATCTCCTTGACGCGTTCCAGCCTCCTCTGCGTCTCCTCCTCCTGCGCCTTGCGGTATGCCTCGTCAAAGTCGGCGTCGTCGTCATCCAGGAACCCGTCGTCATCTCCGCCTCCCGTGCCAGCCAGCGCATTCAGTCCGTTGGTGAAGAACTCGCCGAAACGGCCGCCGGCGCCGCCGTATGACTGCCGCTTGTTCTGGCCGCTGTTGCCTGCGGCTCCCACGCTGGCAGATAGGTCAATGTCCTGGAATCCGGGGCTGGTGACCTCCAGCTCACGCCTCTTCTCTATCCAGGCGCCGCTGCGGAGCTCGTGAATCTCTGCCTCCAGCTCACGGATCTTCTTCTCGAGCCTGAGGCGCTCCTCGTCCTCGAGCTCGTCGACGACCTCGTCATCGAGGCCGCCGCCACCAACCTCGGTGGACTTGCGACCGCGCAGCTTGGCGTTCTCGCTCTCGAGCCGGTCGCTCTGCGCCTTGGCGTCCGAGAGCTCCCTGCGCAGGGCCTGCGATCGCGTGTCCTGCTCCCTGTGGAGCGTCGTCAGCGTCGCTGCCTTCTTCTCCAGACCGTCCACCTTCTTGGCTAGCTCGTCCTTGGCGGCGTTGGCCTCGGCCAGCTCCTTCTCGAGGCGTTGCACCTTGGCCTCGGCCGTTGACTGCGCGCTCGTGGCGCTCTCAAGCTTGGCCGTCAGGTCTTGCAGCTCGCGCTCTGCCTTGCTCGCCGCCGCCTCCGCCTCTGCCCACTTGTCCTCTAGGGCCGTCACCTGTTCCTTCTCTGACAGCGCGCCGCTCTCTTGCCGCTCCACGCGCGCCTTGAGCTTAGCGATCTCGAGCTCCATGGACTCAATCGTCGATGACTTGGAGTCTAGCTGGGCCTGCAGGTCAGCTGGCGGCGAGGCTATCGAGGCGGAAGCCCGGTGGCCGGTTACGCGCGACACCTGCTGCTGTAGCTGTGTGTTCTGTCTCTGGAGGGATGCAATCTCGCTCTTCTGCAGCATGCGTTAGCATTTGTATCAGATCAGCAGGGCCTGGGAGGGTGAGTTGTGTGCACCAGCTTCTCGGTATCGTCGTCGGCACCCTTGGACCCCTCGCCCTCGGCCTCGCGCAGGTCAGCTAGCTCTGCCTCGGCCTTCTGCCACCTCTTGTCGGCGTCGGTCCACTCCTTGGTCAGGCGCTTGATGTCCTTCTCCAGCTCCTCTATCCTGGCAACGTGCTTTCTGTAGATATCTGGGGCCGTGTCACCGCTGCCGCCGTCGGGGCTGAGCGCGCCAGGCGAGGCGGGGCTCGCGTCCGCATCTGCACGGAACGACGCGGAGCGGAGCTTGGACTGCTGCGCAAGCGAGGGCGTATCAGTAGGGGAAGATGGATCACCGGTCTTTTCGTCGTCGACAACAGCTTGGTCGCCGGTCTCGGCCGTCTCGGCTGCAGGTTCGGTGGTGGCTGGCGCATCGGGCGAGTCTGCGGCGGCGGCGCCAGCTTCCGTCGAGGACTCCGTCTTGGACTTTTTGGAGCTTCCGCTCTTCTTAGTCTTCTTCTTCATTGCCTCGACCTATGCGTGGATGTCTGATCAGTCTTTGCCGTTTCCGCGAAGAGGGGGGATCGTGATAGTAGCTGGCGTTCAGGACTGCTCACGCGCTTCTTGGCAGCGGCAATCTTCTCCTGCCGCGCCTTCTCTTCCGCATCCGCCATGGTGGAAAATTCGGAATGCGTCGGTGAGCCGGTATAGATGGCTGTCTGTGCGTGGCCGTCTGAATGCAATCAATACGTGTCGGTGGGAAGGGGGGGGTGCAATGTTGAACAAGAACGGCTGCTGAAGGGAGAAGATGCAGAGAAAGCTACGTAGCGTGCGCGCGTTGGTCACAGCACAGCTCTGCCGTTACGACTTATCGAGGGCTGCCCTTGTTCACTAATACAGAACCCCGCATCCTGCCAGGGTGTCCTAACTTGCCTAGCCTGTATTCATGTTACTACGAAGTATTACGGGAGGACTCGTACTGCCATTAGAAGCATTCATCAGTTGAATCAATGTCGGGGGATTTTATGTAAAAGTCTCGAACTTAAGCATTGAGAAGCATTGCTGTGTTTGTCGGAACCACATACATCTGTAGGTATATAATCTTCTGGCCATCTTCAAGCTTCCACGTGACGTCAAAGCCTATGATTACCATTACGGCAGGATCAATCATTAAAAAGATTTGTCTATGCACGTAGCTTTTGCAATTGACAAGATACGGGATCTAGAATGGTTATCACTATCTGTGTATCTACTATCTGTGTATCTGTCATGCAAGATTGGATGAGATCAGTGTAGCCCAAGGATTACATCTTTGACTGGAGAATAAGTAATATATGACGGCGCCTCATCTCAAAATCGTTTTCGTGCTGCACTTTCCCCGTCGATTGGAGATTTCGAATTCGTCAAGACAGGGTAGATGGCAGCTTGACCTCGGGTACTCTTATACATTGAAGCTAGATGAACCGGTCCACCAATATTCTCGAACATCTATTCTTTAATAAACGGAGCTGGGTTCTACCGGTCAGATCAATCTCTCAGCTGTGAACCTCAACTTACATGAGTAAGCAGCCAGGGGCTGCTGCCACACTCAATCATAAATACCTTATAGATTGATTTCCTTTCCTTAGAAAGAAAGAAGCGACTCGACACACATATCAACCTAGGAGGTAATATACATAGATATACAGGCAGAGGCCACTGCATCAGCATCTACGGGTCATCGTATGTTGTCGCTAGCAGGAAGCACACGGCTCCGACTATAGGGTAGGTGTGATGAATGCGTATAAGTGCCACATTGGAAATGGCATTGAAGGCAGGTACGCTCCATTAGCAAGGTAGCTCCTGCCCTCGAAACTGAATATCATGAAGTGGAAGTGAGATACATCACGCCTTCTACATCCAGACAGTGCACCCTGAAACTGACGAGACACGCCACGCCTCTCCTCCTCTTCCTCTGCCTACAAGCTTTCTCATAGCAATGCCACCAACAACCTCGACCATGAACTGGACAGAAGGAAAGTCCAATCACCGGTCTCGTGGAAAGGGACGGAATGGCGAGTCTTTCCGGCAGAAAGGGTTCTCTGCCAAAGCACGTATGCGGCGTAACCAAGTCCCGGACGCAGATTCTCCTGGTAACCAACGTGACTCGTTCGTACCAAATTTCATTCCCCAGCAGGGTCAAGAAGAGCAAGGGGGAAGCGCACCTCAAGATGTACCGATCCAACCAGCAGAGATACGCTTTCATGAAATGATGGCGCCCATTTCACACGGAGCACAAGAAAAACCTTGCGACTCTTCAGACCAGACATTGGGCGAGCCGATATCGACCGAGGATGGGCACGACAGCCTTGAATCCAAGCGTCGTAGGCTTCTTGCAAAACGGGACTGGACGGGCGTCGAGATCCAGAAGCCTCTGATTCTCGGCTATCAACGACAAGCAAAAGAGCCAGTCATGGCTTCAATGAGGAGAGATAGGTTCGGCTACGTTGTCGTCTATTTTCGGTCTTATTTCCTTGAGGGTTCCATCAATGCTAACTGCGACACGCCCATGTAAGAAACGATTTTCATGGCCTTTCGCGTCAAAGAGAGAAGGATTTTCTCAGACTCCGGACTGGCAGCCAGAGTCTTGGTTGGAGCCCGGACAGAAACACGATTGGAAGTCCGGTGACTGAGCGAGCGGTGTCACCCTCTGAACAGAGCGTCGACTCTCGCCTCTCCAAGTCACGATATACTCTGCCATCGCCGCATGCCCTTGCAGAGGGTATACTGCCACGGCAGCTTGGTGAACAAGCCTATGTCGCGCATTCGGATGTCAGACTGTGCCACCCCAGGCCAGCACGCTCTACGCTACCGCCACTTTACTGTGGGCGATCGACAAGCCCCGAAGTGGAGGATATCATCTTGGCGGAGACTGATATCAGAGCCTCGCATGATTCTCCTCGGAAGCGGGGCCTGGGCACTAGTACGAGTGGCGCGGAATGTTCCTTACGCGATGAGCTAAAAGTCCTGCCTACGAAGATGACGATGAATGACTGCAGCGTCGAACCTTGTTTCCAATCGTTTTATGGCGATCATGTATTCCCGAAAGATGATGAGACTAGACGGGATGGGGCAAGTAGGCAACAACCATCCTCACCTGCGTTCGTCGTCGACAGGGATTCTCTAACGATGACAACACCAGGATGGACACCAGACAGGAGAGTGGAGAGGGTGGAGGATTTATTCCCTGATGTACAGGGTGAAGCGTCGCTTACAATTCCCTCATCGATGGAGCTTCCAGAAGTGCCCAACTTTGAAGGGTTGATGGAGCTCTTGGCAGAGGTGGATGAACCATGGATCGACCAACGAAAGCACGGGGAAGCGTCAGTGGACGATGGTGTACTCGTGAACGGTATCAGGCCACGTGGTGCAACGCGGAAGCGAGTTCCGCGCGAAGGTGACGCTGCGGGTACAGCTGTACCCGGTGAAGTGTCGGCCATGGCCGGTGATGTCGAGATAGGGCAGGCAGGGGAGGCAGGGGGGAGGAGGGACTCTGAGTGCGCGGTCGGGACGAGGGTGGGGCGTGGTAGGGAGAATCGTCGGGTTAGCGACTCGACGGACAGGGTCACAAGGGCAGAGGGCGAAGGCGCAGATCAAAGCTTCGTTAGCGTGCAGGTGCCGCTTCTAGAAGGCCTCTTGGAAGCGGGGGAGAAAACGCCGTGGAGCGACACTAGACCCTTTATGGTGGCGGATATAAGGTCTGAGACTGGTGGTGCTACGGTAACTAATGATATCACTGCGCACACGCATGAGCGTACGGCGTTGATGGCAGGGCCAGGAGGAGGAGGAGGTGGGGTCCGTGGGGATGATGATGATGGTGGTGCAAGTGGCGCAGGCGGTGTAGGCGATGCGGGCGGTGCGGGCAGCGCAGGCGGGCAGCAGCATGGTGGTGGTACCCGGCGTATCGAGGTCAAGGACCAGGGCAATAAGGAAAGGGGCTGGGGATCCTTCAAGGTCCAGCAGCCGAGGGTATTCGTCGAGAAGCTTGCGAGCGGGCGGGATACGAGAGCGATTCCGACAAGTGAGAGCGGCAGGGGCAGTGGCAGAGGTCCACGATGGCGTCCAGCAGTGCGTCTGCAACGGCAGGGGCGACGGCGCACGAGCAGGACGAAGAAGACAAAGGACGGGGGGTGGGATATGCTTGACAGGGCGGTAGCTGAGACGCAGACGCATGATTACGACCCGATTTCGAGTGACGACGACGCAGGGTGATGGAGCGTGCGTACGTGCGTGTGAGCTGTATGTATGTAGGCGGTGCTTACGGGGTGGGGCAAGGGCAAGGGGTAAAGGGTGGTCAGGTGGGGGAGGGCGAGAAGAGAGAGAGAGAGAGAGAGAGAGAGAGAGAGCATGGGTAGGAGGAGGAGAGCTTGCGCGGTTGGCGCGAGTTGGAGTTGGAGGCCATTGCCAGCGGTGAATACGTGTATACTCTTCTACTTCGTATAAGCTGGCAGGGTAAGACGTGATGAGACGGGACAGAAAGACGGAGGAATTATTCTAGTGCGAGTACGAGCAGGATGAACATGAAGGATTGTGGACGGACATGGACGAATTGTTCAGCTTGGACTGATACCTAACGGATCCACAAGGCACAAGGATGCAATAGTGGTGGGGGGGGAAACAAAGAAATAAAATCAATGGATCTACGTAATACATGTACGATACGGAGTAAGGAGTTGGTTGATACCTGTAAGGATGATTGCCACAATTCTGTTGTTAGCCCTGTAGGACTTGAGAGAACTTCTAGAAGGGTTCTCTGCACAGACCATGTGGGAATGTGGGAGGGGTGGGCAGGGGGGGGGGGTGAATGTCAAGTTGATGATTTATTAAATTGATGATTTGTTATATGGGGTAGGATTTTGAGTAATAATAGGTCGGTATCATAGAGTGTATATGTGTGTGTGCGCAATTGGGTTTCTTCAAGGCAGAAGTAATACATGTAACAAGTATATGTACATATTACAGATAATACTATTACGTCTATTCTTTAGACCCTCGCAGAGAAGAAGGCAGTCTTCACCATTCATCTGATTGGAACCTATCAGGTACGTTCTGATGATGGAAAGAACTGGGCTGTACGAATCAAGCCAGTATATTGTACCAGCCACTGTTTAGACCAGGTAATGACTTTTTGCTATGCAGCCAACGAGATGAGAGGATGCATGTTGCCTGATGGGTTCTACCCGGTATATCCTGTACTCCTGTACTCTCGGTAGGCTATAGTAGCAATATTCCTTCTAATATCTGTAGGTTGGAAAATATTTCCGTAATCATCTAGCAGTGAGGTAATATATATATATGTATAATATATATATATATATCTAAATATTGGAGAAGCTGAAACACCTGCGAGAATGGGGTATACAGGCAAGGCCAGTATCGGTATCGACAGGGTAGTATACTGGTAGAATCACCAATACACTTGTACGGGTAGAGAGAATGGGTCAATGGAGGAGGGAGGCGGTGTTGCTCGAATTCTCTCTCCTTCTCGGGACTTGATACCCCCGTGATGACGGAATTAGACATGCAGGTCGTCGTGACCCACAGAAGTGCCCCACTCGCACAGCTTGCCTATTTTGACGATTATGATTTGCTTATTTTTCTTTTTCTTGTAGGGATGGATGGATTTTGTATTGTAGTCTATTGTAATTCGACGCCGGGAGTCTACAAAAAAAAATTGGGGGTCATGATGTAGTAGGCATGAGATGAGATATCGGGGGCGGGGGGGAAGAAGAGAGACAGGAAAGAAACAAGGGACCGAAATGGTGATACGAGAAGATGAAGAGAGGAATAGAAGAAGAGAGAAAAAAATCCGGAACCAAACCCAAAAATGACAGAGAAGGAAAAGGATACAAGAAAAGAAGCCAGAAAAGAAGATGGATGACAACCGGAAAACCCCCCCTCCCCCTATCCAAAAAAAAAAAAAAAAAAAAAGAGAAAAGATACTATAGTCTCACAGCTCGCCTCTTGGCACAGCAAACCTCCCCACAAGAAGGGCATTCGAAGCCGGCGTCGGGCACCCTGACCCTGTCGAGGCAGTGGCCGCACCTCCACCAGGACGGGTCGGTGTTGCGGTTGATGAACCAGGCGTCGTCGGCGGGGGCCCGGCCCCTGCCCCTCTTCTCGAGGTCCTCGTTGTGGTAGTCGCGGTAGTGGTCGCGCCAGTGGTCCCGTCGGTGGAACGGCTCCGAGTAGCGCGGGCAGCGCTGGTAGTCGCAGTAGAAGCTCTCGCGGGCGGCGAGGGGTTCGTGCGTGGTCTGGACGTGTCGCGTCAGGTCGGTGCGGCGCTTGAAGTGTCGTGGCGGGAAGCACTGGTCACACGTGTTTGTCGCCGGTGGTGATGACGAAGACCAAGCTGTCGGAGGAGGGTAGGGTCTAAAGAATCCAGATGGTGAGTATTCTTCTTTCTTTCTCTCTTCCTTTTTTTTTTTTTCAGGAAGATTTTAGAGAGAGAGAGAGAGTTGAGAAGGAGAAAAAAGCATACCTTGATCGTTTATTTGGTGGGCCAGGAATAGATCGAGGTGCAGAAGGTAGATGGGGAAACATGATGGCCGCGGAAGAAGCGAGGGGTGGGACAGGATCGAACGAGATCGGATTCGATTCAGGCAGGGGACTGTTTGTCGGCATGGAGAAGGTGGGAGAGTCAGGGTCATAAAACCAGGACTCGAACGACGATGACAGGGAGGCAGTGGTGAGAGGGTGAGGAGGAGGAGGAGGAGGAGCTGAGCCTAGATCAGCAGCAGCAGCAGCAGCAGCAGCAGCAGCAGAAGCCGAAGACGAAGCAGAAGCAGCGCCGACAGCGCGGTCGAGGCCAAAGCTGAAATCAGGCGGGATGCTGCTGATGTGGTCGCCGTCGCCGTCGGGGATGTCGGCTATCCAGGGTCCGATACCGAGAAGAGAGGGATCAAAACGATCAAGAAGATGGTAGCGACGGTGATGGCCATCGTCCGATGCTTCTGTGACCGCCGCCGTCGATGCTGATGCTGAAGAATGAGATGCCGCGGGTGGGTCGAGACTGACGTCGTCGGATGACGAGCAAGGGTACAGGCTGGGGAAGAGAAGGAGAGAGTCCCAGTCTATGGGGGGCCGGTGGTCGATGCCGGTGAAGGAGCTTTGCCAGTCGGAAGCCATGATGTTCCAGACGGATGTGTCTGCTAATGCGTATGCTAATGTGTATGTGTGCGTGTGTGTGCGGGTGAGAATATGATTTTGTCTGAGTTATATGGTCCTGTACATGAATTATATATATATGTCTTGTCTTTCTTTTTTTTTTTCTTTTTTTTCTTTTTTTTTTAAAAAAAAAGGAGATGATGATTGTTTCTTTATAAAAGGAGTCTTGTTCGAATAGAAGGATAGTGTATATATATATATATATATATATATATATATACGTACATATATATACGTACATGTATATATAAAGGTGAGGAGTATTAAGTGAAGAAATGGAGAGATGGGGATGTGTGCGGGGTTTATAAACATCAAAGGGGGAGTGAAGGGAAGGGGAGGGTGAGGATTAAGAGAAGATGGTTGAAGAGCCTCACCAAAACCTGCCAGTTTGCCGCTGTTTTTTTTGGCAGTGTCAGACTGCTACTTTTTAGGTAGGCCTCACTGGGGAAAAAAAAAAAAAAAAAAAAAGCAGGACCTCTCTGAGTCACTGCATCATGCATCGGTGCATGTACGAATCGAGGGAGATGCATCTCTCTCTCTCTCTCTCTCGCTCTAGAGAGAGAGAGAGTATGGAGAGAGAGAGCATAGAGAGAGGGAGAGAGAGCATAGAGTAGACAAGTAAAAGACCGAACCAATCATCGAGCAACCAAACAAGGACGAGACTGTGGACTCGGGGTGCCTTGGTGATCCCAACTTCCCGGGCTCCCATCTGCTATTATTAGTGCTGCGCTGCGTTGAATATATAAACAGATAATATCCGTATTACTCCGTAGCATCATCCCTTCATCTATACCACCATGCGTAACTGACCCTCTCCAGCCCTGTGGAGCCCCCGATACCTAGCGACTCGTATGTACACTCGAATACGTGGATGCGCGGCAGAAAGTGGATAGGTCCCTATATGTACATAGGTGTGTGTGTATATATCGTCGGAGGTGTGAATGGCGCATCGACCTGTACGCGGTAATATATACACGTGTGGATGCGTGTATACTCCGTACGATGTATGGGGCAAGTCCAGTGAGATGAGACTATAGGAGTAGAGGGGGAAAACAAAACATGATCTACGCCCGGTGAACATGGGTTTCGATTGATGCTGTACATGCCGTCCCTTACTTCCTCTCTTACCGAGCACATCGTGTACAGCTACGACTACGACAGATTCAGCATGTTCCTCTCCCCTCTCCCGCACGTTGCCACCCAACCCTGTATTGGCCAACGGAAGGATGAGGAGCCGGGGAGGAAGCCCAGATGGGCGATGAAGAGAAGAGTATGCATCGACAGGTGATCACCTCCCTCTTCGCTTCCTTTCCTTTCTTTTTTTCCTTCTTTCTTTTGCCACCCAGGGGGAGGAGGAGGGGCCATATGGGGACTGTTCTGGCAGGGCAAGCATGCGGATCAGGACTCGTACACAGGAACGTATCACGGAGGAATATTACGACCTCGGCATGGTAGATTATCAGAGAAGCGGGTGGGCCATGTCATCTGCTGCGTATCAGTCCAGAGAGAGTCTAGTCGGGCGTCGTTCCCAGAGGATGACCGACTTGCGGGATGCAACTATCGACCTATGATGATGATGCAGGTGATAATAAGAAAACGAGAAGTTACCAAGAGAAACAGAGAATCGTGATGGATAGACGAATCCGTACACAGATAGATGACCAATACATAGATGGTCTCCCATGACATTGACCTATGATGATGATGGAAAAACAAATCATGACAGACGCCATGACAGACGCCATGACTATGAGCCTATCACGATGATGATGATAAAGAATAAGGGGGAAAAGGAAATATAAGGAAGCAAGAACGAAAAAACAAACAAGAACGTGAAGAGAAGGATGTCATCAATTCATGACCAATTTAATCAGAACATCATGAACCAACCCCCCACCACCCCCCTTCCCCCGATAATGCATAATGCAGATGATGATATACATTGTGTATTCAAGATACAAGCAGCATCGCATTCCCTCGAGACACAGCCACAGCCACAACAGTTCCATGATATCTTTTTTTTTTTTTTAAAAAAAAAAAAAAACACAACATATTACAATGTTAAAAAAAAAATTGAATTTGTGGCGCAGTCCACTTTTTCTCTACCGAGTACGAGACGACGACGGAACACACAAGACTTGTGTGTGACCTGCGCCACTCCGAGGAGTTGACAGTCAACACGTACAATAAAGAACGAGATCGTCCAGCGGAATTGATTGCGCTGTCCCTCTCTATCCGACAGAATATCACAAAGAGTATTGCCGAGTAATACTTATTATAATAACGTGTAACATGTGACCTAGGCTTTTTCCAGCATGTACTAATATCTATCTCTCCATCTCTATCTCTCCATCTCTCTCTTGTTTCTCTCCCTCTCCCTCTATCTCTCTCTGTACATGTATACTTGGGCATCACTTATCCATTTCAACTAGTCATATCATCTCTTCATCTTCACCATCTCTCTTCCACCCTCCCCCCCCTCATGATAAGACTATGCTCCCCTTCTCTCTTCTCGATGTTTTTCTCCCCATGTCTTTCCAATCAAGACGTAACTACCCTCCTCGTGTCTGCCTCGCCATATCTCCTTCCAATGCCTCCTCCTCCACACTCCACCGGTTATCATCGGCTCAAGGGAGAGCCGATATCATCATCATCATCCTACCTAGTAATCTAGTAATCTGTACCAATCACATCTCACATCCCATTCCTTATACCGAGCCACGCATACCACCCACACCTCATTCTCCTTCTCCCTCTCTCCCTATCTCTACTCTCTCTACTCTCTCTCTCTCTCTCTCTCTCTACTCCCTCGACTCTCCCTTTTACCCTTCATATCTTGTCCCGAATCCTTGAATCATCAACGCCCCAGGATCCATGAGAGTCCATCAGCTAAAATATACCATATGACCTATCTCTTCACATCTCCCCCCCTCCCCACTCCCCCCCTCCAAACTCCGTCATCGGAGCTTGGATATTCATCTTCACTCCCTCCCGTTTCAGAACTTCCCATCTGCATCCCTGCTCCCTGCTTCCCTGCTTCCCTGCTTCCCTGCTTCCCTGCTTCCCCTTTCCGGGATCCCAAAGCGAGAGGATGACCCCTCCCCCCCTTCTCTCTCTCTCTCTCTCTCTCCATCATCAGCCTCATCGCCATGTGACACATATGGCGATGAACACGACACACACACGCAGTCACACCCCTGTCACGTAAAGTTGGTGAGAGGCATAAGTCACTAGCTAATATGACGTACCAGGGGGAGGGGCGGATGATTGCCTCCCCCCACGGGGTTTGATTGAAACCCTTCAATAACTTTTCTAGTTTTGCTTTGTGTGTGTGCTTGTGTATGTGTGTTTTTATTTTTATTTTTACGTGGATTTCCTCCCGCCCCCCTCCTCTTCTCTTCGGCGCCGATCAGTCGGTCGTCCCATCCTTTGTAAAATGATGGGGAACAAAAGGGGGGGGGGGAGGGGGGAGAGTAAAAAAAGAGAAAAAAGAAATAGGAGCCCCATTTGTCCGTCCTTTCCGACCCGCTTTCCCACCTTGAAAGATGATGAAGCATTTCCCGTGTAACCTGACAGTTGAAGCGAGAAATAAGAAGAAATTTTTGAAAAAAAAAAAAAAAAAAAAAAAAAAAAAAAAAATAATACCCCCGAGATACGGAGAGCATCTTATACGTCATTATACGTCATCTTCTAAGAACTTGTACACGAACCTGAACTCGGCCTTACGACGGTTCATCCTAGGCACCCCATCAGTCAGCATTTGTCGTTGCACCATACCAGGGAACCCCGGTGTGCCAAGACTAAGACTTGTTACATACCAGGTGCTCTCGTAGTCGAAGAAACGGTAAGTCCCCTGCTCAAACTCGTCCGTTATGCTCTTGGGCTCCTCGTGTCTCTGGAACCAGGTCTGGTACTGCTTGTGAAAGCGCCAGCTCTGGTCCTTGAGCGCCTTGGCCGCCAAGTACTGGTGAGGAGTCCCCTGCTTGTAGTAGAAGACGTAGAAGAGCGTGTCCGTGTCGATGCGCGAGTACAGCCGCGGGTCGTCGAATATCGCCAGCGGCTCGCGTGGGTACCCGGCCGCCGCCGCCCCCGGGAAGGCCACCTCGGGCCTGTACGTGCGCGGGCACTCGGCGTCCGCCCCGTCCGGGTAGTTGGCCCGGCTGGATGCCATCATCTGCAGCGTTGACTGCGATGCCGGGTGCGCACGTCGTCGCTTCGTCGCCTCAAAAGACTCCACGAGGTCCTGCAGCGAAGGAGGCAGGTGATACACGCTCTCCTCCTCTGGTACCTCCTCGATTCGCTTGATACCGTTGGTCGTCGTGCCGTTGGGTTGCGGCGTCGAAGCTGTACATGGCGACGCCACCTGTCAGCCACCGTCTCGGGACCTACCGGAGAGGAAAGGGGGGACCGAGCAACGAAGAAGAGAGAGAGCGAGGACAAGAAAAGAAAGAAAGAGAGAAAGAAGAAGACAGGAAGAGGTGAGAAAGAGGGGGGGGGGGAACTCACGCTTTCCAGCATCAGCTTCCTGAGCAGCTGCTGCTTGTTTGCCTGCCGCTGTTCTAGACCTCCTGGGCCGCGACGGTCCGCCCTCGACCTCGGCCAACGGCGGAGCTGGTGTGACGTTGGCCAGCTGCGCCGACGTGCTCGCAGGCGAGTTGGCCGCGCTCGTCTTGGAATGCAGCGACGCCGCAGATAGTACCGGCGTCGCTCCCGGCGGCGGGGGCAGGGGTGCGATGCCCATGCCAGACTTGTCGCTCGACGCCGCCGCCGCCGCCGCCGCCGCCGCGGACGCGTACTTGAGCCCCTCTCCTGCCGGCCTCGCGGGCACCTGCGCAGGCTTCATGGCCGGCGCGCTGCCGTTAGTACCGCTGATTGTCGCCAGGGGGGTGTGCAGCGTCGCCAGCGCCGGAAGGGGTGACTTGGTGCTCGCGTGCGTCGTCGTCTTGCGTGCCGTCGGCGCGTCCGGCTCCTTCGCTGTCTTCTTGGCCGCCACCTTGAGCGGTTCCGGCTCGGGCGGGGCGTCGTCCGGCGTCGACTGAGCATCCTGCGACGACCTCTCGTTGTCTACGTTCAGGCCAAAGACACCCTCGTCGTCCTCGAGATCCAGTTCGTCGTACATGCCCTCGTCGTCGGCGTTGCCGTCCGTCATGCCGTCGGAGAGGTAGAACTTGATGCTCTCCTCTAGCTCCATGACCTGCTCGGTTTCGACGCCTCCATTCTCGAGCGTTCGTCGGATCAGCTCCAGCTTGCCTTGATGCCACTTGTGCCGCTCGATGATCCGTTCGATCTCGGCGATGCGCTCGGCCTTGGCAGCTCCCGCTTTGCCCTTCTTCATCGTTGCTGATAGCGATTCGCTCTCGGCCTCGAGCGCCTCGATCTGCTGCTCTAGCTCGTCGACCGAAGTGCTCAGGAACTCGCCGCATTCTACCTTGGCCTGCTCCTTGGGGTCTAGCCTGGCCGCGGCCGAGAGACCCTCTTTGGAGTAGGCCTTGGTCTTCATCGCCTTCTCCACCGCCTTGAACTTTTCCATTTGCTATGCACACGGTATCCTGTCAGCGTCTCTCATCCGTCTTCGCCTCTACTTCTTCCCCTTCTGCATCTTCCGCCGACGTTCCGTCCCGAGGGAGTCGGGACGCACCGTTTCAATCAACCGCCGATGGTCTAGCAAGGGAGCCTTGTCTTTGATGTCATTGCTGGCGGCCCATGACTTGATCTGATCTCGTAGACGCTGGAGCTTCTTGATTTCACGCTTGAGATTGTCTTCTTGCTTCTCCTTCTGGGCCGGGTTGTTGGACTGCTCAATCTTGTCGTATATGGCCTCGAACTCGGCGACGCCTTCGGCCACCTTCTTGAAGCACTTGTCGACCTCCTGTTGCAGTTTTCTTGCCGCCATGATGTCTGCATGTAGCGGCGTCCGGGCGGATCGTCGAACGTCTCTCTTTTGTCGGTGTTATTCGAGCGGGGGGAGGGAGGGGGGTGCGTCGCTGCCGCCGTCGTGGCCGTGGTTGTCGTGGGCTGTCTCGTCGTCGCGACCTCGTTAAAATCGAGAGGTCGATCGAGTTGGTTCGTCGCGCGTCGCACTGGTCGCGCCTGGAGGATTCAGGGATCTGGAAGGACAGGTATGAGGGTGGTATCTCGAGCGTGGGACACTCTGTGGCAGGGTAGCTGTTTGTTTGAACAAAGGTGTTGAGAGAAGACGCAATCTGGTAGTCGTAGTCACTAGAAGAAGTTGTGTTGGCGCTGTGGATCAGGATTCTAAGATAGTGGCCTGTCTGATTGGCCAGCTGCTGCTAGCTGGCCTGACGTTGTCTGGTAGCGGGTTGGCAAAACAGAGACAGTTTGGAGACCAAAGGGGGGGGGGGGGGGGTTTGAGGATTAAAAGAAGAAGAAATTTTTTATCATTGTTGAAGGCATATCCATTCTTTCAATAGAGTGATAATGTACGAGGTTAACAAGCATCAAGTCAAAGTTGCGGAGAAGTGAAGGTCGATGGTACGAAGTAGTCTTTATTAGTCTCAAAGAGCTCACATGACGCTGGGCCTATTCAAGAGCAAGAGCATCATCCATCCCATTGTCGTCGCTCCTGCCTCACCTTGCCTGCCTGCCTGCCTTACCCTATAGACCTGCTCATTAGTCATTCATCTTCCCGGACGCTAACTATTGGACATTGCCATCTTGCGTTTCCTGTCTCTTATTCTTGTCAATGCCTTGTCCTTGATCTCTTTCTTGTCTCCGTTCCTGTCCTCTCTCTTTTCTCTTGTTCACTTGACCTTCCCCCCAAGACGCAGGCGGTGTGTCGGACATAGTCGACAATGAAGGGTAAGGACATTCACACGTCGTCACGGACTCAACCTCACACAATGCCTTACTGATGAGAAGACGCGCGCAGCCATCATTCAGCGTGTTCTCTCAGCCTCCGTGACGGTGGACAAGGAGGTCGTCTCGTCCATCGGAAAGGGCATCCTCGTCTTTGCGGCCGTGGCGCCCGGGGACACGGAGAAGGAGATGAAGACGATTGCTGGCAAAGTGACTAAGATGAAGCTCTGGGACGACGAATCAGGAGGCAGGGTAAGCAGAGTGATGATGTGCAGCTGTGTCGAGCATCTTCGTCTCTAGCCTATACCTTGCTGACACGACTCCTCTCCTTCTTCTTCTTCTTCCTTTTTCCCCTAAAATCTTTTTTTCTAATGATTTTTTTTTCTATAGTGGAAGAAGAGTGTCAAGGATATCGGCGGCGAGGTTCTCTGCGGTATGTGTGCTACTACTCCCTGCCAGGGAAGAGACTGCGTCCTGTCCTCTCGACGGCGCAAGTTTGCTGACGTACTACATGGATATGCAGTCTCCCAGTTCACGCTGCTGGCTAGGACGAAGAAGGGCACGAAGCCTGATTTCCACGGCGCGGCCAGTCCGGAGGAGGCTAAGCGGCTTTACGAGTACTTTGTCGCTGCCGTCAAGGAGGAATACGATGCCTCGCACGTGGCTGATGGCCGGTTCCAGGCCATGATGGAGGTTGCCCTGGTTAACGACGGCCCGGTAAGATGATGACATCCCGGCGTCTGGTAGAGGACATGCTCTGCCATGGTGTATTTGCGGAGTGGTACGCTGACATTGCAATATCATCCCTCAGGTGACGTTGGAGCTGCAGGCGGGTGGAACGCTGGCCGAATGAGCAGCGACCGACCAGACAAGCAGGCAGGCGAGAGCCAAGCAGGCGAGAGAGCCAAGCAGACGAGAGAGCTTCTGACAGGATAGACAAGACGGACGACCATTCGTTTCGTGACTGATCATTACTACATGTACATACAACACATACGCTACGAGAATTTGCTGCGCACGTCTGCCACCGCATCCGCATCCATCGGTAATATGCAGAGACATATGGCATGGATGCCCGACTTGTATCGAGTGTGAGTGAATCGGGGATGCACGGCGGGGCCGCTGCGGCGCCACGACAAGCGACTGTTCTGAGCCGGTGGACTGTCTGTCACACGGCATCACAGGGGAACAGACACGGAACAGAAGCTTGGTGAATCCGGGGCAAGCCTGATCAAGCCAGCCAGCCAGATCTATCGGGAACCAGCAAGGCATTCTTCCTGAACGATGTGAGACGACCTCGAGACTCCTTGAATCTTGACTTGAGGCAGGAGAGAGGAGAGAGAGGCAGCTAGAAATTTCCATGGTGATGCTCCACCATGAGGCCGCTATAACGACCGCGGCGATGACCCCTGTACGGAGTAATAATGACGGCTGTAACATGACTGAGCAGCAGCTGATACCTGTACAGGTTACATATTAGACGCTGTAAGGTGTCCGGTACAGGGACTGTATTCCCTCAGAACAGTGACCGTCCAGTAATACGATAGCAGCAACTGTTGCGGATATCAAGCGGCATGACGACATCCAGTACAAAGGCCACGAACCATTTACACTGCCAGTCTTTTGATGGGGTTCAACGTTTCCTGATGGTTTCCTGATGGGCAAATCAATATCATCATCATCAGTCATGTAATCTCTCTCTCCATCCCCCTCTCTTCTCTCCTCTGGATATCCTGCTCATCCCTACCGCTTATTCACCGTCAACATCTGAATACGACGAGGTTGCCGACGCTCTCATCGTCTTCAGCCCACCCCACACTTAGAAGTAGTTCGCTGTACGTACCCCGCGCCGATGATAATGATACCATTTCCATCTTCCTTCTCTCGGTTTCTCTCCCACTCTCTCTGCCCCGCTAACAAGAAGAATGTGAGAGAAGGAAGAGAGAGAAAAAAAAAGAACAGACCAACATCACAATATCAGCCCTTCCTCACGAGGTCCAGTCATTTTCACTTTTTCTCCCTATTTTTTTTTCCCACTCACATTAAATATCTCACGCGCCTCATAATCAAGGGAATCTCTTCAAGGGGAAACATAATAGAATACAAAACCTCAACTGCTCTCTTCTTCCCCTCCTACCTCTCTCTCTCTCAACCCCTCACCCTCACCCCACTACCACACACGCACGTACACACATACACACGCACGCACACACATTCACACGCACGCACACACATACACACACACATACACACACACATACACACACGCACACACACATACACACCCATACGCAGCAGACATCATGAGCGACGACAAGACGAACCCCCGGGTCTTCTTCGACCTGACCATGGGCGGCAAGCCCCTCGGGCGAATAACGATGGAGCTGTACGCGGACGCGGTACCCAAGACGGCCGAGAACTTCCGGAGCCTGTGCACGGGTGAGAAGGGCACGGGCAAGTCGGGGAAGCCGCTGCACTACAAGGGCTCCGTCTTCCACCGGGTCATCAAGCAGTTCATGATCCAGGGCGGCGACTTCACGGCCGGGGACGGCACCGGCGGCGAGTCCATCTACGGGTCCAAGTTCGACGACGAGGCCTTCCCGTACAAGCACGAGCAGCCGTTCCTGCTGAGCATGGCCAACGCGGGGCCCAACACCAACGGCAGCCAGTTCTTCATCACGACGGTGCCGACCCCGCACCTGGACGGCAAGCACGTCGTCTTCGGCCGCGTGCTCAACGGCCGGTCGGTCGTGCGCCAGGTCGAGAACGCGCCGACGTCCGGCGGCGATCGCCCGGTGCGCGATGTCGTCATCGCCGACTGCGGCCAGCTCACCGGCGAGGACGCCCTGACCGCCGACGTCCGCCAGCCCGACGCCATGGGCGACCCCTACGAGGACTTCCCCGAGGACTGCCCGCCCGACGAGCTCACCGCCCCCAAGATCCTGGCCATCGCCTCCGCCTGCAAGGACTACGGCACCCGCGCCCTCAAGGCCGCCGACCTCGACACCGCCCTGGCAAAGTACCAGAAGGGCCTGCGCTACCTCAACGAGGAGCCCGACATCGGCGCTGACGACTCCGCCGCGGCGGAACAGGCCGCCGCCCTCCGCTACGGCCTCAACAGCAACTCCTCCCTCGTCGCCACCAAGCAGTCTGCTTGGGAAGACGTCGTGCGCTTCGCCACAAACGCCCTCGAGGTCCCCGGCCGCTCTGGCCCCGAGCGCGCAAAGGCCCTCTACCGTCGCGGCGTAGCGGCCGAGCACCTCAAGGACCTCGACGCCGCCCTTGCCGACTTCGACGCCGCTGCCAAGCTCGTCCCCGAAGACCCCGCCGTCATCAACGCCCGCAAAGCACTCAAGGCAAAGGTCGCTGCTCGTGCTGCAAAGGAGAAGGCTGCCTACAAGAAGTTCTTCTCCTAAACGTTCAGGGGCGACGAGGGGAGGGAGAAGGAGAAAAGGTCTTATTCGAGCTAGAGACATGTCAATTACTGTGTAATTAATAAGTAAACGAGTATAAAATGAAGAAAAAAAAACATGGTAAATGTACTTTTAATCATTAAGAGGTCGTAATTGAGTCATGCTTGTCATTCTGTGTACCCGTGCTTCATCATTGTAGGCCAAGACGTAATGAAGTAAATACATGTGCAATACGGCCCCCCCCCCCCCCCCCCAAAAAAAAAGGCAAGTTGTAAAAAAACTGTAATTCAATATATAAGTCTTTTTTGGTCATCTATCCATCTGGTATCATATAAGCAAACACCTGTTCCCCATGCCCCCCCCTCATTCCTTTCCCCATGTTTCTTGCTCCGTTTGTATCTATCTCTATTGATATTTGGCCCCTGTACCTTGTAATGCCGTGACGGATAATATCATGGTTCTGCATGTCGGTCGCCTATGACAGTAACGGTTGGTAGTAGAATCCTCATAGCGGTCATGACCTCGTAGCAATGACCCTGTCTGTCCGCATCGTTCCTAGCATCCGATAAGAATGCCCTGTCAACGCTGACAATCATTTCTTTTCCTTGGAATCGTTACCACGCCTCATAATCCCATTCAGGATAGCCCTGCTTCTCTTGCTAGCCCCGTTCCTGACACTCCCGCCGCTGCTCTTGGCCGCGGGTCCGCCGACAATGGTCGTGGTCACGGTGCCCTGTAGTAGCCGCGGCAATAGCTCCGACGTCGAGAACCGGTGGTGACTCGAATCGTACCACGTCGAAGACGACTGTGCGTAGCTGAGAGACTCGACGAGGGACGCCTGGTCGAGTATGTCGGCCAGGTCGTCCGGCGAGGACGAGTTGGCGTCGCGTCGCGCCTCGGAAAGACGGTGGCGCTCGTTGGTCGCGAGGCAGGCATCTGCCCGGGACTGGAGGGCTATGCACAGCTCATGAAAGGTGAGGAGGTCGCCTTCCATGGATATTTTGCCTGCTGTTGTACCGACTTTGATTTGTTGCTGCTGTTGCTGTTCCTGTTCCTGATGCTTTTGCTGTTGCTTTTGCTGTTGCTGTTGCTTCTGATGCTGCTGCTGCTGCTGNGTTGCTTTTGCTGTTGCTGTTGCTTCTGATGCTGCTGCTGCTGCTGTTGCTTTTGCTGCTGCTGCTGCTGTTGCTGTTGCTTCTGTTGCTGCTGCTGCTGCTTCTGATGCTGCTGCTGCTGTTCAGACTCAGATTGCGTGCTGCTAATTGTGCTCGTGTCGGTGGTGGTAGGTGTAGTGGCAGTAGTGGTAGCGGTGGTGGGAGGAGTAATGGTGGTAGAATCAGAGTTGACGTCGGCCCACAGCTTGACCAGACCTGCATAGTTGCGTGCCTGGTCGACGAGGAAAGGTAGACTGGGGAAGCCTTCGCGCGCCGTGGGGCTCAGTCTGCTGAGTATGGTCATGGGTGTGCGGTAGCTGGCGTGGAAGGTGCGCATCTCGCGCTCCGAGGGTGTGACGTCGCAGACGGCGTCGATGTAGTCCCTGAACCGCGGACGCTGGGCACTCAGAAACCGGTTCATCGGCTCCATCCATTCCTCGCGTTTGCCAAACATAGACAGGTTGGATAGCTTCTGCAGCGCCTTGGCGATGAGCGTAAATGTACGCTGGGCCCTAGGTTGAGGGTGGTCGCGCAGCAGGCCAAACAGCTTGGGCGACAGGATGGCAGGGCATATGAAGCGCAGGAACAGGAAGCCCGACACCGACGTGTACGATACAGAGCGAAGGAAGTCGCCGTAGCGGTCCTCGGCCACGGCTCGCACGTACTTTAGGATGCCCCGGAGCTCAGCGTGCATGCGGGATGCAGACACCGCTATGCATTCCCACACCTCGGTCGTCAGGTCAATGAGACGCGTCCAGTGCTGTTCGATGTCGCCGCCGTCGCTGTTGCTACCACCGGCACCGCCGCCCTGCGCATGTCCGTGTCCGTGCCCGTGATGCGGATGCGGATGCGACTGCGTGCTGGCCATCTTGCTAGGGTCCACCTCGCAGTCTGGGTTGGCCTCGTTGATCTCAAACAGCTTGTCTTTGAGCGTCTCGATGAGGAAATCCCTACCCAGACGGCGCATGTGCAGCTCCAGCGCCTGGGTGAGCAGCGTGTTGCCCCGAAAGAGCAGGTTAGCCTCTCCGGCGAGCGACCTGCCCATGTCGCGCAGCAGGTTGCCCCTGTCGCCAACGGACTCGGCCGAGTCGTTGGACTTGAGCCTGCTGTCGAAGCGCAGCTTGCGCATCGCCGAGTGGTTGCCCATGCCGTCGATCTCCTCCTCCACCAGTGCCATCAGCCACTCGCCCGCCGACCCAGACACCTGGAAGATGTTGAGAAATAGCTCGGCCAGACGGCGGAGGTGCGTGGGAAGTGCCGTGGCCACCAGAGACGTGAGGCCCGAGTTGAAATTGTGCAGCAGCTCCCCGAGCTCGCGGTACTCCTTCTCCAGGAGGACAATGTGGTCTTCGTGCACCACCTTGACCAGCATGGAACCGATGGGCTCCCCGGTGTCGTCAAGAACCTGCATCCAGTCCTCCATCTCGCGCAGGCCTCCCCGGGTCTGGGCAAGCGGGAGCTCCACCGAGCCCCAGACCACCTCGGTAAGTCCTCGCTGGTGGGGTGCCTTGGAAGAGGATGGGTGGGAGGACTGGCTAGCTGCGTCGGGCCCGGCGTCGTCCACCTGTTTCAAAACAACCGAGAGATCCGGCATGGTGCTGGGCAGATCGATGAATTCGCAATCCTCTCGCCAAAAGGGGTTGCTCGTGGCGGGGCGGACCGTGGTTCGCGCGCGCACTTCTCCGTCCAGGATGACCTCGGCGAGGTAGTTTCCCTGGATGGCATCCGAATCGGACGCTGCTGCCTTGGAGCTGTTCTTGCTGTCGCTAGGTGCGAGTGTGGGCAACTCCATCCCCGCCGGCCGGCTCCTGATCTTTGCCTCGGTGACCCTGACGAGGATGGTCTTTTCCACACGAAACACCTCACCGCCCGCCTGGGTCTTTTCAACATCGTCAATGTCGTGCATCTCGTCGTCATCGTCGTCGTCGCCATATCCCTGCGAGCCCTTCCTCCCTCTGTTGGCGGGGATGGGACCCTTGATCTTGTACATGTCTGGCAAGGCAAAGGCGCGGAGCAGGGCAAACCAGACCTCAAAATGGGTGCGGTTGTCGAGTGCGAGGAAGACGGGCCTGTAGACGCTAACGTGGGTCGAGGTGGACGAGTACATGGGGAATATAGCGATGCAGTGTTCCTCATCGAGGACCGAGTGGTCGAGCTGCTGGATGGCGAAGCGCGACAGGTGCGACAGGCCCAGCACGGCGAGTATAGTGACGTCGTTCTCGGCCATGATCTTGAACTCGCCATTGTCGTGGAGGATGCACGAGATGCGGCGCCACGACATTTGCGGCGAGCGCGCGTCCCTCGTCGACGACCGGCGCACCAGTGACCTCGGATTCGACGCAGGGCCCTTGTCCCACACCTTTAGCTTGCCAACCTTGATGATGTTGGACGGCCTGGTGGTTTCGTTGCCGCCAGGGGCATCGCGCCGCGTCACCTCGGGACGCATGGGCAGACTTGGGCTGGTATTCCCAGTGCCAGCGCCGGTGCCACTACCACCGCTGCTATTACTGTTCCCTGCTTTGCCGTCGCCGCCGCCGCCGCCACCGCCAGAGATCGTCTTGATGGTCGAAGGGCGTAGCTGCTGCCAGCATAGCAGGGCAGCCAGCCACATGTCGAACTCGTCGTGAACGAGCGGGTACATGAGGAACTCGACAACGGGGTTGGACGAGGCGATTTCGAGACAGCGCTTGTCGGCGTCCCGGTAGTCGACGGGCAGGACGCAGCATCCGCGGAGGTCGGTGACGAGGGGGATGTGAAAGGGTCCGTTCTGGCCCGAGTCGAACATGAGACAGGCCCTCTCGTCGTCAATGTAGGCCACACCACTGTGCCAGGGTCCGCCTTGGCCGCCCTGGTACTCAATCTCGCCACGCATCTTGCCGCATAGGACACGCATGAGGAGCGAGATCTTGCGCGGGTTCTCGGTGGGGATGAGGGACGGCATCGAGTCGATGGACGGCGGCACGGTGGGCTGGGGCGACGTTGGACGCGACGAGTGGCGTTTGATCAGTCTCCGGCCAGAAGACTTCTTGTCATTCTTGCCGGCGGAAGGCGATGACGTCGAGGCAGGAGCGGCGCTCACACTGCTAGAGCTGACTATGCTGGGGAAACCAACTGACTCGTGGCCCGGTCGGGGGGCTTCGTCACCGGGAACAATGACCGGGTTTGACGAGCTGATGCTGCCGACGCGCTGCCGGTGCTCAATAGTGACGGTGACGCCGACCCGCTGGCCGCCGAGCAGGGCTGTATCCATTGTGCGTGTACGGGGTCGAAAGGTGCTAGAACTGCCGGCGCGGTGGCTGGCGCCTCCGCCGGTGCTGCTGTGGATGCTGGTACTGGGCGAGATGGTTGCTGGATCGCCGCCGTCGCTGACGGGGTCGTTGAAGACGACGCCCTGACGTCGACAGGGTCCACCGGGAACGGACCTGGGTGAGGATTCGTGGGGGGCAGTTCGGTCGCGCGAGGTGGGAGGGGAAAGGGGATCGAGAACGGCGCTGGAACTGGCGGCATTGTCAGCTACCGCGCTGCCGTCATCGTCATCCGAGGGGACGGCGCGGACGGAGCTGTGGGCGGATGGCGCGGAGCTATCATTCGAGCGGCCATTAGCGGACGAAGATCGATAGGTCATGCCGAGGCTGGAGGCGCTGGGGCGTTGTGAGGAGGCGCGACCGCCGCTGCCGTCGGTAGAACGTCTGTTGAGGGCGTTGTTGACAGGTCGCGGTGGCATGGGCGGAGGCTGTCCGGAAGAGTCGCTCTTTGTGCGGATTCGACTTTCAGGACCGTTGGTGTTGTTGTTGTTGTTGTTGTTGTTGTTGTTGTTCCTGCCGGTACTTCTGCCGGTGCTCCTGCTTCCGCCGCCACCGTCCGGAGGCTTGCTGGACTCCTTTGCATCCATCTTGGCATCTGATCCGAGATAGAGTTAGGCGTTCTTGAGATACCATGTCATGTTCCTCTTTCTATGCGCAAAGCTACGGGGGGGGGGGGGGATATTGGCAAATGCCCTAGGGATGAGACAAGGACAGGGGATAGAGTAAGAACGAGTAAAAGGGAAGAAAAAAAAAAGTGGCCGGCGGGCGCTGATCTTGTTCGAGAAAGGTGTAGTGTGCGGGGCGATTTTGTGTAGGCACAGAGCTGGGGGTGTACGATATTATGCGTTCAGAAGAAATAGGTTTCCTCCTCTCTTCTAGGTCTGATGCCGATTTATCAGAAAGAGAGAGGGGGGGAGAGAGAGCCGGAGAAATTGTCTCTGTGCATGTATTTGTGTGTGTGTACGTCACGGGAATGACAAGGATGAGGGGAGGAGGAGAAGCGACGACGATGGGAAATAAAAGTGGGGTTAAACGGGAAGGAGGCACAAGAGCTCCTGTTCGCTCCTGCCTGAAGGGAGAGGGGGAGGAGGAGGAGAGTCTGGATGAGGATGAAATGGGGAGAGACAAGTGGGACAGAGACAGAGATGGAGACGGAGAAGGGAGATTCAAATTGGAGGTAAAGGAACAAGGTGAGGTTGGAGAGGAGTGGCAGACTGGCAGTAGCCAGCAGCGGGTCCGTCCCGGCAAAGAGTAGTCTGTAGTCGTGATAATGCTCGGTCTGTGGCTCGGCGCCCGCACAAGCAGGTAGAGCAGGAGTCGTCAACAAGGCGGAAAGCGGAACGGAAAGAAAGCAGGTCGGCAAGTTGGGGGGAGACTTCATCGCGCTACGTAAAAAGCGAGATGTGGGGAGGATCCGGAGGAAGGGGAGGGGGGGACAAGTTTTGAAGTATTAGAGCGTAGATGCGGCCCGCTATAGTGCATGGATCACGGGAGACTCTTAACCCCGGGAGGAGGAGGGAGGAGGAGGAGGAGGAGGAGGAGGCTTTACTCTTATTCCTCCCCTCTTCATCTTCCTGTTTTATCCTCCTTTCTAATTGACTCAAGCAATCATCCCCTTATCTCGTTTCTCTCTTGCTCTTGCTATTCTCGAGTTCCCCTTGCTCTTGTTCTCGACTATATGAGTGATATTGTGTTATTATACTAGGAATAAGTAGTAATGCATCGATATATAATACATTGTACGTAGTAGTTTAGTACTCCTAGTCTCGAAACAACAACAACAACAACAACCCCCCTTCCCCTCCTCCCCTCCTCCCCTGATCTCACATACTTGGTCAGCATACGAGTATTACATGCAGGGACCAACAAAGACCAGAAAAGAAACAAGGTCCCTGTGTGTTTCCTTGAATCCCGGAGTCTCGTCACCTGCCAATCTATATCTGCAAGATTTCCGATGGCTTCTCTATCCTGTGGTCTAGATTCCTATTCTATGCCGTCGATAGCGTCTCGTCGACAAGCCAACACGACGGCTCAAACTCTTTTTTTGTTTTTATTTTATTCTCAATTTTTATTTTGCCAATTTTCGTTTCATCTACTCATTCGTCTTCCCTATCTTCTACTTTTCCTCTCCATCTCTCTCTAGTAAGTTCCTTACAGTCACAATCGCTTGTTTGATTGTCTTTAGGGGGGGAAGGGGGGAGGGGGGGAAGATGCGCAGGTGGGTAGGTAGGTAGCAACATTGGCAATGTCAGCGCCTCTCGACTCCCTCGACTCCCCTCAACAATCTACATTACCCAAGTAGTCCTTCATAAACTCTCATCTCCTGGAATCGAGAGAAATAAAAGGGCAGGGAAGGAGGAGATGTAAGCAGATGGCTGATTGCTCATCATCAAAGGTACTCCCCCATCCATGGTTCCGTGGTGGCGCGCCAGGTGCGGCTGAGCGGCTTTTGCCCAGACTAAACGGCCGGGACTAGTCTGCCGTTGGATGTAACTCTAGTGCTTCTCCTTTCTCCTACTCGTGCTACCTGTGCTTTTTATTATTACCGTCTGTAGTATTATTGCCAGTTTATGGTGTGGTGTATCAAGGAAATGAGAAGAGAGTATGAATACCAATCACAGCGTAGAAAGTAATGATAATGACAGCACTCCGCCATGTACAAATCCATCGGAAGACCCTATGAATAGACACTCATCAATCTCATCTCCCAAGAGATTCGATATTGCCTGCATGCATGCACCATTTAAATCCATCTACATCCGAGGGAGAAAAGAAAAAGAAAAAATAAGGGGGGGGGGGGAACACACCTACCCGTACATCTACCAGCTGGAGCTTATAGGCTACATGTAATCTGTACAATGTACAGCCTAGCAGCAAAAGAAGAAGGAAAAGAAACGAGAGGAGAAAGAGAGAGAGAGAGAAAGAAAAGGGAGCCATAAACATTGTAAAATACCCCACTCATCATCCACTGCGTTGTTTTAGAAACTCCGTGAGTCCGTTACTAGGCAAATATATATATTAATATGTAAAGCTTGATAGTAGTAATAATCTGTATTCCTAGTCGGAAAGAACAAGACGAAAGAAGAGAACCCTGGTCAAGTTCAGCCAGTCTCCCAAATTTCTAGACCAAGAATCGTTCACCATATCATTACTGGTGAGTTTACGATGATGATGCCAGTAGGAATTGGATGCTCACGTCGAAGAGGGCTACTACTACTGCACTGTACGATACATGTACCGGACACCCGTGACCGTACGGAGACGCATCCAACTCGTACAAAGCACCGAAATCACCAATTCATGCTCATGGAGGGAGCCAAGCAAGGGTGTGGTCAAGACCTCAAGCTTGCAAGACCGCCAGGCTGCCCAGTGTGCTGGTTGGCAACGACAACGAGTCAAGACTCAGCTACTTAGCTTGGGCCCGCTGCCTTCAAGCCTTTGCCAAGCTCATATGAGCAAGGGTCGGTTATTATAGGCGGTCGTACGTACGGCCTCTATACCCTCCCATCGCCGATTCGAGGGTCAAGATTACACGGAAAGCTGAGCTGGCCTTGTTTTCACAACACGACAATCTGTACAGCTCACATGCATCAATATTACTCACACGGATATTACTCGTGTGCAAGGGAATACATATATGTAATCTGTAATCTGTACTCGTGCTCGCAATAACAACAGACAGCCCCGTCCAGTGTTTCATCCTTGTGCATGAATAATGAGAAGCAAGGAAGAAGAGAAGAAAATAAGGTAAAAGAAAGAATCGTGTTCCTCGACGGTACCTAGGCTCTAGCTAAGATTACCGAGCAACGAATGGAAACAATCGAAATGAAGGCCACTAAAATCACAGCATCTGTGAACCCTCCTTGAAATAAATAAATGCCTTGAAACACCAACTCCCCCCGCACTCGCATCTCAGCTTACAGACGACTGAAACGACCCAGGTGAACGACAAGATAAGCCTGATATGATGTTTGTAGGCGAGAGCGAGAGAAACAAAAAAAAAAGACCATAAGTAACAGTCAAGAGAGGAAGGGAATCTTTCTTTTTCCTTCTTGAAAAAAAAAAAAAAAAAAAGAGGGGGTGTGCGAGAAGGAGACGCGAAAGGAAAGAGCGAGACACCGCGCTGGATAGGAAAAAGCAAGGTCAAGACAGGAAAAGAAATGCGTGAGCAATACCACGTACAGCTAGTACAGGTAAAACTTCCAAACATAGCAAGGAAGATCGTATGAGCATTGTCTGAGGGTCGCCAATGCAGCTCAGCAAGTCATTCTACCGTGAGCCAGGTCCGTCGAGGGGACTGGTGGGGATGCTCCTGACATTGCTGAGATCCCGGCTGCCCGTCCGCCTTAGGGCCTGGCTCATGGTCTCGATGCTGAGCTCGCCTGACTGCGTCAAGGTGCTGACGCCCAGGCTCTGGCTGACGCTCGCCGAGCTGCCGGCGGGCTTACGCGGGGGGCTCAAGTCCAGCCCCTTTATGCTGCCGGGGTTGCTCGTGGGCGGGCTGGTGCCTGGTCCCTGACTCGAGACGGGCGACCGGATCGGTGACGGTGAACGGTTGAGACCCGACGGAGGCAGCGAGGTCAGACCGGCTAAATGCATGCTTTCACGCGAGGCAGAGCCCAGAGGGGCCATGCCGCTACTGCCCTGCTCCGATTGTACCACGTCGGCAAACGAGATGAAAGACAGGCGGCGCACGTCGGCCGAGTCGAGAGACCCGTAGTTGGAGGCGCTGTCGAGAGCCGCGGCTGACTCACGGTTGGCAGCAAATGACGACAGCTCCTTGGCCCACTCAGCAGCTGACTGCTGGTCATCGTACTGCGAGCCCACGGTCGAGGGAGCCGTGCCCGTGCCGTTGACTGTGACGCTCGCTGGCTGGTGGAACCTCTGCGTGACAATTTCGATGGCATCGGGGTCCAACTTGCTGTTCGTGATGGCCTCAGACGCATCGCCCAGCACGGGTGGAATGTGGTCTTCGGTTTGGATGTGCGTCGGAATCGCGGGGGAAGCGGGCTGGGTGGCCGGGTTGTTGTCCTGGACATCGCGCTCAAATATTTGCGAGCGTGCAGGTGACGAGATGCGCGGTGATGTCGACAGGGCTCGGTTAGGTGAGGCGGGGGGAATGGGGAAGGAGTCAGTGCGATTAGGCGAGGTAGCCGACCGGGTGGTAGATGATACCTGTGAAGGTTCCCGCCGAACTGCCGGTTGCGTGTCCGCTGCCGAGATGGTTGGCATTTCAGCAGCCGACTTGTCGTCCGTCTTCTTCCTGACGAGACCAAAGAGGCTGCGTTTCTTCTTGCCCTGATCTGGCTTGCTGGTCGTGATCGCAGGGACGTCCGTCGGCCTAGTGGCCTCAAGTGCCTGGCTGCGAGAGTTCGTCATGGCTGGCATACGGGGTGCGGATGAATGGATGGGATGGATAGGGAGTAAGATGGGAAAAGAGTGATGGAGAGGAGAAGGAAGAAGAAAAAACCCGACACGGCCCACAGAGGCGAAAACAAGAAGCAGTAAAAGTGTCGTGTTTTTACTCGCTTTCTTCGTGACCCTGTCGCTGATCTGTAAAGGGTGAGACAGTGTGACCTCAGGCTGTTCCCTCTATTATTTTAGCTTGCAGGATGTTGGAGGAAGCGTTGGCGTGCGGTAACGCGTCGTGGTAACTACTAATACAGCTTCTTCTTAGTACACGAGAGAGGTAAGCCAGGTGGGCCCATGGCAAATAATGCACGCGAGAGATGCAGAAAACGATGCGACAGCGACAGTTGTTTAGCCCGCGAACAACTCGCTAGTTCTGTAGGATGGCTAGGAATGACGTGGGAAGAAGAGGAGGAAAGGCCGACCAGACTATATCCCGAGAAACAACATACCAGGATCAAATAGAGGACGGGACACGGGACCCAAAGAAGACGTAGCAGGGGCGTTCGTTAGCGCCGACCGGCCAAATATTGACACAGTCCAACAACTACGATATTGACCGAGTCAGCGGGGGCGGGTGTGTGCTTGGGTCGTGTGTACGAGCAAAATTACCAGTCCGGCAGTGATACATGCACTCGTAGTAGGTAGCTTCGGTTGCCTGCCCGAGTAGATGAGTTTTTTTTTTTTTGACGGCGCCCGTACAGCTAATTGGGACAATCAAAGAAATAAAAAAGGAAGGAAAATCAAAGCAAAGTGGCAAGGCAAAACAGTGGATGGGGGACAAGAAGAGGGCAGCCGCGTGTGCGTCGCAACAAGGTGTGTGCGCTCGGGTAAAAGAGAGAGAAAGCAAGTAATATGGCGCGGGAAGCGTCGTAGCGTTGGACTGTCAAAAGAAGAAGAGGGGCCCGCCAAGAGGGGAAGTGGGCTAAGCTCTTTGTCTGCCAGGTCTGGACAGTTAATAATACCTATCACTTCTGCGGAGAAGGGAAGGGATGTAGCGCATCCGTACTCGCACTGACCAAAGGGCGGGATCGATGGCAGTACCAAGAGATCATACAGAAAGAAATGTGCGTCTACTCGTAGAGCAAAGATAGAGGAGGGAGGCAGAAGAGGAGAAAGGGGGGGGGGGGGGGGGGGGGGGGGAGAGGAGATTCGATGGCAAACACTTGATCTACGCGTGCCTTCCTTGTTCTGACCCGAGGGGTTGTACTTGCTTTATTCTATGCGAGCACTCATAGTATCATTACCGCACAGGAGCTGTAATACTCCGTGTTATTAATCACAACAGGTAGTACCACCACCGCACGTTATCGCGGGGGTATGCAGCATACAGCAGTGTCACCGTTACAAAAAGATAGACGAACAGATCATCACGTTCCATCTCCAGACAGACTTGGTACAGCATCCATCCGCCAATCCAGCAGCTGATATTCGCAAGCATACTCTACAAGTAACAACATCCAAGCATGTCAAAGCAACGAGCACCAACCCCCTGTTCATTCACTCACATGATGCACATGCAAAGCAAGCTAGAATGTGACGGCAGCCGACCGAACGATATCAACCTTGTCATCATTGTCCGTAAACGTCCATCTCTAATAAGTCTCTACGAGTATATGTATTTAGACCGTGACCCGGTCGACACCCCCGCTCCATGTTCCCATGAACCGTCACCAGCATGTCATTTCCGCGCCGCTATTTTGAGCGCCGCCACAGGTTTTGCGTCTCGCAACGACCTACGAATCAATGTTCCGAACAAGGTAGTCAACAAAGCTCTCGAGTTGCCGCGGGTACGACGTCATCATTTATTTTTCTTGTTTTCCTTTGCTAGCCCATCTTGCTTATTCATCTAGAAGCTGCGAGCTGCACCACGTGATGTGAAAGCACATGACGGCGATTGGGGACTTGGGGTCCACTCAGCCAAACTCCCCTTTCTGCCTTAGGTAATCACTTTCTCTCCCCCAATTCCCACGCATCAGCTCAGAAACTTCTTCGAAAGGAAAAGCAAGCCAGGAGCTCAAAGCACACGACACGGTCCAGCATCACGACCAACGGCAAGAGCGGCCTCTCACCCTCTCAGGTGATGTCGGCATATCGATCGACCTAATCATTTCATCCGCTCCATTTTTCCCGTCCCTTCTCCTCCAAACTTGTGTTCTTTGCTCCTCCTGTATTATTTCTTCTCCCGCCTCAGAGACACGCGTTTTCTCCCCATCATGGACATGCAAAGACTGTTCCGTCCAGCAACTGGGCTCCTCGCCGGTGCTCGCTGCCAGGCAACTATGATGGTATCATCGACCTTGGCTCCTCTGACGACCGTGCGCGGACACAAGACCACGGCACGAACGAAACGATCGCTCAAGATGGCACCGCACGACTCGTTCCTGCCAGACCGCACCCCCGACGCCCCGACGGGCAACTCCATCATCTACAACCCCCCTTCATCCGAGGCGTCACCCTTATATACGCCCTTCCTCTTCCTGCCGCCCAACGACCCTCGCCGTTCCGCCATCGTCCGCATGCGTGCCGGAACCACACCGCCGCTGGTGCCCGAGAGCAACGACGATTCGCAGACGCTGCCGCCTGCCATGCGGTACCCCCGTCGCCAGGCCCGCTACAACCTGACGGCCAAGGACATGGAGGAGATGCGTCGCCTGCGCAACGAGGACCCCATCACGTGGAGCGTCAACGCCCTCGCCCGCAAGTTTCAGTGTTCCACCATCATCGTGCGCATCGCAGCGCCCCCTCCCCCCGGCCACCTCGAGTGGCTGCGGGCCAAGCAGCAGCGCCGTGAGTCCCGCTGGGGTCCTATCAAGGCCAAGGCTCACGAGGAGCGCAAGATGCGAACGGAGATGATGTACCGCGGGGAAATATAAAAAAAAATAGCAACAACAGAGTGGGAACCAGCTTTTCCCCCAACAACATCGACTCTTGTACTTTTAAAGAGGAGGGGTGGCAGAGAGGATTGTCGTGTATGATCGTACCATGTATAGAAAGAAGGAATCGAGAGAGAGAGAAAAGACATCTGAAACTCGGCCTATGTATGAGATGGCGCACTGATGCAAAATTCTACTTGTACACTTGCATTACAACGCCCAAAGAAAAAGAAAAAAATCAAAAATACAATCGAAATGAACGTCGACACGAGACAAATGTTTTTTTCTTTCTTTCCTTCTTGATCCAGTCGTTACGAGGAGATGAAACGGTACTGGCCGAAGGAAATCACAACAATCAGCCGAATACCGGTCTTACATGTCGATGTAAATAGCGCTATGCCAGCTATGCCAGCTATGCCTCCAGATCCTCTCGTCCGGGGATAGCCCTCCAGCACCAGCCGCACCAGCTCCTCCTCTCGCCGGCAACCTCGCTGTCGAGGGCCCTCCTCCCCGGCCCATTCTCGTCGTCGTACTCGGGGACACAGGCGCCCACGCGCACCATGCGCACGAGCTTCCTCTTGACCACGCCACCTATCCCCTCGATCTCGTGCCTCTGGTACCCCGTGCGCAGCTGGGGCGACGGCGTGCGGCCGCCGCGGCCGTCGTGCTGCCGGATGACGGAGCCCAGCGGACCGCCGGTGGGACCCTCGGGTGAGGGGGGGTTGGTCGACGTGGTGGACGGCGAGGGGGACAGAACCTCTGCCCAGGAAGACGCGTTGCTGTCCCTGGCGTCCTCGGCATCGCAGTCGATCTCGTGCTCGCGCTCCTTGGCGGCGCAGCAGTCACCCTCGCGACCGCAGATGACGCCCCTGTCCCCGTCGCCTATGCCCGTGCCCAATCCGCCCAGGACTTCGCCGTAATGGCTGCGCCAACGCCATATGCTGCACAGCACGTCAGTGTCTTCTGCGGGTGGGACGGATGGCAAGGGTGCCATGTAGGATGGAGGAGGGGAGGGGGAGGGAGGGAGGTGGAGAGACGACGACATACCGTTGGTACTCGTGGTCTGCAGCACGGATACCGCGTCCGCAGGGCTGGCACAGCCACACCCCCTCGGCCGTATGGCACAGACACACCGAGCGGCGGACCAGCTCCGACGAGCTCAATGTCAGCTCCGGATCCAGAGGGGGTTTGGCGAGGGTAGATATGGGAGCCTTTGTACAGGCGCTGCACAGACGACGGTGGCGTTCACGGATAGTGGCGGGAGGTTTGATGGAGCAGTTCTGTGTTTTTTTTTTTTTCCCATGATTAATTCACTGTCGCTTGTTTGTTTTTCTGTGGTCTTCTGCGCATTGCCCGCGTTCCCTGGAAAGGATTGACACCTCATCAAGAAGTGAGCACTCACCCTGCATATCACCTTGCCGCAACGTCGACAGCCCCCAACCATATCCCTTGCACAATGGCCTGCCTTGCCGTTGTAGCCCCTCCCATCCTCCATGTAGTACCAGTTGCCCGCGCGGGCCCGGAAGCGGAGTGTCTCGTCCTTATCCACCGGGACGTGCTCGTTCACGCAGCGCAGCGCCGACGAGATGAGCACCTGGCGGTTCTGCACCAGGCCGTCGTGGATGTAGAAGCTCGTTCGGGCGAGGGAGTCGAGGGTGTTGAGGTCGATATTGGACACTATAGACTGGACGATGCTGCATGCATATACCATGCCATCAGTAATTATTGTTTTTTTTTTTAAAAAAAAAAGGGTAGGGATATGAACGGATGGTGAAAGAATAGGAGAGGGGAAGATGTACGGATAGCATTGAAATGACCGTGTAGCGGCATTGCTGGTACGCACGACATCTACCGTCTTGTTAGCGGCTGTGACGTCGTCGGCGGCGGCGGCTTGCGTGGACGAGAGATGATGCTGCTGGAAGCTACGACGGAGATTCTCTGCCGCTGATATGCCGACATCTTCCTCCTCTTCGTCTTCCAGGTCAATGAAACGAGCCATGAATCCGGTGTGCGTTTCCTATGTCAAGAATAAAGCGAGTAATCATGGGCGAAAGCGTGTGTGGGAGATGCGGTTTGTGTGTGTATGTGTGGTGTGTGTGTGTGTGGTGTGTGTGTGAAACGGTAGAGGGGCAGCAAAAGAACTCCTTGATTGATAAACGGGACGGACAGCCGATAAGCGGAGGAGGGAGGGGCCGTTCTTACCGTTCGGGGGGTATACCGGAGTTGGCTTCCGTCCAAGGTCAAGTCAGTTCCCTCTTCTTTCCTACTGCTACTACTATCATCTGTTTTCTTTTCTTTTCTCTTGTTCACTGCCAGAGATCGTCACAGACAAGAACAGATTCTGATCTTGTGGCTCATCCTCCTATATTATCATTACCTTTCCCCGGCAATAGACGAGGAAAAACTGAGACCAAGACTGACAACCCCGCCGTGCCGTTCCTCCGTCCACCCTACATCTACATGCATGGCCGGTACCCAAGAAGGCGACATATAAATACGACAAATGGCATGCCTCACATTACTGTTATAGTGGGTTTTCTTTTCAAGTAGGCTTCTCTTGGTAATCTGACGGGTTTGATTCGAAGGTACGGCGAGAGCAGAATCGTCTTCTTCCCTTTATCTGTAGTATCCCGAGAAGAATCCATGAAATACCTTCACCAGTATTACGAGTAGCTAGCTGATTGTAGTTTCCCACCTAAAATAGTATCAAACTAGTGCAGGGGTCAGCAAGTATTACGAGCATCAATACATCTTAGCCTCATTCTTCTCAATTTAATACTTTTTTCTCTCTCTTTTTTCTTCATGGATCAAAAAAAAGGTAGGCAATTCCATTCTCTTCTTCTTTTTTCCAACCCCACACCATCTCAAGGCTTCTTTGTCGTCAACTTTTAGAACAACAAGTCACCCCAGCTCTCACCCCAGCTCTCACTTACAAAGGTCAAGTCGGGGATGGACAAGCCATATCATAAGAACAGAGAAAGAGAAATCAAGAACAAGAGACCAATCACAGTGCGAGAATCGAAAAGGCTCCTCCCACGACAGGTCGTGCGGTAAATAGCCTCGCCGACGGAAAGTCCCCTGTACGCACATCGTACAGATCCGTCAGGGCACGATCCGTCGGCGACTGTCCAATCCAGCGGGCAATTGTCTCGACAACCATGGCGCACGTCTCGCGCGAGGCCACTGCCGCGGAGAACATCTCCCAGTCCAGCTTTGTCCAGTCGTTGCGCGTGTCGAGGACGATGCCGTACTCCCCAAGGACGGTCGGGTAGAACTTGCTCTGTGCATCGTACACCGACTCGGGGACAAAGCGTAGGCGTAGAGCCCTGTCGGCATAAAGGTTGTAGAGAAGATCTTTATTTCGGCGACCTGTCAGCTCACGATCCTTCTTCCTTGCTGCCCACGATCGCGGGATTGAACGTACTATACGAGTTGGGGACGTTGTACTGCAGCATGGCGCGGGGCGTCGAGGCATTCGCGTTCATGGCGTTGGCGATCCAGAAGTCGAGATACTCCCCCGCCACGGTCGTGTACGTCTGCTGCTGGTTCCGGGCTGCAAGAAGGTTCTCGACCTCTCCCATGGCGCGCAAGGCAATGATTCCCTTGAGGGCGAGGTTTGTCTGGTTCCTGTCGTCGTGATTTCGACATGTCAGCAAGCGAATGAAGAGGTAGAGAGAGGTAGAGAGATGAAGAGGGGAGGCAGCCCGTACGCTGCGCTGCCGGCAAAGTCGTCGGTGGTCATCTGATTCACGGGGACCCGAGAATTATCCACCAGGTGCTGTCCCCATTTCTCGAGGATCCTCTGGTGCTGCCGCAGGTAGGCCGTATCACCCATCTTCTGCGCGTACGACAGCATCATGATGACCATGTTTGCCGATTCCTCCAGCGGCATGGGCCAGTCGTTGCCATCCGGATAGCCCAGGGCATTCGGGTACCGACCGAGGTCGTGCATGGCACTGTCGTTGGGGTAGTTGCCTGCCTCCTGGTTCTCTACCAGGGATGACAGCGACCACCTGATGAGATTGGGGTTGAAGTAGAGCATAAATGGCCAGGTCGGGAAGATGACGTCGACCGTCTGAATGAAGCTGCCCGAGCTGATCTCCTTCTGCCACACCATGACGTCGTCCCCGCTCCCGGTAAAGGCCAGAGCTCCAAACGTCTGCCGGACAGTGAGGCTGGTGAGGGTCAGGTAGTCTCTGCCGGCCGCCGCCGTCGAGTCGTCGGCCACCTTCCTGTCGAGACGCGTCGAAGCTTCCTGTGCGTGGGCCCAGTCGTGGAAGAAGACGGAGACGAGGCTCTGCTCGCTGTAGTACTGCCTCCAGTACGAGGTGAGATTCTGGGCCTGCTTGGATGCGCCTACGAACTGGGTGGCCACCTCCTGCGTATAGCCGATGGTGAACAGAGATCGCTCCCACCCGTCGGAGACGGGTCCAAGATTATGGGCAAGCCCAAACACCGGCCTGCAAGAGTGTCAGCCGGCGTTGTCTGAACCATGAATGTTCAGGTCCAAGTCTCACCAATCTCTTTCGATGGGACGGAAGTTTCGATCCATCGTGTTAGCCAAAGCACCCTCATCTAGAAAGGTCCCCCGTACGACATTGTCAGACCCGGACTGGTATGTTCGACCCGGCTGTGGAGAGGTGTTAGGAAGAGTATGACGGCGGATAGAGGGCGAGAGATGGGAAGACTTGCCGTGTCCGTGGTAGCCCAATACCAATTACCCCAGGAAGCCTGTTCGACCGTCTCTTCGAAAACACGCTGCTGGGCCCGCCAGAACTTATGGTATATGACACCATCTTGCGTACCGTTGGCCCACTCGAGGCCTGCACTTGGATCACCCGAGGCCCATTCTATGCAGAAGTCAACATCATCCTGTCTCTGACGGGGGGGGGATGGGTAGGAACTAACGGCCGGATACGTCAGCGTACAGCTGAACGTCGTGAGCCTTGCCGTCAATGGACTTGACAGCAACTTCGAGGTAGGACGATGTCATGGACTGCCGTTTAATATCGTCGGGGAAAACGGGCGTGAGGAACTCGATCCTCATCTCTATCTTTGTGCCCACGCGCATGGTGAATATGGTCTTGGTAGAGGTATACTCCAGGGACACTTGGTCAACGAGCGGTACGCCGGGATGGGCACCCATCCAGTTGAAGTTCTCCCCGTCGACCTTGACGAAACCTTGCCAGCCAAGGGCTGCACCACTGGGAGAGTCATCTGTCAGCTGGCGAATGGAGTGAAACACGTGGGAGCTCCGCACTATGGAGGAAGAGATAACCCACGTCCAGAACTGAGCCCATTGTCCCGCCAAGTAGCCCTTTGATTCACCCTTTGGGCCATTCAACCATGTGTTGAGATAGGGGGAGCGAACAGCCAGAGGAACCGAGGGAGCCCTGACTGGGAGAAATTCAGACAGGGCTTGCACTTGGAAGACGCAGGCAACCGCCCCGAAGAGTGTAGTCAGACGCATGATGTTCAATACATGCAGGAGACGACGAATACGGTACCGTGCTTCGGGTTTGGGAGGTAAGTGGGCTCCGGGTCAGCCAAGTAATATATACGAGAGCGATGAGAGCTACGCTATGTAGGCAGTGAGACGCACCTTTGTGTCAGAGTTGGGAAAGGGAAACCTTGACTAGAGAGAATAGGGGAAAGTCTTGCTGCTGTATCGTCAACTTCCTATGGGTGGCGGCGCATTGGTTCTCAGCGTTTGCTGTTAGCGGTTGCAATCAATCCCATCTTGGTTGAGTCGATCGGCTCTCGTCCAGATGTAAGAGTATCACGACCGTTGGTGCTCCGTGTAGTTGCGAGAAGAGACAGTCTGCACGTGTTTGGCTCTTGGAAAGACCATTTGATCGAAGATGGCCTGACATGCCTAGCCCATCCTTGCATGCCTTATATTGCCAGAAGCTTTACTTCTCTGGCTGAAACAGGGTCGTCATCGCATTCCGGATGCGACGTTGTACCGGCAGAATGTGGCGTGCGGGTGGTATGGCCCGTGAGGCTTGTTGCTTGCAACGTCCGTGATGGCAACGGGTCTGCTGACGACCTTGACCGAACTTACGGCATCAAAATAGTAGAGATAAGACCTTTCCAGCCCCCGGATCTCGCCGGGCCGTTCAGATTCTCATAGGCCGAGGGCGCCAGCCAAGTTGGATGACAGCCGTCTGATGCGTCTAGGGTCTAGGCATTACTTCATATGATCAGTGTCATCGTCACCTCGCTGGAAAGGGCCATCGGATCCATCCTTTCCTCATTTATCACTCCCTTCCCCCAGGAATTGCTCCAGTACGTCGAGATAGACTGCTATGGATTGGGCGTGGCCCCTTTCATATGTATGGGAACCATAACTAATCCTTGAAGACTTGGGAGGATGATGCAGCTGTTGCTTTCATACGTTACGATGCTCGTCGGCAGAGGGGCTATTTCCACGACTTCACAGGCCAGAAAGGTCGGGATGATGGAAACGGAAGGGCATGTGGATGGATGAAGGGAAACGCTGCCGAGGGAGCACATGATAAGAGTAGAATCAGACGATGGTGTATTGATGAGCGAGAGCCACATAACTGAACTCGAGAAGAAGCACGAGAAGAGGGGAAGATGAGGTTCGATGCAGTACTGATACGGGCTTTTGGTAATTCAAGGCGTCTATATGGTAAGATTGATATCAGTTTCGTTACCTATAGTTCCAAACGGAATCAAGGCTCAAGGATACAGAAAGATACATGCATGTCTCTTGAATCAGTCTATACTAAGGGAGAGGTTTTATGCAGCTGCATGCATTCAATGTCTGTATATCACATGAAGCTGTGATTGACCTTTGATGCTGGTGATACTTCCTGTCTTTACCGACAAAGACCGATCTTGTTCCCTTTACTGTCTATTTCAAAGTACGTGTACCAATGTTGGCGTATGTCATCTTGATGGTCAACTATACAATACTTCTTGCTTCCTGCTCGGAGTAATCCGTAGATTCGCTGGTATTGATACATATCAAGACCCTTATCTCCCAACCCCTCATATCCATCCCACTCACACTCGCACCTCAAGAGAAGCACCCTTCAAGTAACCGAATACAACATGACACCACCAACATATCAGCTGTGGGTTGGCGGCAAGTACATCGACGGCAGTGGTGAACGGTGAGTTGACGGAGAGGCCCACCCTCAGCTTTCAGATCCAGCTTACTGATCACACAGTTTAGTATTGCCGTCGAGAACCCCGCGACGGGGGAAATGATTGCAGAGTGAGCGATTAACAACCTGAACTCACCTCACCCCCCCGCGCCCCCAAATCATGACTCTTCAGCTCCTAAGACAAATCCGTACACAGATGTCATACAGCCTCGGATGTCGATGTCGACAACGCCGTGATCACAGCCCATTCGACCTTCAAGTCAGGCGTGTGGTCCCGGTGCTCTCGGCATGAGCGGGCCGACGTCCTGGAGAGAGCAGCCGACTGCCTCACGCAGGAGATGCAGAGCTTGATCTCCCTCGAGGTGGCCCAGACTGGACGCGCCGTGCGCGAGATGCAAGCCCAGGTGCCCTCGCTGGTGCGGTGGTTCAAGTACTACGCGGCGGTGCTCCGGACCGAGGAGCGCCCCGTGTTGCCTACGTCGGGAAAGCTTCACAACTGGGTCGAGAGGGTGGCCCTCGGCGTCGTCGTGCAGATCACACCCTTCAACCACCCGCTCCTCATCGCCGTAAAGAAGCTGGCGCCCGCCCTCGCCGCGGGAAATTCGGTCATTGTCAAGCCGAGCGAGCTCACGCCGTTGACGACGGTGCTCCTCGGTCCCATCCTGCAGCGGGCGGGGCTCCCGAACGGCGTCTTCAACGTCGTGCCCGGGCTAGGGGCCACGACGGGCAAGCGGCTCGTCGGCAGCCCGCTCGTGCGCAAGGTGGATGTGACGGGCGGTACTGCCGCGGGAAGGGCCATCGGGTCCATCGTCGGCGGCAACCTCGCGCGCTACACGGCCGAGCTGGGCGGGAAGGCCCCCGTCATTGTCTTCGAGCAGGCCAACCTCGACGCGGCCGTCAACGGTATCGCCTTTGGCGCCTTTGTCGCCAGCGGACAGACCTGCGTGGCAGCGACGCGCATCATCGTGCAGAAGTCCATCATCGGACCCCTGGTCGATAAGCTCAGGTGCAAGGCTCAGTCGATTACCGACCGCATGGGATCCCCGTCGAATCCATCTTCGACGATGGGGCCTCTCGTGTCGGCGAAACAGCTGGCCCACGTCGAGCGCCTCGTCGACCAGGCCAAGGCAAGCCTCCACTCTACAACCGTGTGCGGCGGCCAGCGTCTGTCCGGCACGTCAGCTCTGGACGGATATGACTTCACAAGGGGCTACTACTACCCGGCCACCATCCTGGCCTCCGCAGGCACGCAAGGTGAGAATACCATTCTCAGGACCGACATCTGGAAGGAGGAGGCTTTCGGTCCCGTCGTCGTCGTGGCCGGCTTCGATACCGAGCAGGAGGCCATTGAGCTCGCCAACGACAGCCAGTTCGGGCTCGGCGCCGCCATCTGGACGACTGATCTCAGCCAGGCCCATCGCGTGTCGAAGGCTGTCGAATCCGGAATCGTATGGGTCAACACCCACCACCGGAACGACCCCAGCAGCCCTTGGGGCAGTGCGACGAGCGCCAGCGGCGTTGGGAGCGAGAACGGAGTCGAGGCTTACCATGCTTATACCACTACCAAGAGCACCATCATCAACTATGCCTCTGCCGAGGAGGCCATCTCTACGGAGGACTGGTTCCGCCAAGGAAGCGGCCAGGTTCGCTATGGCTGAGCGTCAGCGAAGTGTTTTCCCTCAATCTATCCTACATGCATCGGAAACATTGGATGCACGTCAGATTATAGAAGAAAACTTGTTGGCAGTCTATGGAATTACAACTGGCGCTCTGCCTCGGTGTTGTTGTTGCTGTTGTCGTCTACATGTACGAGAAAGAAAAGAATAAGGATTTTTTTACGTGCTCTCTAGGCTCCTAGCCTCAAGCCTCTTCCCCACAAAGCCATCCCATCTGATGAAACCAAGGTTTATCGATCAATGAGGAGGAGTGGAACTCTCTCATGACGTCCGAGACTCCAGGGGCAGACGGCTCATCACCTGCAGTGACATTCGTCCGAGATAGTCTATTGTACCTCTCAACAACCATTGTGACTCACACATTTGTCAACTTCTCACCCGATTGAGTAAAGGGGACAAGGGGATGATGCAGGTGAAACAGGTGAGTGGGCAGTGGCACGTGTCTTGCTGATTTGCCTGTATGTACTTGTGACATATTGCGATATATGATGTTGGTGTTTAGGGATACCTCAAAACCCTTCAAGGAATAAAAACCTGGGAGACATTTAATAATCGCTCTCCGTATCTGTTGTACAAGATACAGCACACAAGTACATGTAATATACCATACACAACGTTGAACGTGTAGATACATAGTATTACTAGAATCAGTACTAGACGCGAGACACTCATCTAATCTTATTGTACAGACACAGACAACTCCAGCTACTACATGTGCTAAAGAGTGTATGTAAAAGACGGATGGCGGTGACCCAGACGACTGGGATTCCCTTCGATAAGACGTTGATCCCTCTCCCCACGATTCCTCTTGGCATTCTCCCACTGGCAGTAAGCCATCTGGGCACACACGGTGATGAGGCATAAGACTAGGGCACCAAGACTAACGGCGTGTCCTAGGGTGTACTCGGGTCTGGATTTTGTTAGAATATGGGGTTTTTTTTTTTAAAAAAAAAATAGACAACAGAGAGATGAGAAAGAAAGAAAGAAAAACGTACTCATCTTGAGACCGGTAGATGAATGTAGCCGGAAATGCAGCAAGGTTGGCCAAGGCAACCTGGGCCCCCAGACCGGTGGCTCTAGTATAATGAGGTGCCAGGTTATTCGAAAGCCAGCCCTTATGATGGCAGAGTCAGTATCCGGTCCCTGACAGAAGCGGAAGAAGAGGATAGTAAATCGATGAGCGTACCATGACCATGGCTGCGCAGGGAAACACGCCGACAGCAACGAGAAACGTCCCGCCATAGCGAACGGTATTCCGATCCGCCACCAGAAGCATAATGTAACCCCCTATACCGACCAGATTGCCCAGTGCTATGAACGGGCCGCGGTAGGCAACCCTGTCGGAGACAAATGACAGGCCGATGACCGTGAGGAAGGAGGCCGCGTTGGGCGGCGCAGTAAAGAGCTGGGCCCGCGTGGAGTGGTACCCCAGTCCGCGGATGATGCTCGGGAGGAAGAGGGAGAAACTCTGCAAGCCGATTCACACCCAGATCAGCAATCTCGATCTCCCCGCTACTTGTCAAGAGACAGGGAGGAACTGACATAGAGAGGAATGAGAACCATGAACCAGATTATGGAACAAAAGTACGTCTGGGGCGCCGTGAGTGCCATCCTAACCCAATGCCAGTCGAACTTCTCCTCGTTGACGTCCCTGATGGCCGTGGCACCGTGGTAGTCTTCCTGGAGACGGTTCATGGCAGCCACTCGCTCCTCGTGGGTGAGAAACTTGGCGTCGGCGGGGGTGTTTGGCATGACGGCGAAGCATACTAGGCCAAATACGGTGGTGATGGCGCCTTCGACTGAATTCGTTTTAACCCATTGTTAGATCATGACCGTGAACCAAAACCAAAAGGAAGAGAGGCTGTGTGTGTGATGAGATAAAAAAGGGGAAAGGGGAGAGAGAGAGAGAGAGAGGGAGAGGGAGAGAGAGAGAAGCGTACTGAAGAAAATCCATGGCCACCGATTATACCCGCCGTACTCGATCTGCGCCAACCCGGTGGCCAACAGTCCTCCAAACGCACCAGACAGAGGAGCGGCACAGTAGAAGAGACCGATGCGAAAGAGCATGCGGTGCCGTCGGTACCACATGGACAGGTACACGAGTATGCCGCCCAGGAGGCCACCTTCGAACAGGCCGAGGAGGATCCGGCAGATGACCAGGCCGGCGTAGGATTTGGTGAAGCCCAGAAAGGTGCACACGATGCCCCATGACGTGATGAGCGCAGGGAGGTAGATGCCGGCCTTGACACGCTTGACGATCCAATTACTCGGCACGTCAACCAGGACATAGGGGATGTAGAAGATCAGCAGGGCGACGTTGAACTTGCTTCCTTCTGCTATGCCCAGGTCCTCTGTCAGTCCGTCAATCTTGGCGTTGCCGATGTTGGATCGATCGATGAATGCAAAGAGCCTAGATGGTAAGAGTCAGCATACATGCATGTACGGCGAAAGTACACAATCATTTAAAATGACAGAACGCGCATATCCTCCGAGAGAGAGAGAGAGAAAGAGAGAGAGAGAGAGAAAGAGAGAGAGAGAGAGAAAGAGAGAGAGAGAGACGAGAGCTTACCAGATTCCAAATAACCATGGCATGATGTGAGCGTCAAACTTGCGATCAAGTCTCCTATCCAGCCTCTCATCAATCATGCTGTCCTGGTCGCGTCTGACGTCCTCCATGTCGGCGGATTTCTGGAACTCGACCTGCTGTCCCGCTTCGTCGACCTTTGTAGTAGACATGATGGGTAAGAAAGCAAAGGAGAAAGAGAAGAGAGAGAGAGAGAGAGAGCAATCGTATTGCCAAATGAAAAAAAAAAAGAGACAAGACAGAGGGAAAAAAACAACGAGGGAGAAAAGAGGTGAGGGAGTATGTTATATGGGTTATATGACCTGTCGATCAGATGACTTATACCTCTCCTCTCCTCTCCTTCGATCTCAAGCTTTCCCCGCCTTTTTCTCTCGTCTCTTCCTCCTTACCCCACGGGGATCAGATCTAGGTGCCGTCTGGGGTTGCAGGGATATAGTAAACAGAAGAGGGTGGTCAGGGTAGTTGATTGGATGGACGGGGGAAGTGGTGGTGGCAAGAGAAGAGGGAGGGGGGAACACACACACACACACACACTCAGAGAGAGAGAGAGAGAGAGGGAGAGGGTAGAGAGAGAGGGTAGAGAGAGAAAAGAAACGGAGAGAGAGAAGGGGAGAGTGGGAGAGAAGAAACGGAGCGAGGAATGGCTTTTTGTCGCCAACATCAGGACAAGCTAGTTGATCGATGTTGGCTTCTTGATCAGACAGATGTTTATTGCCTTTTTTCCCAGCTGCAGCTGCAGTGTGCCGTTTCCACAAGTTTTACTTTTTATTTCTTTATCTACCATTACTATTACTGTAGAGTTATTCCTCCGTCTATTGGGAACTATCCTCGCAGAGAGGATGGCATAGACGTAGTAGTGATGAATGCGACTATGCAGTATGAGGAGGTAAACCATACTAGAAAAGTACCGTTTAACCCGTTTAGGGGGAGGGAGCGGAGTACAAGCGGCCGACTGTTCTGTTGGTCTAGTCGTCACAATCCCGTGCCGTTCTAGCCATGTACGCATCATGTTGTATCTTGTCTGACCTCGGGTCAGTGTGACGCCATCGCCATTCGTTAGTCTCGTTAACCCCCCTCCCCCTCTTGGGGGCGCTCTCTCGGGTCGTGTCTGGGTTCTGATTGAAGTACGCAAAAATAAATCAAGGGAGCGAAAGAAACAAGACACGAGACATACCAAGAAACGCACGGTACTGCTATTACTCAGTCGATTAGGGAAAGTAAGGGGTGGGAAAAAAGTAAATCAAGTGCTGAAAGAAAAAATTGTCTTCTCTGGCATCTAGCTATGTCTCTCCGTGCTGCCGTGCCTGACTACATGGTCAGAATACGGATGAATGAATACAAAAAGAAACAAGAGCAAATGTCGGCGAAAAAGAAAAATGCATGTGTGTGTGTGTGTGTGCGTGTGTTTGTATGTCTGCATAATATGTCTCTCGCTTCCTGTCCTCTACTTCCTATCCTCATAGTCCGTCAGGCCAAGCTCCTCAATGATCTTCTGATTGTGCTGCCCGACGCTGGGAACAGGTCCCATGCGGTAGAGCGAATCGTCCGTGATGCCCGCGGGCTTGAGGGCGGGGATCTTGCCCTGAGGCGTGTCGACCTCTGTCCACCGCCCCCTGGCCTCGAGCTGGGGGTGGTCCCAGAGGTCTTGCATGCTGTTGACCTTGGCGTTGGCAATCTCCGAGGCGTCGAGCTTAGCCAGAACCTCCTCAGCCGAGAGCTTGGAAAAGGCGCCGTGGATGATGTCGCGCAGCTCGACGCGGTTCTGGGAACGGAGCGTGTTGTCGGCGAAGCGGCCGTCGTACGCCAGGGCGGGGTCGCCCAGCACTTCGGTGCACAGGGCCACCCACTCGCGCTCGTTCTGGATGCCGATCATGACCGGGGTCGTCTTGGTGTCAAACGGTCCGTAAGGGTAGATGGAAGCGTGCGAGGCCCCCTCGCGCGTCGGGGGCTCGGCACCATCAAAGGCGTAGTACATGGGGTACGACATCCACTCAGCCATGGCCTCGAGCATCGACACGTCAATGTGCGAGCCCTTTCCGGTGCGTCCGCGCCTCATCAGCGCCGCCAGGATGTTCTGCAGTGCCGACGTGCCCGCGGCAATGTCCGCCACCGAGATGCCCACCTTGGCGGGCTCGCTCTCGCTGCCCGTCACCGACAGGAGACCGGCCTCGCTCTGGACGAGCAGATCGTAGGCCTTCTTGTCGCGGTAAGGGCCGTCAGACCCGTAGCCCGAGATGTTGCACACAATCAGCCCTGGATTCTCCCTCTTGAGCTTGTTGTAAGACAGCCCCAGGCGCGACGCCGCACCGGGGGCCAGGTTCTGCACCAGCACGTCGGCGCGCTCAATCAGCTCGCCGAGGACGCGGCGGTCTTTGGGGTTCTTGACGTCGAGCTCCAGCGACTCCTTGCTGCGGTTGGTCCAGACAAAGTGTGACGACTGGCCTCGCACGCGCCTGTCGTAGCCGCGGGCGAAATCTCCCTCACCCCGCCTCTCAACCTTGATGACACGGGCGCCCATCTCGGCGAGCTGACGCGTGCAGAAGGGCGCGGAAATGGCCTGCTCCAGACTGACGACGGTGATTCCCTCGAGAGGAAGGCCCTCCCTGTCCCATGCACGAGGCTTGGAGGACATGAGGCGTGTCGTTGCGGTGGTGTTTTGTCGTACTCGTCGTGAGAGCTGGGCTCGCGTCTCCCAGAGCGACGACGTGGGCCTCGGCTGCAGCAGCGACAGCTGAGCAGCTGGGCGAAGAGTCGCCGGTCTCACAAAAGGTGAAGGCATGGCAATGAGGGCAGAGAGACGGCAATGGGTTCAGTAGAAGAAGGAGAGGAGAAGGAGGAGAAGGAGGGAAGAGGGAAGAGAGGGGGAAGAAGATGGGGTGATTGGAAAACAGCTGATTCACGTTGGAGCTCGGTTACTCTCGGGAGCGGTCACTGGGGCACTGTAGGTGGCTCTTAGCGGGCTCTCTATGGGGTTTGCAGTGGGCATTCGAGCTGTTACCCACGGGGTATTTGTTAGTGCACTGCAGCCTTTATCCAGTAATCATTCTCCAGTAATAAGTAGATGGGCAGATTAGTCAGTGGAGATGCGGAGAGTGCGGGGAAACCATCTCCACACAATGACGCGCCTCACGTCGCGGGTGGGTAATCAAAATCCCGAAGGCCGAAACAGAGGGCGTACATTATTAACGAGTATGAGAGTGGTCAGATATGTTTGTGGATATCGTCGTAGCACATATATATATATATATATAATCGCGTACATGTGCCTAGGCGTGTATGTATGTAAAATATGATAACAATGAAACTCCCACGAGGCTTCCTGTTCAGACGATAGCGCATCGGCATTGTCGTCGTGAAAAAAAATAAAAAATAACAGGACGTCCTCGGTTCGAACACGCCGTCCCAGCGATGGCGTAACGGCACTGTCGCTGTCGGGGTCCCCGTATGACAGCGAATAAAAACTTATATGGGGGTATCATGACAATTGCGTTGTACTCGAAAATTCGAAAGAAATGCGAGACAGACCCCAAATCCAGAAAGGAAAAAAAAAAACAGATACTTTTCAGAAGAGAGGGGAAAAGAGGGAAGAACAGATGACGAAGACGGAAAAGATCAGAGCAATAGCGCAGCAGCATTGTTGTCTCGATACATCTCCAATCGTTACAGTTCTTCTCCAATTCATTGGTCCGGCCAATGAGGGGAATGAGTCGATGCTCAAGGTAATGAAAAAAGAGGGGTATTAAGGAAGGGAAAGTGGAGTTATATGTGATGAAGAGAGGCATTATATCGTATGATATACCATCTCGCCAGGTTTCAGGCAACTCCTCAGAGCCTGCCCCGAAACCAATCAAAAGGCCCGACTGACCGATTTACTTGGCAGCTGCCGGTCGGAGCGACTTTCCAAAGCCGCGCTGCTGGAGCTCCCGCCTCGCCGCACCGTCCTCGAGCTCCCCACCGCTCTGCTGATGCTGCTGCTCCCGTAGTTTGTTGCTGGGCGGGTTGCCGAGGATCTTGAGCAGGGCCACCATGACGAACGAGCTGAGGATGCTGGCAACCAGGATGCCAATCATGGTCAGGTTGCTGCGGCGGTACTGGTGCGGGCCTGGTGCGGCATCCTCTGGCCACCCCGTGTACAGGGCGTATGTGGTGGTGACGCTGCCCAGGTTACCCAGCCCGGAAACGAGCGCCGAGGCGGCGGCGACGCCGACCTCGCCATGACGCTTCTGGAATATCTGGTTGCTCCACGCCATGCAGTTGGGCACCGTGGGGCCCAGGCCAAAGCCCACCATCAGGAGGCCGCCGTACCGGGCCCAGCCGTTGCTGGTCGCGAAAGTCGACAGAAGCAGACCGGCAATCTGAATGCAGGTGGCACCTGAAAAGATGAGAGCACGGTGCTCGTGGAAGCGGTCAGAGATGGGCATAAAGATGAGGATGGCGATGAGGTCCATCTGCACATGTTAGTTTGGCTCAAAAAAGCTGAAGAGAGAGGGAAGGGGAATGCATACGATCCAGATGGGCGCAAAGAGCAGGCTGATTGTAACATCGCTGGCGTCCGGCTGGATGCTGGCGATGATGACAGACCCGTACATCTGGGTGCCGATACCGACGCCCACGACGCCAAAGTACATGATGGTGAGGGGCCAGATACGCCAGTCCAGGAAGACGAGAAGAAGGTCCTTGGCGGACCAAGGGCGAGAATGGTACACACGCTTGAGATCGTGGTAGTGGACAATGGCGTCGTAGCCAGTCAGTGCCTCGGGGGTTGGGGGCAGGAATCGCGAAGACCACGACTTCTCCCTGGCCTGTCCAGGCGCGAGGGGTCTCTCAGGTAGCCACCACAAGAGGACGAAGCTGAGGCCGATGGCAATAACCCCATAGACGAGGAACATCCATCGGAAGCCGACGATGCCCATAGCGCCATCCATGAGCTGAAAGCCGGCAGACACGAGCCCGACGACGGCAGCCGAGACTTGCGACGCCGTAAAGTACATGCCGATTCGCTTGCCCGTGCGCGACGGCGGGTAGAAGAGTGTGAGGTAGTACGACATGCCCGGCCACATTCCCGCGATGACGACGCCGAGCAGGAAGCGCAGCAGCTTGATGCTCCACGCAGCCTGGGCAGCGGCGAAGCAGGCACCCACGAGACCCGTGGCAAACACGATGCGGGCCATCCACACGCGCGGGCTCAGCCTGCTCATGACCAGGTTGGAAGGGCAGTCGAATATGACGTAAGAGACGTAGAAAAGGGCCAAGGCCGTCGACGTGTCCCGTGCCGTCAGGCCCAGAACTGACATGAGGTCGTGCCCCACGTCGGCGTTCATGGTCTGCGCGATGCCAATGTTCGATCGGATGGCCGAGCAGAGGAAATACAAGATCCAGAACGGCGGGATGATGCGTCGGTCCAGCTTCCTGTATACTCTCTCCACCGTCTCTATGTCATAGTCTTCTTGCTCCTCCTCTCCGTCGCCGCCACCCTGCCTGGGCATGACGGCCTCGCGATCTATCTGGTCATCGGATGAAGACATCCGTTCCGACTGCGTGCTGCCACTGACAGCCTGCTTGGACTTGCCCCCCGATTCTGGAAGCTGGGCCATACTGAGCTTTGAAGCAACGGAGGTGCAATGCGACAAGCTGGTTCTGGGCCGTGACGCCTTCCTTCTCCCCCCTCACCCTTAAACCTTCGGACTACCGGTAGTAGGTAATCACCAGGGGTGTGAGAAAGGTAAAAAAGAGTTCCTCTTTTTCTATGTATCCAGGGGGGGAAGTCCTATGACGATAATACTTGTCGTAGCGTTAGGATGGATGAGAAGAAGTCAAGATGATGGGACTTCAGCCATAAATGGCAAATATTTTCTCACTGAGCGGATCCTTACTGTATTCCAAGTATCGATTTCGCACTGCCTTGACGTGCTGTATTTGGGGAAAGTGGTACAGTGTGAGCTGGCGGCGCCACAGGCGTGTGGATATCGTCTCATAATGGAAATCGATAGATTGGGCTCATCCCCTAACGGCAATAGCACATTTCTATCTATCCCCTCTTTCTCCCTTCCCATAAAAACCGTATCTTTAAGTACGAGTAATGAGTTGGGCAGGTCGTCGTTCATGGGTGCTTCTCTTGAAACTCGTAGATTTCCAGGGCAATACATAGTCATGTGTCGCAAGATATGACCAAGCAGGAATCTGGCTCGGACAAAACGAACACCAAACTTGGGACAGATATTGCCGTGAAATCGAGGCTATACAGTAATGTTTCCCTGTTATATTGCGATTCACGGCTGATGCTGCACTGTTCAGAAACATTGAGTAAGAAGAGATCAGCCTCTTTATGTCGCTATGTCCGCGTGGGAGTTTATATAACATCTCCATGGCATGTCCCGAGGCGCAATTCGGGATCCGGCCCTTCTTGAAAGCCAATCTGCTTGATGATATTGGGCTTTCCGCTGTCTGTACAGACGTTATACACACAATGTAGAACGAGGTCTGCATGGCTGGAGATAATGCCCTTAAGTTGGCGCAGTAGTTGCCCGAAATGGAAAGCATTGAACTGGAAGCAGCCCAGACTCGTCACGGAGAGGCCAAAGAACATGCCTCCCCCCCCCCCCCAAAAAAAAAAAAAAAAAAAAAAATATCACAGTCCTTTAGAGGTGCTCAACAGTAGCTGAGACAGGAGGTGGTAGAGGACTGAGTGATGCGACAAGACACAGCAAAAGCAAAAAGGGGTAGACGATCTGGGAAAGAAGGGCAGATTAAAAAGGACTGTGTCGGGGGCGTTGGTGCGTAGGCCACATCATGACTGACTACACGTGACAATGGTCAAGGCAGCAGCCACGTTTTTGAAAGGGACTATTCAAGGAAACATTTCCTACTCCGCCATGCTTTTTTATTCCTTCTCGTTTTCAACATGGTGGCATCGATCATGTTACAACGTATTCAAGACAAGCACATGACCGTATGATATAATGGCCTATGGTCGCCGGATAATAGCCGTCTTCCCGGGATGGGAAACATACGGTAGAACATGGGCTGTCAATAATGCAAGATGGCACCAGTATGGCAGGCGCACGAGGTACGCTGGTCCTAGAAGAGGCAGCCGCCGAGGTGTACGAGAGTAGACGAGGAGTCGTTCTGCTCCAATGAGCCGCAGTCAGTGCCGGTCACACCCAACTTCCAATTGAAGCCTTGCAAGGAAGTGGAGAAGGAGTGATATCGTCCAATGAGTCACGCCAAGACTGGCGTCGTGCGGCTGACCGGGATGCCTGCTGTCAAATGCACCTGTAGAGACTGTGTACAGATTAATCTGCACAAGTAATGTTATTATATGCCCGGTGTTTCTAACAGATACGGCGGGGGCTTTGTGCATGGAGGCATTCGGGGGGGGGGGAGTGTTGGCGAATTTGTACTTCGTGAAGAAGTAGTGATAGGATCAATTTTAATCGATGTGCCTAGCCTCGGATGAAGTTGACAAGAAGTTGAAGAAACGGAGTACTCGCAGATTGGTACCGAGAGTCGGAGCAACACACGTGACCTGTGCGACGATAGGCTGCACGTGACCTATACCTCCTCCCAATGCATGACTAATAGTTAAAGAGCACTATTCCCTCAAAAATCCGTGTCTGCCTTCGATCATTCATACCATATTTTTCAGGCCAGCATCACGTCCCAGATCGCGAACCGTGATTTCTGCATCATCGCCAATACCGTCATCAAGCGTTCCAAAGTCGGTGCAAGTCCATTTTTGGATTGCGCTGCATCGCATCTACCACCACCACAAACAACAACCTCTGTACAACAAAACAAACCGCCGAATAATACAAATCAACAAATCACTCCGCGACCGGCGCAACTTTGGTCTTCTTTTATTCCCTACCCTTTTTACCATTTTAATCACCCCGAGACGACGAAAGAAAGGACAAACAGAATCACCCAGCCGCCTACTCCCAGCCTAAGCCGCCACTCCCGCGTCCCCCAGAATCCTGACTGCGATCATCTTTACCCCCGAGGGGCACGTCCCCCCATCCCCGAACAGAACCAGCAAAATACTCCGAATCACCATAGACGGAGAGGAGATAGAGACCATCATGAGCGTCGCCTACGAGCCCCGGAGCTTCATGCACGAGGGCACATACCCCCCCATCGGAGATGAGCACGACCACGGCGCCGACCACCGGTACACGGACAGCGATGTGGCCGAGCACCTGAGCCACTACACAGCTGGGGCGGCCGGCATGCTCCCGGATGACCGGGACGGCATCATGGGCGATCACGACGACCAGAGCGGCATCATGGGCGACCACAACACCGGCGTCGTCGACGACGACCCGTCGAGGCTGGACCTCGACCCCACAGGCTTCTCATCGCCCATACAGCTCCCTATGCAGACGACGACGATGCAGGAGCCCCCTCAAGGGATGCACGACGACGCCAACGACGTGCCTGACAACGACAGCAGCAACAACGTGTTGACGGTCAAGCCCGAATCTCCTATGACGGTGGCCATGGGTGGCGGCGGGGACTCGCCGCAGCCCCCGTCGTCGTCTTCGCGCTCAAAGACCATGTCGAAACCCGACCGCGAAGCCGTCAAGCAGGCCGACGGCAAGTTCCACTGCCCCCTACACGACTGCAAGGAAGAAGTGCGCTCCTTTTCGCGCAAGTGCGAGTGGAAGTATGTTTACGTCCCGTCCGACCCAATCCCCCTGCCCCCATCCCACGCTAACGACTGGTGCTTCCCCAGCAAACACATGGACAAGCACGAGCGACCGTACCGATGCCTCGTCGAAGGCTGCGAGAGCCTCCCCGGCTTCACCTACTCGGGTGGCCTACTACGACACGAGCGTGAAGTCCACGGCAAACATGGCGGCCCGAAGAAGACGGTCAACTGCCCCCATACCAACTGCAAGCGCCACACGGGCAAGGGCTTCTCCCGTCTCGAGAACCTAAACGAGCACCTCCGACGCGTCCACACCGCCAACAACCCCGGGGAGACACCCCCCGGCGGCAACAGTGTCACCAACGCCATGCTCGGGGCCATGGACTCTGCCGAGTCGCACGACGACAACGAGAGTGAGAAATCGGGCGTGAAGCGCAAACGTCGGTCACGTGAAGACTCCGGCAGCGGCGGCGGCGACGTCTTCGGAGGTGCCGTCCCCGCCACCGACATGGACGAGATGATGGTGCTGCGCGAAGAGATCAAGCGCGTCCGCGAGGAGAATGACAAGCTCAAGGCCGAGATGGACCAGCAGTCGCATCACTCTCTGGCCATGATGGCCCAGATTGCCGAGCTGCAGGATGCTCTACGCCACGGTCTGTCGCATACTTCTCTCAATGGGCCCACGGCTCAACTCATTTAACCCTACATGTCTTTCCCCCCTTCTTCCCCCCTCCCTCCCCCCCTCCCCCTTTTTTTCATCCTCCATCCTCTCTGCCCATGACACGACTCACGACATATTCGCCACCACTTACAACAATGACGACAACAACAACAACAACAACAACAACAACAACAACAAACAAAGAAACAAACAAAAAAAGAATATGCCCCTCTCTGTTACGAGATAGAACTCGGTTATTCAACGCAAGATATATAGCTGGGCGTTTTTTTATGTTATGGTTTCACCAAAGGGACAGCAATACCGTCACGGCTCTCTTTTCCCTTTACCGAATCTCCCATCTTAAGCAAACAACAACAAAACAACCAAAAACAAACGTCTCTCTATCTGTCTCGCAAATCTTCAGAGCAGGTTGTGTACACTTTTCATTTTCATCTCATTCTCATATCGTCATATCGGGTTTGGAGGTTTTTCCTTTTCAAAGAAAAACCCCTAACTATGGTTTTTGGTAAGACGGAACAAAAAAAAAGGGGGGCTCCACCCTAAAAAGGAGAAGAAAAGGTGAAGGGAAAGAAACGGACGGGATTCATTGGTCTTGCTGTTGTGTTTTTCTATTCAAGAGGTATTGCCCTTGTTGCCATCCCTTTGAGGATGCTTGCGAGTTATTATTATCCTCCTTCATGTAATTGTACTATAGACATATCTTTCCTCCCTGCTCGAATATCAACACTATTTTTAATGTCACCAATACATCATTACTGCAGCCTCGCCATGCCAAAACATAATCCAGAAGGAGAAACTATACCATCACCACCAATATGATAAGAGGGTTCGGGAAGGGAAACGTTTGCCTTTCTCTCCCGAACAAATTCAGGATTACAGAGAACACAAGGTCAGAATCAGAATTGAACGGAAAGAAAAATGCTTGACAAAGTCTATACATAACAACTACCAAACATACGAACTGTTGCTTTTTTGTTCCCCCCACCCCCCATCGTCATCTTACCTATGCAGAAAAAAAAATTTTGAAATATCAAACGAAAGAAAAAAGCGAAAAGAGGGCATGCTTCACTAACAAGATCACGGCACAATCTGTACGTAATTAGCCGGCACACTGGCTGTAACTCCTGCCTTTTCCACCTCTACCCACCCATCTCCGCTGTCATCTTTAACCAGTACGAACCTCTCCCCTTCCTCCATGGTGTGCTCCGATTCACTCTGCGCAGTGTACCCGTACAGCGCTTCGACGTACCGCAGCTTGCGGGCACCCCTCTTGGGCGCCACGGCCGGTCCCTGCTTCTTCTTTGGGGTGCTTGTGGCTGTAGACGACGTAGTCGATGTTGAATATGTCGATACCGGCCGCGTCGCCATGGGCACGACCGGGGGTGCTGCCGGCACTGGCGTCCAGTCGGCGTAGGCTGCCGGCACGAGACCTTCCTTTGCGCCAGCGCGGACCTTGATCCAGCCGGAACCGTCTACAAAAGAAACGTGTTAGTACCGATCCGTATAAATAAAAAATTCGAGATATGGATGTTTGCTCACCATCTTCTTCAATCATAGTTATATCACGGCCCTCGCCTACCGCCAGCTCGCCGTCACCGCCGCCCTCAAAAGCATACAGCATCTTGCCGCGCTTCTCCTCCTTCGATCCGCCATTCAACGGGGGTCCGCCGGTTATGTATGCAGCGGGAGGGGGGGCCATGATCCGTCGCTTGGGCGCGCCACCGCTCGTGACTGATGAGATGCTCACTCTCGGCGCCGCCTCTTCTGGGGGGTTCAGGTGTGCGTTTGCCGATGAATTCTGAGCTTCCCGTGAACTCAACGAGTTCATCGTGTTGGTCGTGTTGGAACGCGACAGCTCCGGTCCGTCCGATACGTTCAAGGTGGACTGGGATGCGACGGGGGCAAGCAGCTTGTTGGCCGCCGACTGGCGCTGAGCCTTGAGCTTCTTGCGCTCGTCCTTGTTCTGCTCACCCGGGCAATCGGCAGGCACCTTCATCTCACACTTGTTGTGGCAGGTGTAGCCGCAGTCACGGCAGTCGAAGCCTTTGGCACTGAGGCCCCATATGCGTTCACCGCAGAGGTCGCAGTTTGTCGGTATCTTAAAAGTCTGGCTCTTGAAATTATGGTTCTTGGCACCCAGCGTGACGTCGCCGACTATCGTGGTGATGGTGGAAGTCTCAACCTCGGCCGTCAATCGCTTGCGATCGACGCTGTGGAGGTCCTCCTGTAGGTTGAAGAGGGTCCGGACTACCTCCACCTCGTCCTTCTTCTCGGTGCCCTCCCGTACGCGCTGCTTGACGCGCCTCGCCGACTCAACGTCACGGCGCTTCTTGTCAACGTCGCGCTTGAGGTCCCCAAGCGACGACTTGGACTTGCCCAGAAGGTTGCGGAGATAAATAATTGCCATCTCGTCCGTAATCATGGCGCCGTCGTCGTGCCAGACTGGGCTGGGCTCAAACGTCTTGTCGGGCGGCTCGCTAAATGAGTCCATGTTGTGGCGCATGTACATCATGGAGTCGAGATGAGGGCTGTTGCGCTTGATCTCGATGATTAAGTTATCCATCATGTCTTGGCTCGTCTTCATGAGGTGGCTCTCAAGCCCGGTGGCCAGCTCCCAGAGCCCATTGAGTTTGAGTACACGAAACTCATTGAGGTCTTGGAGGCTGTCCATGAGCTCGGGGACATATTCGTGGTAGTATTTATTCTTGAGGCTATTGGTGACGGTAATAGCAATGAGGTATGAGTTTTTGGCATTGTTCATCTCAAAGACCTGCTGCTGGTATGCACTCTGTGCTTTGGCTTTGTCATAGTGCGACTCGGACTTCTTGCGGCGGGCTTCGACTTCCTGGCAGGCGGCATCGTACTTGCCCTTAGCCTTACGCAAGTCGGCATAGGAACTCTCGCGTTCGCGCTCGAGCTTTTCAGCGTAGTCGATGTGCTGCTTACGTAGCTCTTCGTAACGTCCACCGTAGAACTTGAGAGGGTCCGCAACCTGGGTGATGAGATTGTTTCCAAAGGTATCGTGCGCGGCGGCTCGGGACTCGAGGGTGGTAAGCTGTGTGGACCATGTGGTCAGGGAGGCGCTGCAGGACGGGAGGGGGATGGAGGTTAGCAGAGGCGGGTGGAGAGGCGGCAGGAGGGGAAAGATATCAAACCTTTCGAGCGATCCCGGTGTCATGGATGGTGTGTCGCCGACACTGAGTATTGATATCTTCCTGTTCTTTTTCTCGAAGTACTTCTTCGCCAGAGTAGACAGCTTGGCACTGTACTCCTTTTCGATGGCGGCTCGTTCGCGGTAGAATTGTTGAATCTCATCTAGCCAGGCAATCCCATGGCCAGCCCAGGCGCTAGCGAGCTTGAAACCATCCTAATCGGGCATGTCAGCGGAAGAAGAGGGAGCAAGGACATGAGAGACGACAGGCCAGGCACACACACCTTGAGTTCGACGCCAAAGGTGGGCACGACGTCCACCTCGGCCATGACGGGCAACAGCTAGTTCGGGGGAACACTCATGTACCGGGGGGGCCGAATGTATATCTGGAGACGCATGAACCGAAATGCGACGAAAGCGACGCAAATTGAGCTGTAGGGGGGCGAGAGCAACAAGACAGCTGGTGATAGTTGGCACTGCCACTATAGTCAAGACAGACGTAGGACGTGGTTCAAGGATGGCGATGCTGATGGCGGGGAAGTGAAGGAAGGCGGCCAAGAAAAGGTGACGCGTGATATTAGCACCCGAGTGAGAGTTTATAGCGCAAGGTGCCCTATATCCTGTGGCTTATAGCGGAGAGTCATGTACCTTTATAGGGGACTTACATGTGCTGTAGGACTGACCCTGCGTTGGATTACAGGTTCTTGCAGCCGCTTACAGGGGGCTGACAGCTCTACTTCTGGAATATTATTGAGACGTAATAATACTACTCTGTTTCGAAGAAGGAGCAGCGCTAGCCGCACCTGCCCCTTTGCTCTTTACGTGTGTACATTAATATATTACTCCGTAGACTGTTATCGAATCACATGGAAGTGAGACAAGATCAACACCATACATCGATGCTCGTGATAGTCGTATTACACGACATACGCATCTTGACCCTTCAGCATCACGGCCTGTACTGCATCTATGGGGAATCATAGTAACATTCAACGATGTCGAGTCCGCGTGGCATCCATGCTCGGAGACGCACCAACTAACCGACAATGGATGCGGGATCCGCCGATAATCGGCCCATTGTGGACTTTGAACGTCATCAGCACTGCCAGCCAGCCGGGGAAGCGGATCTGATTCCCTCCTAGATGATTCCGTATATATATTACTTCTCAAGGCATCCTAAACAAACAATTCACTGGGCCTGAATAACTCTGAAGAGTCAAACCAGTACTAACGCATGAGGACCCGTACGAGAAAGTGCTCCCGGATATTACTCCCTATCATACAACGCAACATCGAGCCCCACTGCCAAGTTGCTGACGCCATCGCAGACTAAAGTCTAACAGTCAACACCTTGAAATTTCCCCCGTTCCAAACTGCGGCCTTTGAATCGATCAACCTCATCCTCCGGACTCCAGCAGAGACATTGGCCATCATGACTGCCCTCACGCTCCAAACAGCCATCAATGGCGAGCCCGGGTCCACGGCGGTCATTGTGCCATCCAAGCCAAAGGCCCTCACCGTTACATACTCGTCCCTCGCCTCCCAGGTCACGCGATTCCAGAAACAGCTGGCTGGTCTGGGCGTCACCCGTGCCGTCCCCGTATCCATGGCCCTCGTCAACTCATGGGAGTTTATCGTCGCCTTCCTAGCTGCCTCGTGGCAGCGTGCCATCGCCGCCCCCCTCAACCCGGCCTACAAGCAGGACGAATTCGAGTTCTACATCGAGGATGTCGACAGTGCCATCGTCCTGGTGCCCCGCGGTGCGTGGGCCGCCGATGCGCCCAGCGTCAAGGCCGCCCGCAAGTTTAACGCTGCCGTGGCCGAGTGCTACTGGGATGAGGCCAAGGGGGAGGTTGCCCTCGATGTCAAACACTTGGGCAAGCTTGCGGGTAAGAAGGAGAATGTCCTCCAGGCCCAGCCCGACGATGTCGCTCTGATTCTGCACACGAGGTGAGTCAAAGTCTGTCCTTAGAGAATCGCATGGACCTTCAAATCTAATGTTGAAAATCAGTGGCACGACATCGCGTCCCAAGGTTGTCCCTCTCACACACCGAAACCTCACACGAACCATGGGTAAGCTGCGGGCACCGGCCTTCCTCTCTCGTGACCATGCTGACATATCCCTCCAGACAACATAAAGAAGACATACCAGCTTACGGCTGCCGATCGTACAATGCTCGTCATGCCCCTCTTCCACGTACACGGCCTTCTTTGCGGCCTCCTGGCGCCTCTATACACTGGCGGCTCCATGGTTGTCCCCGCCAAGTTCTCGGCCTCGGACTTCTGGCAGGACTTTGGCGCGCACAAGGCCAACTGGTACACGGCCGTGCCTACAATCCATCAGATCTTGCTCAAGAACCCTCCACCTGAGCCCAAGCCTTCGATCCGCTTCATCCGCTCGTGCTCCAGCCCGCTTCCTCCCACTGTCTTCCACGAGCTGGAGAAGACGTACAATGCCCCCGTGCTCGAGGCCTACGCCATGACCGAAGCCTCCCACCAGATGACATCCAACCCCCTGCCTCCTGGCCAGCGCAAGCCTGGAAGCGTGGGTATCGGGCAGGGTGTCGAGGTGCGCATTCTCAACGAAGCCGGCACCGAGCTCGCCCGCGGCACAGAGGGTGAGATATGCGTGCGCGGCGAGAACGTCACGTCAGGCTACCTCAACAATGACGCGGCCAATGCCTCCTCCTTTACACCGGAAGGCTTCTTCCGCACGGGCGACCAGGGACGCCTCGACGAGGACGGCTACGTGATCATCACGGGCCGCATCAAGGAGCTCATCAACAAGGGCGGCGAGAAGATCAGCCCGATCGAACTGGACAATGTCCTCTCGCGCCACCCGGGTGTGGCCGAGGCAGTCAGCTTCGCCATCCCCGACGACATGTACGGCCAGGACATTGGCGTGGCCGTCGTCCCCAAGGCAGGAGGGGATCGCGTCACGGCCGACGAGCTCAAGGGCTGGGTGGCCGAGAAGCTGGTCAAGTTCAAGGTGCCCAAGAAGGTCTACTTTACCGATGTCATGCCCAAGACGGCGACGGGTAAGGTTCAAAGACGTATAGTTGCCGAGACCATGTCCAAGAGCGAAACGCCCAAGGCGAAGCTGTAGGTATCTGTTCAGAATACGCTGGGACAGTACGAAGACATGGAACTTTACAGTATACAGCATGTAGTTTCCAATTAAATATATATTCGAGTGACCGTCATCTTGTAAATAAGGCTGTACTTGTGTTGTCATGGATACCAGAGGTTAAACAACGAAACGCTGGGAATTATTCCGTGCTAGAGAAGATATCTTAGTCCCCTAAATCGATTGTCACTGCGTTACAGAGATTCTGTGCTCTTGTTTGTAACTTTTTGAATCGCCATACTTTTCATTTGATTTCCCCTAGTTTATACTGATTTCTGTTTACTTTTTAGTTTTGAGCTGCTTCGTAACGACCATCTCACCGAATGGGCACCTCCTCAGTCTTGGCCTCCCCCTCGACAGGCTTGGCCTCGTCTGGCTTGGCATTGCCGGCAGCGGGCTTGTTAGCACCGGCACCGGGGTGCCTGGAGCCCTTGTCCTTGATCTTCTTCTTCTTGATGGGCTCAGGGGGGGGAGGGTAGGCCTTTTCAGTGATGTCCTGCCACTCCTTTGACGAAGTGAAGTCGGCCTGGATGGGTTCCATGATTTCGCTGAGACCCTTGGCCACGGCGGGTTTGAGGAGTTGAGGAGTGAGCTGGGAGGGATTGTGTATCAGTACTCTGACATCTTCCGTAATAGGTATACGTTATACATTACGTATAAAAAGAGGGCGGAGAAGAACATACCACATCATTCCTGTAATCTTCGTGAACCTGCTTGATATCACTGTAGACCAGAGGCTCGAGGCCGTCACGTTCACGCTCGACGACAAACTGGCGGGTTCCGGTCTTGAGCTCTGAACGGGGAAGGAGGACATATTCGACCAGGGCCAGGACGCCGTTACCCTCGACCTCCTTGGGAGCAGCGACGGCCTTGCGGACCTTTTTCAGGACAGCATCAGGAGTGTCGAGGAGGTCAATCTTGCTGTCTAATAGGTTTACACAGACACAAGTCAGTCGCCTGTTCGAAAGGAACATGGGGGAGGGGGGAGACAAACTCTCATCGCTGGAGCTCATTTTGCTTCCCTGAAGACCGGGAACCATGGCGTTGAGAAGATGGGCGCGCTGCAATTGGAAGTGTCAGTAAAGATCCTGCCAGCAAGAATAAAGAGAGAAGAGGAAGAAGAAGGGAGAGGGAAAGGGAGAGGGAGCAGAGAACCCACCAGCCTGTATCCCAGCTTGGGAAGCCATTCAGTAGCAGCGACAAACAGCTTGCGCTGATCCACACCGCCGAGCTGCGCGTCGACATTGAGGTGCTCCTCGTCGAGGACTTGAAGGGCCGGGTAGAGCAGGCCGCTGAGCGGCGCATTGTCCGACTGCTTGACGACCTCTGCGCCGGCCCTCTTGGCGTCGTGCTCGCTGACGAGGGAGCAGATCTTGTACAGGTCCATGACGTACTCGGGGTTCTTCTGGTAGGAGCTCCCCAGCACGAAGCGCAGCCTGTCGACTGATACGCCCATGGCCTTGAGCAGCGACGTGATGACGAACCGGTAGTACTCGGCCCGGCTAGCCACCAGCTCGATCGGCGCCTTCAGGTTGTCCAGGAAGCCGTGGATGTCGGCCAGCAGCACCGTGACCTCGCACCCGGCCGCCAGGAGCTGCGCGATCTTGATCGTCGGCACCATGTAGCCGCAGTGGGGGCGGCCCGTCGTCGCGGTGCCCCAGTACACCCTCGGGCTGCCACCCTCGCGCACAATCTTCTCGATGATCTCCGGGTTAAGCATCTCCGCTAGGTTCTCCCTTATGAGCGCCAGGCGCTCGTCTGCCGTGAGGGACGACATGCTTTGGCGGGGTCTCGTTTTTCTTCGTTCTTCGATTTCCGTTTTGTTTGTGTTCGTCTTTATTTGCTTCGGGTCTTTCGTCTTCGTGCACGATATTCTCGTAGTACTAACCCCTCTCTCAATGGAAATCGTCGTGTTCCTGCACAGAACCCTGAGTCACTCGGTTTCCCCCACCATCCCACCATCCCACCATCGGAGTCACTTTTTGCCCCGCCGGAATCGGAAGTTAGTGATTCCGCTCAACTACCACACATCATACTAACAGTGATATCAGTCGCTGTCTTTTTTTTCTCACTTTTTTTGTCTATTTTTGTTATTCCCAGATCTTTTTTTTCTCTTCATCTCCTGATCACTCTTGTGTTCATAATACATGTGTGGGGCATCACTTTGAGCAATAACGTCTACAGGCTCCATGGGTAAAGACATCCCACACTTTCCTACCAGGTCTCAAACAGTCACAAGACCGCACAAGGACAAATGCTGTAAGAAAGGAAAAATTGCTACCTATTCTGTATTGCTCAGCTTCTATTTTTTCAATATGTACGTTCAAATTTCTGCATATTTCAGCGAAGGACGGACCAAGAAGGAGGAAATGTATGCCAAAAAGGGTTTGACTAGCGCTCTACAATGCTCCTCATGTCAGACCTCTCTCTGTCCTTTACAGAGTGACATAGGCGACAGCCATGAGACCACCAATGGCAGCAGCAATGCTGACACCAAGACGGGAGCCAACACCATCCGGAGGGTCAGAGGGGGATGTGGAAGGCTCCTCAGTTCCGGAGCTGGAGGGGCTGTCGCTGGGGTTGGCAGCGGTGGTCGAGGTGATGGTTGTGGGAGCTCCGTCCGAGCCAGTGGTGGTGGCCGTCGTGGCAGAGGGAGTTCCCGAGGGAGTGCCGGACGTAGGCTCGGGTGTCTCAGTGGACGACTTAGAGTTGGTGATGTGGTAGGTGGTACCCTCCGGGACGGACATCCTGGGCTCGTCAGTGGACGAGGTCGTAGTAGTCGCAGAGGCCCTGTCGGCAGTAGAGGGAGCAGCTTCCTGCGAGGTCGTCTCGCTGGTCTCAGCCGAGGTGGTGGAAGTGATAGACGGAGCGGCCTTCTCGGTGGTGGAGGACTCGCCGCCACCGCCGCCGAGAGAGTTGCAGAAGGTGTCGTATGCGAGCATGGCGGTGCCTGCGTGCGTTAATATCCGTTGTTCTGCTCCGAGTAGGCTCCCCCGGGTGGTTTTCCCAGCTAGAGGGCGACTTTACCATAGTCGGCGTCGGAGCAGTTCTCCTTCATGCAAGTCTGGCTGTGGAGCTTGAGCGAGTACTTGTCGGCGCAGATGCAGGTATTGTCAGAGGCATTGCAGGTTGAGTTCTCATCAACGGCCGTGTTGACGCAGTCGACGGCACAATCGGGGAGGGCGCTGCCAATGTCGGCGGCATGGACGGCCGCAACGGCCGCCATGATGGGGAGCATGTACTTCTGGACGGGAGTCATGGTGGTAGATTGGTAGATGATGTTATTCTCTTTTTCTTTCGCCTGTCGCGTCTTCCTGGGTTCAAGAGTAAACAAATGGGCTAGATCAAGAAGAATACGAGTTGACGAGTTGAGGGGACGACGAAGGGCTTTTGTGATGGATGGGCTGTCACTGCGCAGAGCTGGACCTGCATGCACGCCGCACTCGTGTAATACTCCATTTGTCCTGTGGGTAGGAATATAGTAATATACTCGGTCAGCACCAAGGAAGGAAACAATCGGGGATCTTCTATTGCCACAAGCAGCCCGATGGATTCCCAAGGATGAAACATACAGCGTGGTGAGGTCATGAAGCCGAGAGCTTTGGAATGCCAGATGCAGCAGGTCGGTTAGGACGTTGAAACAGAGGCATTTCAAGACTCAAGGGCCCCTTAAGGCGAGGATCTTGACGGTAAGACTCTGAGGGTGGATGGGCAATTGGGCCCTTCAACGCAACGTGTCTCTTACCCAAGGCTTTGCTGGTGGCGGACTGGGTGGCAGAGATTCGGGACACGACAAGAAATAGTGTGACGATGCTGAACCCAACCACCTTGTACTACTCGTGGGTTTGTTTGTATCTAGTAGTATTATTAGTCTGTGTGGTAGTCCCGACCTTCCCAATTGAGTCATGGTAATCTGTACAGATTAGACTCCAGAGAGTCGCAAGATCCTTCGCTGGGGCCATTGCTGGGGCCAAACAGCCAGGGGACCACACGTTGAGTAAGCCTGGGAAGTTGGAAAAGCCTCGTGAATGGTCGCCATCAGGAGTCCTAAAAACTCAAGAGGGGCCTCCCAGTCAGGGGGTTTCGAAGATCAACCGTCCAATTGGCTCATCCACCCCCAGGACCCTCTGGTCCCCGTCGCGGATCGTCGGTGTCACTTGTTCACCCAAGAAAGTTCCCAGCCTCCAATAAACGCATCGAACGAACCGAGGAACCTTGGATGTGACACACAAACACACACAAGTCAGCTCTGATATTCTGGCTTGTAACATGGGTTGCCTGGTACGTGACTTACTAGCAAGTATCTCCTCGTCATAACACTTGGTATTAACAAGTACGGAGTAATATCGATACAACGTAATCTGTAATGCGTAACCTGTAATACTCGTAGAATAATAATAAATTGTGGATCTCGCATCCTTCCCACAGTCTTCGGAAATACATAACCTAGAAAAAAAGAAAGATACGAAACAAAAGCCACGACGAATATGGAGATTGGTGATTGTTCTCTTCAACTTGCAATGAGGGTAACCCTTCTGTAATATGGCAGGGCAGCCTGGTCGGCCGATCATGGGAGGTGGGGTGAGGTAAGATTCTACTCTTGTCGTATCCGCCTTCACAATACGAGTATCACTTGCTGATCCTCGTACGTTGTAATACGGAGTAGTCTGGTCATCACTGATCGGTGTCCCTGCTGCGATGAAGCCATGACGTTGAGGGCAACGACATCGCCATCCATCGCTCCCATGGTCGTAGATCAGCCTGGCGATGACTTTCCTTGCACTGACAAGCTGACGGCGATGACGATGTATCCTTATGCCAGGTTTCAGGGTAAACAGGTAGCTGCGCTGTCGGTCGGTCGCTCCCCATCTACTCGTAGTGAGTGTTCCGTTTTATTCAAAACTGACTGGACGCTATTAGGATGGAGGAACAAAGGGGTTTGCAATTTGAGGAAGAAAAAGAGCAGATGACAGGAAATTCATGCGACGGACGCACCTCCCCAAATTTTGCAAGCGCACCTTCCTCATTTCTCTTTTTCCCTCCTTGCCACATTTCCCTTATCTCTGCCTGTTCTTCTTGTTTCTTCACTCTTCCCTTCCAAGGCATTCGCTTTCCTCTTCTGTTCCATCTCCTTGTATTCTTTACGACACGTAAAAAATTCACTTTATTCACCGTATTTACTCATGCAAGTAGATGTCTTGCAAGCAACAATAATTTGTGCAGACCGGATTCCGTGATACTTCTCGTATCAACTTGTAAAGTGGAAAGAGAGCCCACAGTCCATTATTTGAATTCTCTATACAGGATACTGAGTATACTTGTCTATGGCACATTCAGGTCACACTCCAATACTACTTGTAATCTTTGCTCTTTTTACGGCATCCAACAAGGAAAAAGGTTTCCTGCGACCCATTTCGTGTCCAATTAGATAGACACTTGCCCGATGTTAGACCCAGTCCCGGCTCCAGCCCCGCACCACGGGCCGTTGTGGTCATGATACTACTATGCTCAAGAGCCAAAGGCATCGATCGAATGGGTGAGAATTCATGAAGATGAACAGAGTAGGAGAGCTATTGAAATCAATATCTCGGTACATAAACTTGAGCCAACATTCCCTCTGTCCCCTTCCCCATGTTATATCCTCCCCATGCGCCATTGGCTGTCTGGATTTACACCCCGCAAAGTCGAATCTAACTGAGATACGCACATGGCTCCTCCCCCACAACAGCCTACTACCCTTTGCCCCCATACCGTCCTCTGGATTTCGTGGGGCCGAGGGACGGCCTCAGTGGCGGACCTTCGCCCTCCCCCCCTTCCTTCTCCAGAGTAAGTGGAAACAAACTGGAGTCTGTGACTTGATTAGAGTTGGCAGTGCGAGCCTGAAGGAGCAAGGCGGGGAGGTTCCACCTAGAAACACCTTCTGATGATGCAACTTCCCCTCACAGACCATGGCCTCGTCACACGTTGGCTACACGATATTGAGCTCCAGCAATCATAGCTTCTCCTCCCTCTTTTATTGCAGGCCGAAACTTAGCATTTCTAGGGAATAGGGAAAAGATAGCTTCCCATAGGGTGATGGCATCCTGAACCTCGGAGCCGCGGGTGTGTTGCCGAACTGGAACACCCCGCGCTGGGCAGATGTTCAAAAGGGTTGAGTTCTGGCTCCTCTCGCCCTCGATTTCCTTCTTTCTTGATCATCTCTGAGACTCATTCGACTATTGCGTTCAGAGTCAGCATACACAAAGACAAATAAATCAGTGACACATCCATATCACAGCCATGGCTTCAATCCCAAAGAAGCACCAGGCTATGATATATGACAAGCCTGGCAGTGTGTCGACCAAGATGGTAGAGGTTGACACGCCTAATCCGGGTCCTGGAGAGGTTCTCATCAAGATGTAAGACTGCAATTGGCAGATTGTTGGCTTCAGGATTTCGTTCTGACAGAAGACCGCTAGCTCCCACTCGGGCGTCTGCCACTCTGACCTCAGCGTCATGCTCAATGCTGTTGGCCTCCCACTCAAACTCTGAACACACTAGTTATACTGCCCACTAACATGTGCACAGTGGCCGGTCCTCCCCCCATTGCCAACCGACGCGCAAGTCGGCGGACACGAAGGTGTTGGGATCATTGTCAAGTTCGGCCCATCGTGCGACAAGTCGCATCTCGAGCTAGGCGCACGCGTGGGCATCAAGTGGGTTGCATCTGCGTGTCTAAACTGCGACCCATGTATGGCTGGGGCCGATGCGCAGTGCAAAAATTTGCAGATATCTGGGTACTCGTGCCCGGGAACCTTCCAGGAGTACGTCCTGGCACCGCTGCACTACGTGACGCCCATCCCTGACGGTCTCGACAGCGCTATGGCGGCGCCCATGCTGTGCGGCGGCTTGACCGTGTACTCTGCACTGCGCAAGAGTCGAGCCCAACCAGGAGACTGGGTGGCCGTCAGCGGCGCGGGAGGCGGTCTGGGCCACCTGGCGCTGCAGGTCGGCAAGGCCATGGGATTTCGCATGTTAGGTCTGGATATGGCCTTCAAGGAGAAGCTCATCATCGAGTGCGGTGCCGAGAAGTTTGTTGACATCAAAGATGAAGACGTGCCGAAGACGGTGCTCTCGCACACGAATGGCCAGGGCGTGGCCTCCGTCATTGTCTGTAATGCTAGCAACGACGCCTACGCCAGCGCCATGGACCTCCTCAAGTTCAACGGCACGCTCGTCTGTGTGGGTATTCCCGATGGCACCCCCATCCCTGTTGCCAAGGCTTTCCCCGTTATCATGGTTTTCAGACAGTTCAACATTGTGGGCAGCGCTGTCGGTAATAGGCGAGAGGCCGTCGAGATCTTGGACATGGCTAGTCGTGGCCTCGTCAAGACGCACTATACCGTACGTCCAATGGAGGAGCTGGGCAAGACGTTTGAGGAGATGACGGCTGGTAAGATTCGCGGCAGGGTGGTTCTGGAGATATGAGCTGAGCGTTCCTGGAGGCATGTGATTTACCAAGTCTCGCACGCTTGTGCATTTGTAATTCAGTAGTGTTTTGGTTTTCTTCTTCAACAGAAATGTCAAATGTGAGATGTTAGTGACGGTGGCGGTGACGATGGTGATTGATACATTATTTGCTGTGCTTCAAGCGAGAACATTAGACTGGGGAAGGAGCCCCTATAAATGGTGGCTCCTTCCGTTGTAAACGAGTATTATAACTATGCCCTGATGGCCAAACCGTCGTTACCGCACTAGAACAATGTGATGATGATGGGTAGTATGGGGAAAGTTGGTCAAAAATGCTCCCCGGTATCTACTAACAGAGCCCATTGACAGAATCAGATGGAACTATCCAATCTGACATTTCCCAATCCCCAATCCATGGTAGGATATGCCAATGCCGAGGTGCCGCTAGCCAAGGAAGATCAATCCCACATCGTAGGGTAGAAAGACTCCACTGAAGCTAGACATGATGCACACTCGATGAAAGCGATTCAATTGAAACCGGTGCTAATACTCTAATCAATATGTAACTGGAATACGTCTTTGTTGATCAGATGATGATACTCTCCTCATTCGGCTTATCAAAAAGTGGTCCATGCTCACATTTTTTTTATTTAAAAAGGCGTAGGGAACACATGTGTTGTCTGTCCAAAGGGCGCGCCTCATGTCAACACCGCCCTGTGAATCATGCAGCCGGCTATGGAATTCCCTTGATAGCGTAATCAATCTCCAACCTCACTTCCTCCATCATACACAAACAACGTCATCATGGCCACCCGTCTCACATCTAAACGCTTCTTCTCAACCACGCGCACCATGTCCATGCCACGCAAATTCGACTTTCTCGTCATTCTACCTGACAAGGCTGATGCACTCCCGCGACGTCTCGAGGCTCGTCCGTAAGATTCAGCCTCTTCCCTTCTTCGCTAGACCCATGATAACTGAACACCCTCTGTAGCTCGCACATGAAAGGCATGGTCCCGCATGTCAAGGATGGAAGTTGGAAGCTAGGCGGTTCGTTACGGATTGCCCCCCCTCCCAGCCGAGAGGAAAATAGAGATAAAGCTAACGCGAGAGAGACTGAAATAGGCGCCCTGCTGAAAAGTGTTCCAAAGGACGATGACCCCTCCAGCCTCGATTTCCTGGGCAGTGCCCTGGTTGTCAACGCAGAGTCCAAGGAGGAGATCCTTGAGATGCTTCGGAACGATGTGTATGCTAAGGCTGACGTGTGGGATTTCGAAAAGGTACTACATACTCGCTATTCCCAGAACTCTTTCAACTCTACCGCAAGTATACCCTTGGCTAACGGCGACAGGTCCAAATTTACCCTTTTAAATCGGCTTGGAAGACTACGTCTACCATCTAGGTATCCCATGGAGACCATACATGACCTTTGATATTGTACCTATCACAGCGAAGAACAAGTTGACCTTATATATCAAGACATAAAACATTTTCAGCAATAAACCTGGTATCATCGAGTAGCTGCGTCTAACCCTTCCTTATGAAGCTCAAGCACCACTTATCCCTTGCATAGCCTGCAATCTCTCAAGACTTGAACTTTGTTTCGGGAGGAAAAAAACAAAGGAAAGAAGGGAATAGAACTCGTTAAAAGAAAAAAGTGAACTTCTCACTTCTCAGCCTCGGAACTCGCCACTGCTGCCAACTGTAGCTCATAGTTCAACTCAAAGCACTCTGCCAACAACTCGCTCACGCTTCCTTGGCCCTCTGGTATGTCGCCATTTACGACAAATTTCCCGTCAACCCTCATGTTATCCAGCGAGTTAAGCTGATGATGTCAGTTAGCAGGGGTTTTGTGTTTGAGAAGAGGGGAGGGAGAAGAAAGAAGAGGGAAAGTGGGAGAGAGAGAAAAGAGACAAACCTTCATGCTGTAAGGATAAAGCTCGCGCACCGACGAGACACCGCCATTATCCTTGACCTCGCGCAGGCATCGCTTCAGCGTCCGCAGTTGATTGTACACGGGCAGGAGAGCTTCCGACACGGGCTCTGATGAGATCATGAGCTGGTAAATGTACGCGTAGCTCCGGCGGATGAGGTAGAGCATGGTCCTCTGGGTCCAGAGATCAGCCGGCCGGCCCTTTTCGTCGTAAAAATTGCCACCTTGCCGGCTCTCGTCAATCTTGTCAAGCTGGCGTTGGTAGTCGTACAGGTCTGTCTCGCGGAGGGACCAGGCCTGCGTCAGCGATAGCTTCTCAAGTTCGTTGCGAATGCCGACAAGTGTGTTGTAGGCCTGTTTCCAGTTGTCCGGGGCTTGTCCCTTCCTGTTATGCTGTCAGTAACAGTACTACGTACAAGGGAAAATAGGCTAGGAAGGGCTCACCTCTCGAGAACCATGTCCGACCATTGAAGACAACGCTCGTACAGCTCTGACACCTCCTCGGAGCCAGGGGGCATCGAGCCGTCTTTGTTGCAAAACTTTCCATCTATTCGTTTCTCCCCCAGATCGAGGAGCTGCTTGCGGAGCTTCTCTACTTCGGATACGGAAAACTGGATACCAAATCGCTTGATGTTAGCACCACGCCACTTTTTCTTGACGAGACGAGGCGGGGAAAGAAAAAAATGGGTCCACTGACGTTGGCCTTTGTGTTGGCTAGCGATATCGAGCGCAGTATCGAAATCAACTTCTCATACGTATCGAGTAGGCAGTCACCAAACCTTTCGAGCCTCTTCTGGAGTGTCTCAGTGACCTGCTGACAACGCTGGACGCGCTTGGTCACCAGCTCGGGAAGGTAGGGGGAATGGTGGGCCTCGGAGCCGTCGCCCATCCTAGCCTGGCTGATGGTCTTGGAGAGACTCTGGAGCGTGGCGCTCATGCTGTCGAGGTCCTTAGCCGAGTAGAGCTCAACCTCTGTGAGGTGGTCGAGGAGGCGTCGGATGGTTGATGTGAGAGCGTACACGGCGGGAGCCTCGTTGTTTCGACCTATGGTCAGGTAGAATAGGGACAGGAGCTGGAAGCAGCTCTCCATAACTCTGTCGACTGTACACAACAAGTCAGCATGTAGATGAGACGTAGAGGGAATAGGTCGACCTGGTCGCGCCACAAACCTCTGGTCTCCTCCTTGTTGCCCGTCTCTTCCCGAATCATGTTCAGTTCCTTGACCTGCTCGATGGTCTGATCGTAGAGCGGAATGACATCCTGGCTCCGAATGTAAGTCGTTCGGTCACGCTTCATGAGGAGAAGCTGGTCCCTGATCGTAGATAGACGGTCCATGATGGCCCGCTCCCGGGGCTCTTGTGGAATCGGAACTGCAGGTGTCTCCATGGCGGCAAATCTCGAGAGGGAGACAGGGGGAGTTTGTCGTGCTCGCAAGAACTAGGAATGTCGGAAGATGGGCGTTATAAGCGGAGTCGACAACACCGGTTAAAGGAAAAATGAGTTGTTCTCTGTATGTACGTCTTTGCACTACCGCTGTGGACGTTGTTACCAATGTTCGAGGGGAAAAAAACAGTCAACCGGTTGCGGCGGTTTCAGAAGTAAGCCGCCAGGATGATGACGCAACCAGGCCAAACGAGGAAATATGCATGCACCAGCGAGAGAGTGCAGATTGTTGAGAACGAATGTTCTTGCGGCAAGGGTTTTTTCAAGGAGCAGTAACAGTCCGACGAACAACGTGGGGTAATGTAATGCGAGATTGATGTTTTGTCAGTGACGAGGGCTAGAATGGTGATAAACACGGTACCGTCGGCGGTTGGGACAGCTTATGCGGGCGGGTGATGATTTCATGGTGGGGTTACTTTCTTCTTTCTTCCCTTTAGGTGGTCTTCCCTTGGAGTTGATGGGCGGCGGGGGGGGGGAGTTACCCCTGTTGGGCCTCTACTACTATCTGTATTGATACCAATCTACTCGTATCTATACGGAGCATTCCGTAGCTTTGGTGGGATGGGGAATCAACTGGCAAGCCGCAAACCGCAGGCTGCACTACGAGCGGCGAGCAATAAATACACATTAGGCCGCAGAGGCGTTGCTGCGGCTCCCTCGTAATAGAATAATCAGAGGCAAAACGCAAAAGAAAAGGGTACGTACTACACCGTTCGGTACAGGGAACAGTGATTATGGGCTCTTATTGGCCAATAGTTTCATGGTCCAATCACGTGGCCCACATCTCACCGGAGACCGGAAAATCATCTGTTCCCACGCACTTTTAGGTCTCGAAGCCCTCCAGCCCGCGAAATACGGGGCCAGGGCAATTTTTTGTGGTCAGTCATCTTTTTTGGTGTGATAATTTGACATCCAAAACCAAATCCCACGATTCCCCACGCCTCTCTCGAACGTCTCATCAAATCCCGACAAACGAGATCACCACCCCTCAGTCACAATGGCCTCTCCCGAACTCGCTTCGTCGTACGCGGCGCTTATCCTTGCCGACGATGGCATTGAGATCACCGTGAGTTATTCTTTCTAATCTGCACATGTCTTTCCTTTTCTCTCTGCCCCGCGCCGCGCACCGTCGACAAAGGAAGGGAAAAAGTCTGGGTAGATCTCAATACAGGCACACACACACCCACGACCGCAATCCACGAAATGCACAATATTACTTTCGGGGACGGAAATTGGGCAACGATACACACACACACAGAGAGAAGCATGATCTATAGGGAGAGGGATGCTGAACGCGATTCAACTAACATTTACTCCTCTTTCACAGGCCGATAAGCTCCAGACTCTGATCAAGGCTGCCAATGTCGAGGTTGAGCCCATCTGGACTTCCATCTTCGCCAAGGTACGAACCCATAAAGAACTTTCGGTCGCCCCGAGAACCTCGAATCGGAGACGGCGTACTTGCACCTTTTTGAAGACAGCGTACTGACAAGAGATGGTGGGATAAAACAGGCTCTCGAGGGCAAGGACGTTAAGGAGCTCCTCACCAACGTCGGTGCCGGCGGTGGTGCTGCCCCTGCCGGTGCCGCCGCAGCTGGTGGTGCCGAGGCCGCCGCCGACGCTCCCGCCGCTGAGGAGAAGGAGGAGGAGAAGGAGGAGTCGGATGACGACATGGGCTTCGGTCTCTTCGACTAAGCGCCAGATATTATTTTTATCCCACAAATATAAAAATGAAGACAACTACGCCGCCGATCAAGAAAAAAAACCCGACTTCTACCTCTTGGTTCTTACTTTTTTTTTCCTTTTTTGTTTTCTTTCTACATCACCACTGCATGGCTTTCGAGGGCTTGGTGTTCACCACCGGACCAGCTTATCATACAGGGTGGAAGAGGGTTACAACCAAAACTCGTTGACGTACAATCAAAGAACGCGATGAGGGGGCCCTCGAAATGACGGAGTTCACGAGAGGGATGGTATTGGGTCATTTTAACGGACTCCTAAAAAAGCAATAAAAGATTATCCAACCTGACCCCTCCTCCTACCGCTCGTGTCTTACTTCCCTTATTGATATCCTGCCACACCCACTGTCATACACTGTCATGCACTGTCATATTTTAGAGCTTGACTATAGGTGGCGTCTTTGCGTCGGGTATATCTCCCACTTTGTGTGTGTGTGTATTAACTTTGGTCTTGATTTGACTCTCATCATCCACCCAAAACGCCTACTTAATGCTTTCATCTGAAACAACAAGTATTCTTCCAACTCCCCAACTATGTAACAATCAGAACAGAAGAAGGCGTCAGTCCTGCCTCCTTCAACGTCTTAGACATGTCCACATCTCCCTGGAAGACCTTCCTGGGAAAATTCGTAGTGAAGCTGGTGACAGGATTTCCCGTCTCGCTCTGCACCTGCTGGGCTAGCTCGAAGAGTGTCGTTTCGGCCGGCAGAGTCTTCATGATGTTGCCCGAAGGCGTCTGCAGTCGAAGTCTAGCTTCGTTGTGATCAGCCTTGGGCTTGGCGAGGGCAGGGGCGGCAGCGGGAGCCACGGTAGCAGCAGAGGACGTGTCGGCGACGCGTCCTTCGCGGGCGGCCTTGGCCTCTTCTGCTTTGCGCCGTCGCTCGGCCTTGTCAGCTTCGATCTTGGCCTTGATGCGCTTTTTGGCTTCAATGTCGTCTTGCTTCTCCTGGCGCTTGCGTGCTGCCTCCCTGATCTGTTCCTTGCGCTTGAGTTCCTCCTTGGCATCCTCGGTCTCCCTGGTAGACTTGGCGCGGATTTGCTGTCCCGGACAATTAGCAAACGGCGTTTCTCTTTTCTCCCCTGCTACTTTCTTCTTTTTTTTTTTGGAAGGGTCGGGTCGAGTTGGGTTGGGGAGTTGGGCATACCTCATTGCGCTTTGCCTCCTCCTTGTCCTTGATAGACAAGGCGGCCTTCTTGGCCCTGACGCGCTCACGCAGCTCCTCCAACCTGGCCTTCTTCTCGTCCTCGGTCAAGGGGGCAATCTCCTCTGTAGATTCGGAAAAGTCGGTGTGCTCGCTGATTGCTCGGTCAGGATACAAAATGAAGAGCTGTAGGGACGGAAACCCTAAGGCAAATCTTTGAAGGGGAACAAACCTCTTAGAAGCGTGGAATTCAGCGGCCTGGACAGACCTGAACTTCTTGCCGCACTCGTTGCAGACCATGGACTTAGCAGTGCCAGTCTCTAGCTCGGCAATCTTGGCCTTGGTAGCTTCCTCGTCATCTTCCTCGTCTGCGTCTTCATTTTGAATATCCTCGAGAGACTTGTCCTGGGTCTTTTCCAACCATTCGAGAGCTCCTTGAACTGGTAGTCATGTGTGAGCTTGGGTGAACGCTAACGGCAGTTGAATGAGGGGGTTGGGGGGTTGGGGGGGGGGGGTAAACTTGGGGGCAAACATACGTCCTCCAGACTTCTTGATGGCAATCTCGGCGCGAGACTTGTCGAAGCCCATGTCAATGAGCGATTCTAGGTCCGATGGCATCGTGGCGGTTCTGTTCAGTGAAGCTGTGTGATGTGGGATATTGTTGTTACGTTGACGTCGGTGGGCCTAGAGGTGTGGTGGAAGAGGGGCAACTGATCTGGGGGTGATCAGAGAGCTCTACGTATTTCTAGAAGCATATGCACGCACGCAATGATGCATGTGAAGGTGGGTATTTCACGAGAGATCGAAGGAGAAAGGAACAAAAGGGCCCTAGATCCTGTGAGAAATACAGAATAAGGATATATCTGTTTTGCAAGAGAACAGGGTATATGAGTATATATTGGTGAGACTGAGCATGGGAAACATTGTACGAATATTAATATGGCTTGATGTTGGTGGGATCGACTTCGGAAGACTCCAACGTATTATTATACAAGTTTAATACAGGGTACGGTATGGCACTAATACTGTATGCACTGTCTGAATTACTCAGTACTGGCAAACTGGTAGTCTAGTGCTCCGTACATGTATGCACTACAGGTACTACTACTACTCCGTACTCCGCGCAGAGCAATAAAGGGGGCCGTAGAGTAAGATGATGAAAGGATAATTATAGAGCGAGTAGTATTACTGGATCCTTGAGTCAAAAAAGGGAGTAATAGAATGCACTTTGTGTGTCAGGGGAGCATCGGCTAGAGGGAGACAATGTCAAGGAGTCCATCCTACTACTCGTACTTATATATTAATACTACTAATAATACGGAGTACAACCGAGGCTACGACTACGACGTAGCGTACCCTAGGAGTTTCACTTTCAGACTTCAGCTGAACAATCACTGTGTACAGATTAGTAGTGCCTTGTAAATTTAATAGTGCGTTGTAGTGCTCTGTAGCTCCCATCGGAGACATGCCGGCTAAATTCTCCCAAGGCCCTGTAGCCCAATCTGTTGTATATATGTATCACAGCTGTGGCTTGCTTTTTTCCTGCTGCTGCTGCTGCTGCTACTAGTAATAACGGGAAACCTGGCCCTAGCGATTACGTCGTAAACACACCCCATTGCCAACATCGCAGGACTGTCCTTACACAACTACCACCCACGCCTTCTCTCTATTGCTGTCTCTCCTCCGACCGACAACGAATAGACGACTGCTGCCGAGACACCATCGCTTCTGCGCAGAACTGCTCTCTTTGTCTCAGGGAACGCTCGCTGTTCCTTCTTCGACTCTCCCTACCTGCTGCACGTGCTTGTCGGCCCATAACATAATACTTGCTCGCGCCCCTCCCCTCTCTCCCCTTTCAACGACCCGAACCAACCAAAAATTTCACCATGTCGGTCGACATCGAGCCTTTGGAGCTGAGCTTTCGGCGTATGTTTCTGTCCTGGAGTCCTTCCCCCCCCCCCTTCTCACACGCACCCTGCTGATATCAAATGCGCATCCATCCAGGTCCCTTTACCCGCGAAGTGTCCCAGACTCTTACCGTCAAGAACCCCAGCACCACTCCCGTTGTCTTTAAGGTGCGTACACACACGCGATACGATAGCCGTCACACTCTCCCCTGGTATGCGGGAGTGCCCCCTCGACTGATCCCAGGTATCTCTAGGTGAAAACTACGGCGCCGAAGCAGTACGGAACAACCCCCTCCCCCCCCGCTCCCCGCAGCAACCCAGCGTCTGTGTACCGCATCATTGGAAATAGTATCCTGACCGCCTTCATTGCAGATACTGTGTCCGCCCTAATGCCGGCCGCATCGAGCCCGGCCAGGATTTTGACGTCTCGGGTATGGATCTCACCTCTCCCTTTTTGCGACCGACCTTGTTGTTTATCCGTTGCTAACTCTCGGAGGTGTCACCCGCCATAGTGCTCCTCCAGGCTATGAAACAGGAGCCCGCTGCCGATGCCAAGTGCCGTGACAAGTTCCTCGTCCAGTCCGCCCCTATTACCGGCGACAAGGAGTTTGAGAGCATCGCCTCTGTCGTACGTCCCTCCCTTACCCCCACCCTCTGTAAGACCCACGGTTGACACAGAGATGATTGAATAGTTTGAGTCGACGGAAAAGTCCGCCATCACCGAGCGCAAGATTCGCGTCAACTGGCTCCCCCCCCTCGGTGGCGATGATGTATCTGCCGCTGCCTCGGCCGCCGCCGTGACTCCTAGAAAGCAAACGGGCACAAATGGGCTGGTATGTGTCTGTCTATCCATGCAATATACTCGTGCATGCGTATGCTGATGCTCAAACACCTCAGGCTGCCGACACCCCCGATGCCAACCGCTCATTCAACTCGCCCTCAGCCGGATACGGCTCGCCTAACGCTTCGGAGCCCCCGCCATACTCGGACGAGGCCAAGTCGGAACCTGAGGATGTCAAGGCCGAGACGCCCAAGTCCGTCGGCACCGCTGCCTCCACGGCCCCCATCGCCGCCGCCGCCGCCGCCACCGACAGGCTCGACGCCGCTACCGCGACGAGCAGCGACGTCCGTCAGCGCTCTGGAAAAAGCAGCAGTACTGCCGCGGAGGGTGTCGTTCCCCAGGCTCCCGGCCAGCTCATCCAGGCAATGCCGCACACGGTCCAGGGCGTATCCGTTCCCGTCACGGCTTCCCTGTGCCTCCTCGCCTTTCTCATCGGATACCTGTTCTTTTAAAATACGGGTGTACCAACGAGATCAAAATGAAAAAAAAAAACACATGCAAAAAAAACTCCATCGTTTAGCGTTTTTTGGAAGGTGTAATTCCACGATTCGCATACTGTCTGACTTTTGTGTCAGAATGACTCTGCTTGATATTTTATTTGTCTTTTTATTAGTTTCTTAACCCTTATAGCTTTTCTGTTTTGTTTTTTGCTAACTGCTCGTTTTCTGCGAAAGGGGGAATGCTTCGGTACTACGTCTTCCCTTACCAAAAAGAGCGAAGGAAGAGGATCAGAGAAAGTAGATGTATAAGCAAGGGTAGGGGGGAATGGTTTGGATCATTCGGCAAGTTGTGATTTTGTCCACTTGATAGTACGGAACTCCTTTCTTATTTTCGTATGTATTTTTTTCTAATACTTTTTTTCCTTTGAAGAAAATGGTATATTTCTTTGGTTTTTTTTTTAAAAAAAAAAGAAAAAAGAAAGGGAAAGTTTGACACTGAGGCAGTCAGTGCCTTGCGATGTGTAATGGTGAAATTGAGGAACTCGACACGTCACCAAGATCAAGTGCTTGCATTAAAAAGTCTGATCTATCACAGGTGTCTTGCTTCTAGCCAATATTTCCTTTTAATAACATCAATTCGACTCCACAACGCCCCCTAAACAAGTATTATATACGACTGCAATGCTGCATTACTTCATTTTCTAGATAATGAGAGAGAGAAAAAAAGGGGGGGAGGATTTCAAGGGGGGGGAGAACATATTTAGCTCTGAATCTCACTTTCCTTCCAGCTGGACTGGACGACACCACCGACGATGCGGCCTGAACCCTCTCTCTTGACACGACACTTGATACCGACATTCTCGTCAAAGATGAATCGCCAGATGGCCATAACCCAGGAACGGTGGTAGGGCAGGTCTTCGTAGAAGTCGGAGGCCATGTCGCGAACGGCGTGGAGGCGCGTCCAGGGCACGGCGGGGAAATCGTGGTGCTCGTTGTGCAGGCCGACATTGTAGGTGAGCCAATTCAGGGGGCCGTAGTAGGAGAAGGTCTCGGGGATGGGGATGCCGTTGTCCGGGTTCTTGGCACCGGCGGGGACGGTCTCGTACACGTAATGCTCGGCGATGAAGTGGCCGGCCAGGGGGTGGAGGCTGCCGGCGAGGAACGACGAGAAGACGAGGTACAGGAGCGAGTTCCAGGACCCGAGCTTGACCAAGACCATGTCGACGGCCACCTGGACGACAATGTTGAGCAGGTGGATGTTGGTGATGGGGATGCGGTACACAGCCATGGGGCGCACGGCGTAAAAGAAGATCTGGAAGGTACAGAAGAAGGCCTTGCCGAAGATTGAGTCGAGGACCACGGCCTCGATGGCTGTGGGGAGGTCGGTGTCGACGCCGTCTACGCCTAGGCTCTTGTGGTGGGTGAGGTGGTATGGCTGTTGTTTTTTTTTCCTCTTGCGTCAGCCTTGTGCTTCTTCGGTAGGGGTTGTATATATATGCGGATGACTGCATACCCTGAATGAAGCACTGTAGGGGATCCCGATGGGAAGATTGGCAAAGATGGCCAGGTACCTGTTGGCCATGGGGCTCTTGAAAGCCAGGTTGTGCGATATCTCGTGGATGGCCAAGAACAAGTTCTGGTTGGCCGTGGCACCAATAATGTAGGCAATGGCCCAAAATTTGAGGGAGAAGAAGGGCGTGTCGCGGAGGTAGTATGCCAGACCGAGCTGGAGGGAGACGACGCCGAGGACGACATACTTAGTCAATGGTTCAGGACCGCAGAGCTTGGTGATCTGTTATTTTTGTCGAGGCGCAGCTGGTCAGTAAACTGTGGGAGGGGGAGGGGGGGAGGATGGTCAAGGAATGAGGACATGGAACCTGTTCAGATGCCTTGACAAACTTACCTCTGGGTGAGCCTTGATAATGGCATTCCGTCGTGTCCGGTGAGGTTCCTCGGTGTATGTCCAGAAGAAGTCGTTTGCTGTGGACGGCGACTTGGTCTTGTCGCCGTCGACTTTGGCGGGGCCTCCACGACGCTGCTTGGGGGTCTTGGTGATGGTGGCGGAGGATGCCATTGTGTCGGACTCTTTTCGGGGGAGAGTATAGGACTAGATAAGAGAAAATAAGAAAGAAACGAATGAGGACGAAGGGGAAAAGAAAGAAGTTTGTCACCGCAAGCGGGAACTTGTCGTTACATTATACAATGAATGGTGATGCTCTTTTTTTTGGTGGGACAGGGACACTCGCAAGATGGAGGGAAGGAAGAGTCCGAGGGCGGTGAAGAACTTTATGGTTAGAACAGAGCGACAGAGTGTGCAATTGGTTTCTTTATGTGGTCACTGTGGTCACTGTGGTGTGGTCGGTGGCCACTTATGGTGTGGTTTAAGGGTGATTGTGGCGTTGTGGCGCGGTTTCTGCCGCTGCCGGGACTGGGAAGCTTCTGCTTCTGGGCCCCTGAGTCTTTAGCGGGTTCCCTTCGAAGCTCAGGGGCATGAAACAAAATACCAAAGGGTTTATAGATTTATAGCGTTGCGGACCGTGGTCCGATCAAGTGGCTCGATCGACAATGATGAGTGAGTTGTGGGCCCACTGGGTGACCAAGAGGGATGTGCACTGGGTGTGGAGGCCCTATGGGACTGCTATTCAGCGGGTCTAGGCTCAGTCACTCAACGGTACAGAGCTCCCCAACAGCGTGGCTTCTTTAATGGTAGAGGGCATATAAACGTTTCCTCAACTGATACAAGCAAATAGAAGCGACGACGAGAACATATATCAGACAATGAGCCAGCACGTTTGAACGGCCAAGCACAAGGAAAGTCGGTTGTCAGCTAGATAAATAGAGCAAAGCCTCTCTATCCGTCTGAACAGCCATTCACATCATATTACTTCTTTTTTAAAGAGCTGCTACGGAGTATATCTCAAGGAATGAGACACTTCATCTCTCAAAGAGCCATCTTCTCAAAAGCTACCTGTAAACCACCATTCCATGGAGCATCACTGGTACACAGGAATCCCTGTGCTCGGCATATGGGGGATTCTCTTTGACTCTATATCCTGATGCCGAAGGACGGCCTGACGTGCAGAAAGTCATGCTTTTAACCAGGTGCGTCAAGAAATCCCACGTATCCCTGTGTCAAAGGCACAACAGGTTTTACAGGCCGGGTCAGGAATGTGGCGCTTGCCATGAAGGTGAAGTCCGCGCCATTACATCGCAAAGGTCTCGTCGGAAGCTCTCCATCCAGGAAAACAGAGCGGAGACGACCAGAGGGTCGCACTGAACAAGAGATGCAAGCAGCTTGGATGAAGAAACCAAAAGACGTGACTCAGTTGATGGATAGGAAGGTCTTTGTGCTGGAGATCAAGTGCCTGGAGAAGAGAAACTTACATGTATGGTGTAATTGAATTTCGCGTGTGCTGATGTATGGGCAACATGTAAACCCCGTATCTTGTATGAGGCCCCGTTGGTAGCAGAAAGAAACTTGTATAGCTTCAAGTATCTGAACACTACAGGTACGAACACCAGACATGTCGACAGTTGTAATATAAAGATATCTATAGTGACGTCGTGCGTCCACACTGTACCGTCCCATCATTAGCACTACCACTGTCGTCTATGTTCGTTCTGCGCTCGTTCTATTCTCTGTTTGAAACGGGTGGATTCGGAGAGTTCAGTCCTACAATGGCGTTCGTTCTCCGTTCATCGGTTTTATTCCGTTGGGTATCAGGGCTTCATAAATGTAACATATATAAAACAAGCCATCTTCTTCTTTCTTCTTCTCCTCACGTAGCATCCGGGATATCCAATCCAAATCATAAACAAAATAATTGAAGCCGCACATGTATAAACGCACGCAAGCACAGATGTGTCGCCGGGCATGGCGCATCTCATATCCCGTTGCTCGCACAGCTAAACACTCCCGGTACCTCGCCCGCCTCGAACGAGTCAATGATGCTCTGGACACTGGCGTAGGTGCCGACCGAGATGAAGAAGATGCCGATGGCGATCAAGAAGACATTGGAGATCATGCCGAAGGCATCGATGATGAGGGTCTCTTTGCGGCCGACGGACCTGTCGGCGGTGCGCATGCGGAAGTAGGCTACTCCCCAGAAGATGAAGCCAAACCAGCAGTCGAAGAGTGAAGACATGACAGAGAGGACTTATTCAAACAAGAGTCAGCATTGTTTTATCGACAGCAGAAAGAAAAGGGGGAAGGGAGCATACGAGATGAGAAAAAGGGAATGACATTGGCAATGATAAAGGCAGCAATCCAGGTGAGGCCCAGAATCGCAGCCCATCCCAACCATCCCATAAGAGTGTGCTCATTGATGTGGACGGTGCCCTTGAAGGCGCGGAAGAAGATGAAGCGACTGGTGACGCTAGCATATAGGCTACCGAGGAAGAGAATTGTGGGCACCATGAAGGAGAAGGAAAGCTTCTTGTACGTCTCGTCGAGGATGCCAAAGGCCGGCGAGGCCATGTACTGGGTTCCGGTGTAGGCGTAGATGACGCCGCCGACGATACTGAAGATGATGATTTCGGCAATGGTACAGGCCCAGAGAGATTTGGGAAAGTCCCTACCAGATGTTGTTAGGAAATAGAGGGAAAACAGACATGCATCCACACCCACGACATGGCCTTGAACAGGGAAGGGTATAAACTTACTTGGGCTCACGCATCTCAGCAATGAAGCTGGGAATGGTGATCTGACCGATAAAGGTGTAGCTGATGTTGAGAAAGGCCGAGACACCCTGGACAAAAGTGACGCTCCTGGGTGGGAAGGCCGAGACAACGGGTTCACCGAGGGTAGCAGGGTCATAGCCGGCAGGCTTTCCCTGAGCACCGGCGAAGGCGGTAGCGAGGACGACCGAGATGAAAGTGAAGGCGGCCGAGGCAGTGCCCAGCTTGGACAGGACGCTGAAGGTGCGGGGCAGTGAGAGGAGGAAGCAGGCGACTGTGACGACGACGCCGAACTCGATGGTGCGGCAGCCGCCCACGGAGCTCTTGTCCGTCATGGTATTGAGGTACTCTGCGCCGACGAGGACGTGCAGGGCCTGGATGAAGGTGTTGTTGAGGATGAACATGACGGCGGTGGCGTACCAGGCCCAGCTCTTGCCCCAGAACAGCATCTGGCCGATATCGCAGACGTCGCGGACCTCTGGGTGGCGGAGGCAGAACTTCCACAGGACAAGGCTGGTGTACTGGACAGTGATGGCGACGAAGACGGTAAACAGGATTCCGGGGAAGAGGCCCAGGTAGCTATAGGACCAGGGGAAGCTCATGATGGCCAGGCAGATGTATTCGCTGAATAGGAGTCCGGCCGTCTTCTGCCACGAGCACGTCCGGTACTGGATAGCGTGGCCGTCCTCTGCCTCGAGCTGAGATTTGAGAATGACGTTGGCCGTCGACTCGTCCTTGGAATCCGTCGGCACGGGCGCGCTGCCATCTTTGCCCTTGAGGTGCTCCATGACGGGGCCGATTCGAGGACCGATGTACACGTCTTTACCACCGAAGAGCGACGCTTTCCGCGAGTATCCCCCGTAAAAGCCGCCCAAGCCACCGACGTCGCCAACGGCTTCGGGGTCGCTCGGGGTGCCAGTGTCCTTTTCCGGTTGCGACATGGTGCGGGTTTGTCGAGCAGTGGTTTGATATGTGTGGGTACCGGGATGGAGGGACAGACAGAATAGGAAAGAAGGATGAAAAAAAAAATAAAAAGGGGAGAGGAAGGGAGAGATTAATATATGCACAAAGAAGGAAAGAAAGCAGGAGATAGAAGATGTAAGAAATGAGGAAGGAAAGGAAGAAAAAGATTGAAGAAGCTGGCTTCAGTTTGGACAAGTATTACAAGTATTACAACTATTAAGCACCGACTCCCGGACTTCCAAGACTCGCTGCATCATATGTACAAGTACATATACGCATATTAACAGACCGAAAAGTCGGGAGCGAATTTCCAATTTTCTAGCTTCTCACCATGTGTACAGTTGATACTATCACTAAAGTACTACTCGGAGCAGTACTTCCGCGCGGTACTCGACGGTTCGTAACTCGTACGCGTAGTCTATTGCGAGTTTGTACTGAAACGGCGCGTACTATCTACCAGTACGGAGTTTCCGTATAATGTATGCAACACTTACAACAGGCAGAAAAGAGACATCTATCCCGTTGCCTGTCATTGCCTGCAGAGTGCAAGACTCGAGAAGAAACAAGTATGCCACCTGTCGGGGTTCCCGTGGAAGCACAAAAGGGCAAGCTGCTGATCATCCTTGTCATCAGGATTCAAGACATGGCCCATTTCATGAGAGGGAAAAAGCAGGCGATTGAGCCTCTCCGTTTTCTCTAAATCTGTACTCGTACATGTAATGCGGACAGATTATTACCATCAGCAGCTTCTATCAAAAAGCAAGTCCTGGCCTATCCCGGGGTTAGCGTCTATGCTTCCGGGGGGAGTTGACGCCAAGTGCCGAACTTCCGAGTTTGCCCCACATTCCCTTCTTATTTTGGCGGGTCTGTTTTCAGTCATTGGTTAGTTAGCAGTTGCCTCTCGTGCTTATGTTGTTCCTTCCCTGCAATAAACCTCTTTAGCTGCCCCCATCCTCCCACTTGCCGTGTGTGGCCACGGTCCTGCCTTCCTTTCATTCGTGATGACGCCTGCTTGGTTGGTTGGTTGGTTTGCCTTCGTACTGAGGTACTTGAAGTACTTGGGGGCAGTATAGTGTACACCTATATCTATAAGTACCGCACCTGTAATGATGCCTACAGGACAGGGCTGCTAAGAAGGGAGGGAGGAAAAAGGCCTGCACCGTTGTACGTAAGATGTATGCGCTCGTCAGAGGTAGCCGTTATGACGCGATACACACTGAATCTACGTTAATATCTGTGCCCTGGAGGTGCATCTTGTTGAAATGTTCTCGAAGCCTTGAGCACGTAATTGCTTCTCTGAATCACGTAAATATGTTTCATGTCATATTCGAGGCTCTTCTTTTCTCACAAGTTTTTCTCACAAATCTCAACCTAACGACTATTAACACTAGTTAATACTACTAGATGGAAAGTTTTCTTTCCACTTCCAAGTTAATCGTGGAACTTCAAACGTTGGTTCTCGACTTGAAGGAAACGGCAATGCAATGTATGGGACTACCCTCGTGCACTCCGAATCCATACATACACATTCGCCATCGATACTAACAGCCTGTAAAATCCCCGATGAACTAACTGCCTTGTATTGCACCATGAATACTGCCACTATTGTTGGTCCGTCTTCTCTCTCCTTACCTATTCGTGGCTTATCAATACAGGGTTCATCGGATAGACACGGCCATCTAACCCTTGTCCTCCCTCATGACTCCCCGAGATTCAGAGCCGACATCCAGTTGATCGAATGCATGCATGCATGATGTCTAAATGCCATCCCCTCTCTGCGACGTTCCGAGTTTCTCGGAGGCGACGTAGCGATGTTGCGATGGTCCGCGTTGCGGGAGCCTCGGCCAGTTCGTACGAGTAACCGCGCAGAGTTAGTGTCTGCGATGGGAGTGTGCGCCATCTTCTTGGCGTTAATATGTCAGCGTATTTTGGCCTTTGCAGAGCACGGAGTACGCAGGGAACTGTTGTTGACCGACACGCAACGTACGGCACAAGATTGATAATGCGCCCAACGCGTGTGCGTCCAATTTGCTCTTGCAAATTTGCGTCTACGAACAAGCATGACTGATAGTACGAGTGTTTCCATCTCGTCTTGAAAACTGGCTGTGGTACAGGCAGCCTCGGATGGCTTGGTCTTGATCTGTATGGATACGGACGCATGCCAATAGTACCAGCAATACAGCACATAACATTATTCTCGTACGCGGTTGATCAGATGACGGCTCTCGAGGAAATCTGCCTCGCAGAGCATCCGTATCTTGAATCCATCAATCAGAAGTAGTATGACGACGCGGTTACCAAGATTGTCTGGCGGGAAGACGGCACGGCACCGAGCCGGATACAAGGGGGGGCAGTAATCTGGGGAATGATATCGGACAAGACGACGTGGCCACGAGTACCTCCGGGTTGCCAAGATGGGGCGGGATACGCCAAATTAAGAGGTGCCTTTCCAGTGATATCAGTCTCAGATAGACGGCGGGTGATTTCTCGCTCCCAGCCACCATCTGTCGTCGTCCACTTGCTGCCCCTGGGTGTCCGCGTATCTAAGTCTCCGTGTGCACAGGGCAGTTTCGACATGCGCATGCATGTACAGAGTAGAAATGGTATTAGTAGCAGCAGTTTCTGCATCGTGTTTAATTCCGAACAGGTCGTAATACTCCAGAGACGAGGGAGATCAGCTATCTACGTCACTTGTTTAGGGATGCTACATGACGTCAACCCAAGCACATACCCCACGAGTTTGTCTGTGGTGCAACTGGTCTTGGGGTCAAACGATCGAAGAATGAAGAGGGTTTCAAGGATCAGAGATAGAGCAAGAAAGGTACACGGTCACTGATAGGCAAGGTGAAAATTGTCGATGTTCCATTTCAAGTGTGTATGTGTGTGTACGTGCGTGTGGCCGGCCGTGGAGTCGAGAAGGCCAGGACGCTGCCCTCACCCACAGGGTGTTTATTTACGCAGCATTACTACTGCTACACAGCGCAACCTAATACTGTATTGATATTCAGCTGGGGTCGTCCGCTGTAGCTTAGATATCAGGCATCCTACTCGTACTAGTGCACATAGAGCACGAGTAATAGTGCCGGGCGAGGGGCACGGAGTTGATCCGCGCTAGGCAAGCTGAGGAGGCCCTGGTTTCTTGGGTAATACTTGTTAGGGTCCTTAGAGCCAGAGGAAGGTCGGTGGAGGGGGGGAGGGGGTCTATTGTTAGTAGGGGTACATATTTAGCATGGCGTACAGGTGGCTCTACGGGGTAGAAGTACCCGTGCCGTGTACAAGCAGAGAAAGCTGTGTGCTACGCACCTCGTGTACTCTTATATCGCGTCATGTGACCTCATTGCGAGCAAGTTTGGAGATAAGTCATGAGCTCGTAGGTGTTTTCTTTGGGCGGTGGTTGATTGACGCATTAAAAAAAGAGACGATATGACGCAAAGCCCAAATCTTTGTATCATGAGAATAGCCTGCGCAGCTGGAATGGATGAGGAGCTGAAGCACTACGCCGTAGAAAAAGAGCTAAAGGTTTTTAGGCATTTTTTTTAGGGGCCGCAGGCCTGCAAAGACAGCGCGGAGATCCACTGACGGGTTCCAGCTGTGATGCTTTTATCCACTAAAACAGCCTGTGAGAGTGGATAGGGGGTTAAAAAAGAGGGAATGCACGTGAAGATAAGGTCCAGATAAAACAACCCGCTTTCTTGGCTATTGGGAGGGCCCGCCGCCCGCCACAAGGACGCCCCAGAAGAGGCGGAGGGCGGACAGGGGAAATATTACTGGAATAGGCACCACATTTTACTGCCGTCACTGCTTCTGATCACCGCTTTCCTTCTTCTCACGAGAACCTCTCTACACTATTAATCAGTACACATCAACCGAGCAAAAAAAGGCTTTGTTCAGAACAGGAGCAAATACTCCCGCATCCGATGCAGCGACCCAGGCGCATCGCCAGATCCTGACAGAAAGCGGAGAGACAGACAGGGAACCCTTGTCTCCATCACGCGATAAACCCCAACCCACGACCCAACGCGCGCGTGCTGGCTGGCACCTTGGCAAATTATACACACCGACCTCCTCCCACCCCCACCGCCAAAGAACAAAAAAAACCAAAAAAAAAAAAAAAGAGAGAGAGAGGTATACAGACCGACAATAATCTCACCATTCTCGAAAACATCAGATCCTGATTCCAAGACAGACTATCAGTTTGATCTATTCTCTCTTTTCCTTTCGTTCACGAGCCCCCCCATATCCTCTGTTTTTCCTTTCCTTTTTCTTATCCTACTCTAAACCCTCTCTTTCTCTCTCTCTCTCTCTCTTTCTATCTCCCCTCCTCACTCTCTTTCTCTCTATTTCTCTTTATCCCCTCTCCTCTTTCACCGCACAAGGCGCCCCGCCGCCTTCCCACCTCTTTCCAAATGTGGTGGTTCTTCAACGTCGTTTTCAGCTTCATCTTCCTCGTCAGCATCGTCCTCTCCATACCCGTCGCCTTTGATGTCGGCGGCCGGGACAGCGGGCTGGCCTACAGCCTGTCCCTCTTCCTCTACTACCTCGCCTACTCCACCATCAGTCTCATCACGCCCGAACGATCTCGCGTCCGCTACACCATAGTCGCCATCCTCCGAGTCAGCCAGTGGATCGTCATCCCCTCCCTGCTCATATGGTCCCTGGGTCAGTTCGCAGTCGATGCCGGGAGCACGAACTGGGTCGAGAGGACCATGGGTGGCGTCTTTCACAACTCGACTCGTCATGCCTCGCTCTCTTGGAATGAGTGGGTGTTTGGGAAGCAGGGCCTCCTCGAGACCGTGCTGCTGGGGTCGTGGGACAGCGCGCTCCGCTACTCAGGCCCCGTCTTCCAGCTACTAGAGGGCTTCTGCACCCTCCTCGTCATTCAAGCTGTTGGACAGCTCACTCGCTGGCTCGTCAACAGTGGCAGGAGTGATTCCTGGGTCGTATGTCCAACCCCACCCAACCCCCCCCAAATCCTCATCGCATGGTTTATCCCAGTGGCCCCCAAGACTCTTGTTTCTGACATTTCTCATTCCTTACAGATCATCCTCCTCGCCTTTTCCGGGTCCGTCATCGCGAGCGCCGTCTACTTCCTCTGGCGCGTCGCACAGTTCCCCGAGATAAGCAACCTCGACGCCGCCCTGATCGGCGTGGCCATGACGACGGCCCTGTTCCTGTGCACATACGGCATCGGCAGCGGCCGCGGCAGCCCTGTGGAGTCGTCACTCCTATTCGCCTACATTGTGCTGTGCGTCTACCAAATCTACACCGACTACATGCCATCGGACGGCAGCACTGGCCTCTACGACGACCAGGCGTCGTCCCAGCCCGACCTCCCGCCGCTCCCTCCCATCATCATGGCATCATACTCGACCCTCGTCCACATCATGGGCTCACTGCCCTCGGCCATCCACTCAGCCCTCGCTTTCCTCTACGCCGCCTTCCAGACCATTACGCCCTCGGTTATAATCTCCCTCGCCTACCGTCTCCTCGTCTTCTACTGCGCCACCCGGATCATCCCCTCAGTGAAAGACCTCGGCGCCCAGGCCCTCATGCACGAGCCCGACTGGGACGACTCAGAGATGGCCGCTAAGCTTCTGGGATTCCTCAGCTGGTTCTCCCCCTCCATCCTCATAGCTGTCTACACCAGCCTGCTTCTCCAGCACTTTTCCACCGACGCAGGAGACGACGGGTGGTCACTGCGTGGCGGGGACGCCGGGGGTAACATGTGGCGCTGGATCAATGTCGGCATCACCATGGTCCTATACGGGCTTGAACTACATCTCGGTGGCGACAATGATCACTGGAAGGTGGATTAATTGATCGCCTTTGACGATGCATATTTCTCCATTATCCCTTTGATAATGGAAACATGGGGACGAAAACATATCAAATCAATCAAGAAATGGTTCAAGCGAAGCGGCAAATAATTGATACCAACGGGCTCTTTTCTCTCTCACTTCCCCATCACTTTATTCTCTTATCGTCTTTACTGCATCGGAAGGGTATACGGAACCTTGGGATGTTCTTCTTCTTTCCAATTTGGAGACCACGAGGGGGCACAAAAAATGGTGTGCTTTTTTTCCAAAATTTCCGTCTCTTCATTCCCTTATGATGGCGTTGGGGGTCTTTTTTATTTATACTTTCATGCTGTTATGTTTTTTTCTAAAGCAATCTGCACAACTGTGTGCATAGGTAGGAAGCATGGTGACTTTTGGAAGGGAAGATTTTTACTATATATATTTTTGACTCATCTTTTTGTCTTCTTATTCCTTTTTTTTTCTCTGATTCTCTCATGTGGTTACCTTTTCTTTCGTTCGGAGTTTTAGAGCCTATGTGGTTTAGGCGGCGGCTTGCTTTTCTCTTTCACTCTTCTCTGGGGTTCTCCAGTCGAACGTAAATAGGCGCGATGCATATATATCCTTGTATCTCCACCGTTTACTCATGATGCCTTTCCACCTTGATGTCTCTTCTGTTCACTTACTTAACATCTCACAATGTGAGACTGGGATCATCATGTGCGGTCCAAAACAAAATAAAAAGGAAGAATAAATGATGGACCGGCGCGACAACGGAGAGAGAGTAGGTGTAAGGGCGAGTTCATAAATGACGCCCCTCCTCACTCCCCCCCTCCCCCACCAACCCCTCCTACGTCACCTACACCAAACCTGGCCACACTTGAGGAAAGATATCAACAGACACCGACCCAGAAAATGTCATCAGAACCATACACGACAAAGGGTCTTCCCACCCCGCCGACCGTCTCGGTCAAGACGGTACCCATGGGCGGGCTGCTGGTAGACGTCTACGGCCTAGAGGAACTGCCGGCCGGCCCGTCGCCGGTGACGTGCCTATGGCTTCTGCACCCTCGGATGCGGACACGGGCACGCATGCAGGACATTGCCAGCCGCGTCATCGATGCGTACAACAATAGGATGGCAGAGTCATCGGCTTCGCCTCCCCGCGGACTAGTCGCCCTGGCTTTCGACATGCCGAACCACGGTACCCGTCTGGTGAGCGAGCAGGCCAACAAGGCGTGGAACCAGGGCAACGAACTCCACGCCATAGACATGGTTGCCGGCATCAAGGGCGCCAGGAATGATATGAGCGGTCTCATGGACGTAGTGGGCGGGTATCTCGACCGCAAGGTGGACGAACACGTCTGTCTCGGGTGGAGTCTAGGTGGACATGCGGTTTGGCAGGCTTGGTTGGCCGAGAGGAGGCTCCATGCTGCTGTTGCGATCGTGGGATGTCCCGATTTCATCGGTAACCTCCTCCTCTCATCTCTCTTACCTTTCCCTGCTGTCGAATTCGGTGGTACTGACACTCCCAACCCCCTCAAGGCCTCATGCGTGATCGTGCCAAGACTTCGGATCTGGATATCCCAGAGGGACAGACCTTCCTGGGGAGTAAATACTTCCCCGACGACCTGGCAGCCACGTGCGCGCGATACGACCCACGAGGAGTCATTTTCGGCGCTCAAGAGTCGCACCTCCCCGAGGCGCCGCTGTCGGACGCAGAACGTGAGCGCGTGCGCTCCATCCTCGCCGAGAGGGGCTGCACGTCCAACAGGAGGCTCCTATTGTGCTCCGGTGCGGACGACAAGCTGGTTCCCTACACCAATTCCGCGCCGTTCGTCAAACTCCTCCAGGATGTCGGCGGGGTGCCCGTCCAGGACAAGGTGTACGAGGGTGTGGGGCACGCGTTCAGCGCGGACATGGTGCAGGATGCAGTCGAGTTCCTTGTCGACGCTGTGTCCCGGGGCAACACGGAAAAGTCCAAGATCTGATGTCAGGAATTCACACATGCACACGCGCACACATACAGAAAGAAATATTTCTTTTTCAAGATATCACCACGGTCTGACCGCACCATCTACCAACGTCTCATCCGCTCCCTGTCCTGTAGTCCGAAGTGCAACACCACTCACACCTCGTTCATATACACCCTGCCAAACACCGTGAGGGTTTCTCCCCGTCCGCTTCCCACGCAGCTTGTCCCCGCGTCCATGCGGATCGTCAGCCCAGTCGCCCACCGCAGCAGCCACACCGACCACGGCGTCCGTCTTGCCGTCCAGGCCCGGCGGATCGATACCCACGTAGTCTAACCTGTCCAGGGGCCACCCTATAGCGACGCAGTGGCCGTCCACCAGGCGCGGACGCTTGAATGCGTGGCTCACGAGCGTGAGGTGGGACGGCCACTCGGCGTACCGCGCGTGGAAGAGCGTCAGGCTGAACAGGATGTTCTGGTACGAGTCCAGCGCGCGGTCCTCGCATAGGATGCGTGAGGGGGACAAGTTGCGATGGCCCCAGTAATCATTTTCACGGGCGAGGTTGGCATAACTTTCGGATTCACTCAGTCCTGTCTCCTGGCGGGTGGGACCTCTGCAAAAAAAAAAATTTCAGACAAAGAAAAAACTTGTGGTTAGATATAATATGTGAAGGAAGGATGAGGAAGTCAGAAGAGAAAGGATTACCCCGAGAAAACTAAGACTGCGTCCTCGCTCTGAGCAAGACTAGACACACCGGCTCGAGCATGCTCGATGAACGTGAGCGTCTCGCCACGTTGGAAATCGGCAATCAGCCATTCCGACTCGTCGCGGCCCTTATGCACTCCACCCATCCATATGCCGTGGCAGCATACAACGATTAACCGGCTAGGTGGCATCGTCGAGAATGGGCAGATGTACAACAGAAGGAAAAAAAGAGATGGAGGAGAGAAACCAAGAGTCGCTGTGGATTGAGCCATTTGAGTGGATCATGTGATTTACAACACCAGAGTATACAGAGAGCAAATTACTCAATATTTAAGTGGTAGTAGTAGTAGTAGTAGTAGTAGTAGTAGTGGTGGTGGTGGTGGTGGTAGTGGTAGTAGTACAGTAATATACAATAATCCACCAGTCTATATCTTTTCTAAAGTGAAGTAGGCAGTTGTACACATACTTTTAATCATCGCTTCGTGTTGGTCTGCGGCTCAGGAACCTGGTCGATACCCTCCGGTCGACCCCAAAAGTCCTTCTTCACATCGGATACATCTTCCTCCGGCTGCTCCTCAGACAGCCGGCCCGCATCGTGCTTCTCCTCCCCCTCCTCGGCAGGGGAGTCCTCCATCAGCTCATCCAGCTCAGTGGGCTCCAAGAAGGGCGAGTCCCTCCGGCCGGATGGCTGTCCGTAGATCTCGCTATGCGTGAGGGCGTACTGCAGCGGGGCGTCCGGGTGGTTGCACAGCTGCTCCGTCACCCGGTCGAGGGCGGCATGGTGCATGTCTGCCTGCTGGCGGAGAAGATCGACGTTTTGCCGTAGCTTGACCAGTGCCTCGCTGTCGGTGCCACCCTGTTGCTCGACGTCGTTGGAGATGCTGCGCAGAGCCGCCTTGTACCCGCGCAGCTGGCGCTCGTGGTATTTAGCCTTGCGGGCGAGCGACTTGACGGCTTCAAAAGTCGGTCTGGGAGGCTGCTGGTCCGTCTTGACGGCCATGTCGACGACAAGGTCGGCGTTTGTCTCGGCGGCAGTTGCGGTAGTCGACGGCTCCGCTGCAGCATCCTGTATCTTCTTCATGGAGCGGCCCATGTCGGTCCGATGCCACTCAGACTTGGCCAGCTGGAAGTCCTTGTACTCGTTCTTTGACAGCGGACGCCGCCTCCACAGCTTGCTCAGCCGCCACAGCTGCGACGCGCCCGGCCCACGGTCCTCGATCTCGCGAGACCGGTAGATGCCGTCCAGCTTGTACAGGTCGCGGATGAGATACAGGCTGCCCGTGATGACCATGGTACCCGGCGCGGCGTTGGCCTTGGTGCCAGCCCAGCGGACGGCGTCGGCGACGGTTGGCTCACCCGTGTACAGCTGCTGCTCTGGGTTGGTGAGGATGCCCTGGATCAGGTCGCGGCCGATGTGGGCGGGTGTAGGGGGGGGCTCGTTGGGGTGCTGCTCGTACTCGACAAAGGCGACGTTGTCCTGCGGTCGGACTAGCGTCTCGAGCATCTCAGCAAAGGGTTTGGTCTTGCTTGATGACAGGCCCATGACCCACGTGATGGATTGGTCGGAGTCGGAGGAAGACCGGAGGTTGACGTCGGCATACCGCGACAGAGCCTGGACACCAGAGAGATTGTGGGCCGCGTCAACGAGCACGGGGCTCCTGTAGGCGCCGTCGGTCAGGTCGGACACGCCCACCCACTCCATGCGGCCGGGCAGCTGGGGCTCCATCTCCAGCAGCTTGTCGAGGTTGATCTCCTTGTAGGGGAACAGGTTGCGGAAGGCGAGGGCGGCGCAGAGCAGGTTCTGCTTCTGGTAGTCCTCTAGGTTCCACCGCTCCTGGGTCAGGGTCTTGAGGAACGGCTCGGCCTTCCAGCTGAGCTGGATCGTGGTGCCGATGTCGGCGGCGTGGCGTCGCAGCACCTTGATGACGGCGTTGCTGTTGGTATGGTCGACAATGCACGGCACTCCGGGGCGCATGATTCCCGCCTTCACCTTGGCAATCTCCTCAATCGTCCGGCCTAGGTACTCCTGGTGCTCCAGGTCAATCTTGGAGATGACGGTGACGGCCTTGCGGCGCATAGCGTTGGTCGCGTCCGTCGCACCGCCCATGCCCACCTCGACGATTCCGTAGGGCACCCGCATCTTGTTGAACAGGTGGAATGCTGTGGCCGTCTCCAGCTCAAAGGGAGACAGCGAGCCGGGCGTCTCGCTGGCCACCAGCCTCCACCCTCTCATGGCCTTCTGGTACGCAGTCTCTACCTGCCTCGCCTCCGTCTCGTACACCCGCGCGTCTATGTACCGTCCGTTGATAGTGACGGCGTTGTGACGGTCCGGGAAGGCGGGCGACACGTACCGCCCGTACCCGACGCCTGCCAGCGTGAACAGGCCCGATAGAAAGGCGCAGATGGAGCCCTTGCCGTTTGTGCCCCCGACGTGCACCCCCTTCCACTCCTGCATGTGCGGCAGAACACGCACTATGCGCTCTAGCCCCAGCCGGATGTCGCGCGTTGCCCTCTCGGCCTCCTTCTTCGGGTTCAGCACCCCCCGGATCCGGCTCAGGGCGTTGGATACGTCTTGGGCTGGTGGCATGTCCGCATGCCTAGGGCGATGGAGACGCCCCTACAACAGATGACTCTTGAGGCGCCCGACGACGAGCTGAGCACTTGTGTCTGACCTGCCTTGATCTCCTGTTCAATTTGAGGTGATATATGCGCTGCTGACCTGGAGCTGGCGGACTTTCTCTGTCTTGTCGTTCTTCTATGATTCTCACTTCAAGTTTCATGCGATTTTTGGCAGCTCGGCTGGTTGAGCCCCACATGAGTCACCAGCCACATCAAAGGGGGATGTACGAATCCATGTACGGAGTAATCTGTATTAATCTGCACAGATTACAGATTACAGATCTGTACAAATAGTCAGCCACTTTTATGATGCGCCACATATAGGGGTGTATTATGTAATTCCACGCGCCGATGCGACGTTCATCAGCTGGGCGCCCGGCGCCCAGATTATGTAAGCATTCCCGGAGAACTTTAGCATATACATGAATCTTGTAAGTAAACTTCACCAAACATTAGGTACCAATTGGGCTCCCGGCGCCCAACCAGTCCACGCCCGACGATGCGTGGGGAAGGCTCCCATACGGGATGTTTGCCAGCTTGTGAATGGCAGGAGGGATTGTCTAGATGTTTGCAAGGCGGTGATTCCATGTGGAATTTGGTATGAAACAATCTGGCGGGGAAAACGCCCGTATGAAAACAGCTCAGTTTGAGTTGAGGACGGTTGGTTCTTATAACTCTCACATCGCCTTTTCCATTTACTGACACCTGGGTGTTCCCTCCTGCACCTGGTCTGGGTATTGCTTGGTCAGTACGGAGTGAAAGCAACAGAAACAAGGGCATTTTGAGAAAACACAACCAGGACTATACTGATAAAGCACTCCGTATTCCTCCTAGACGAAAATCAAGGAATTTGGCCCTATGAGATGAAGACAAGACTGCCCTTGTCTAAATTTCTCCGTCCGCCCGTGGCTCCCGGGTTATAACAAACCACTTTTTTAGATCGCCGCGAACAGACTGTTTCCACCTTCATTGGTCGAAACGACCCTTCATCATCCCCAGCTTTTGTTCAATTTAATAATGGGTAAACTGCATCCACTCAAACCCCTTCACCCCACGTCCGCGTGACCCCGGACATTGACCCTTGTTCATCTGACCATCTCGGCCACATTTACATGTACTCGTATATGTAGACGGCTGATTTCAACAGACAACCCCTCCCTTTTCGTCATTCTTGTTTCTTCACAGCATATCTCACCACGCACGCGGGTCACGGTCTCAGAAAAAAGAGAGACCTGCAGGGAGTCAAGGGAGGATCCGTGAAGGAAAAGTGCTGCGCTGCACAGCCTCACCATTGCCGACGCGTCCGGCCGTCCTGCCATCCTTGGGGGGACCCTCCGGTTGCCCCGGAATCATCGTCATCTACATACAGCCCATCGCTCATTGCCGAACCGTCGGCCGCACCACCTTCAACGTCAATCTTCCCCAACGTGCACCATGGGTCTCCCGTAAGTCAGCGTTCAGAAGCAGCATCACGCATACACCGTCTAACATCATTTCAACGCGTGCAGACTCTTTGTCGCGCCTGTGGCCTCAGATCTCACCGAAAAGGTTGCGTCCAAGGATGCTGAAAGTCGGACCTCGCCGCGCTCGTCGATCCGACGCCTCGCACAGGATGGAGCCAGCCGTGAACGCGCCTCGTCCAACCGGCGGGCACGCACGCTCGAGCACCATCGCGAGAGACTTCAAGGACTCCCGGGCTCTGGTGCTGCGGCTGCTCCCGCACGCCCGATCACCAGCATGGTGGCTCCGCAGGACAGGAACAGAATCGTTCGGTATATCCGGCAGGGATTCATGACGCCTGAAGACGTGACCCACGGCGACAGGAACCGTGAACGCCAGAGGTACTCTCTGATCCAGAACATGGAACTGCGCTTCGGCCCAGACTGGCGTGATCGAGACTGGAACAGTGAGCAGCAGGACGCCTTTTCGGACTGGTGGCTCCTGAATGTCTCCAATGGCAGAGCCTGCTTGGTATGTTCCGAACCCAGCCCCCTCCACCTGCCCCGTCCTCCTCTGCTTCTGACACGCGATCCCGGTACATGTAGATGCGACGGCAGGGACCTTCACAGTGGCGAGCAGGAACCAACCGCCTCGAAATCGTCCCATCTGCCTCGTGGGCCGACGTGCAGCCCGGCGGCGGGCTGTCTGCACCCCTGCCCCCTAGTCGCGCCGTTCCCCCATCTTCCTCTCGTCGCCCCTTGCCGACCGACGTCGGCGGGCTGGGCGACCGCGACCGCAGCCTTAGCCCCGAGGGCTGGGACACGCTCCTCACCACGCTCACGCCCGACCCGCAGCCGCCGAGCGTCAACTCGTCCTTCGCCTCTTCGGCCACGGCAACGACTGCGACGCACCCCAGCAACCCGACGTCGTCGCGTACGTCGCTGTCCGGGCAGCCACCGACCACTACTGCCGCAGCCGACGCCGACCCGGGCTGCGAAACTGGCGGCTCCGACGCAGAGGAGAACGGGGTGTCGCGTCATCTCGAGCGTATCCAGCAAGCCCTGCTCTTCCGCCCCTCGTCGGAACGCCGTATCCCGCGCCCGGTCGAGTCCCCTGCCTTCAGCCCCGTGCGCAACCACGTCTCCGACCGCGCCGGCAGCGACGAGGACAGCTCCACCACGCTGACGCTCCAACGTCCGGCCGACTCGGTCCACCATAGCCTGGCGGCGCGGACCGAGAGGCGCGGCGACGATTACGATGGCCACGATGCTCCGTCTTTTCCGCGTCCGGGCATCTGGGTCGGCAGGCTGTCGATTGGCGCCTCGGACGATGAGCAACCTGCTGCGCCTGAGCATCTGAGTGTCAGCCGCGAGGACTCGGGGGATAGCTCGTTTCGCAGTGACAGTGACTTGGCGGGCATGCAGAGGATTATGAGGAGTCTGGCCGCCCGCGGGGATATTCCTGATGAATGGTGGGCCGAGGCTGGCCTTAGTCGGTCACTCTCGCGGGGAGGCCGAGACTGACGGTGATGAAACCTTGTTCGATTTCCAAAATCTCTTTGATTTATACTGTATCTAGTACGATTGATTTTACCCTG